ATATGGAGTTTATTGAGTAAATAAATTAAATCTATCATGCCCTAGATAATTGGAACGTTATTTACACTTTTGTGTGATGATGACTGACTGACAATCTAAGGATGTAATAGAAAATGTACATTGATGTGCTTCCAAAGGAAAGTAAAAAAAAAACGTCTGGAAAAAAAAAAGTTTTCATGTTGGAAGGTGGGCGTTGCAACATGTGCTTAAAAAAAGTTTTTCCAAACTGACAACATATACAGCAGTAATGAAATAACAGAAACGAACAACAGAACATTTTCGGTAGAGATAATTAATAATTATTTTCAGTTTAGAAGAAAATTTTGCTTTCGTTCCGTAAAACAAATTCACTAATTATGCTCATCTCGTTGTATCATTAATTATGCCCTAACACAAGCACATTCTCATATTATTTAGATGACTAATCTTCTTCAATTTGTATCTACTTAAGTTTTCGTTATGCGTACCCATAATAAAATAAAGGAAAATATTAAACTAAATAGTAATGGGGTTTTTCATCTCGTCATCATCATTATCATTGTGACTATGACTAATGAGTGACAATATTTTGATGTCAAAAATTTTCATATCTACATGACATTGATGCTATTTTGTTCCTTATGATGATTTTAGTAAGGAAATATTGTTGTGGTAAACTTTTTGAATTGATTGTATTTGTTAAGTTTTAATTGGAGTAGGAATTTAATCTTAGAATCAATTTCTGTGTTAAATTGTTGTAAAAACTAGGATGGATCATTTGTAAATTTGTAGATGTCTAAATCAATCCCCTTTCAACCATTTTATTTTTGACATGACTCGAAATGAAATGAATTGAAATCCTAGAATTGTAAGCAACAATGAATATTAGAAAATTCATCAAAACACAGCCTAAGCGGTGCAACGAATGTCCAGAACAGATTTCTGAAGTAAATACAAAGAATTTGTCACAGTTAAGGGTACGAAACTTATCAAAATGCTAAAAAATTGTCAAATAAATTGAGATTCCAGAGTAAAAACTAGTTTGATCCGTCAAATGATTTTAAATCACATTAAGATTTACTTTGATTCTTTATCTTTGAAATCAGAAATTACTTATATTCATACCAAATAGTTTTACAATACGACAAGCAGTTGTTTCCAAGTTTTTATTAGATCCTTTTGGTAAAAACTTCTATAAAAAATTCTAACAAAATTCCCCATAACATTTCCTAAGCACAGCTCTTATTCTTCTTCTCATTGTTTATTTCAAGAGAAGCTCCTAACGAGCTTTTTACTGTGTTATAATATAAAATCCTCTACTTATCTACCAACCCATCTCGTTTATATGTTTTCACATTTGATCGTTATCTTTCTTATTGTTCTTCTCTTTAAATTTATTCAAGGCACAGCACTTAGTTAAATGGATACTTTAAAAGTTCACATCAAAATTCAAATCTATCGCAAAATGGGCTATAAAAATATCAATTTATTTTCTCGTTTGAGACAAATTACTTGAATTCATTGGGATGTATGTGGAAGTTTTGACACAGTAAGAAGGAAAATGGAAGTAATTTCTATTAATCAGAATGTCGTAACATAAAAATGATGCCACAGAGGATGGAAACAATTTAATGAAATGACATAATGGGCGATAATTTTCTTTATTCATTCAACATTAAGCAGCGCCCGAAAATGTGAGCGATTAATATTGAATGAGATTAAATGGGACTGGATGGGTGGTTAGGAGTAGATATAATAAAATGGAGGAAGAAGAATGAAAGAATATCCCTAATGGCACTTAAGCAATATCCAAGCAATGAATTTTCCTTTTTTTCTTTTCATTCTCATTTTCTTGTGTATTGCTTTAATGACGGGAGTGGGAGGATTTAATTCAATTAAATGATGGTATAAACAGCATTTGGAATGGTATTTTAATCTTTAATTAGGCTGATGAAGCAACTTGGAAAATCTACTGATTATGCAGCACATTACTGTAACATTTTTTCTCACTTATATGTCAGTAAAGTTTCTCATCTACTTATTGATTGTCGGAAATGGTTGCCCACTCGCTACAACGTTTACTGAATAATGATTAATTGAATAAGGGAAACAAGCGTAAAATACATAAAAAGGTAGATTGAGTGCTGTTATTTTTTTTTCCTGTTGGGGAAGAGAGAAATTGGCACTTGAACAATCGCTAATGATTAATTAGCAACGGTAAACATTTGAAGCAGCTTTTTTTGTGTTATTTTCCACTTGAAAATTTATTTTTTTATGTGCCTTATAATGAAATCAAAAATAAATGAAGCCTTCATTTTGTATCAACTTGAGTAGTCGTAAAATAAAAAGAATTCTTCCGAATTTACGCATTTAACGAATCATGAAAATGAATCGGAGTTCCAATAGGGTACCAAAATAACAATAGAAATAATTGTTTTCAATTACACACCTTCTTAGGACTTGTTATCTTATCAATAGGTAATTAATTATGAATTTAAGTCTTCAATCAATCAATTATCGTTTGATTAGCCAATTGACAGCATTAATTTTTCTTCATTTTCGGCACATGATTGAAAGATTTTTATTGATTACATTTTCTGTTTCATTCCTCCGCCAGCGTGGTTGTGTAGTGAACAATTATAAAACGTTTTTCTGTTGCTCTACTTACAGTGCATACACATATGAGAAGCAAATTCAGCTGCTATTTTTACATTGATTGTTTGTTACACCTGGAAAGTTGTGATTTTGTATGCTAAGCTTAAGTGGGATTTATGAATAATTTGATTTTATGAAATTATATATTTTAAAGTAAGATCTTGGTTGAACTATTTCAGTACAAAATTCAAGAATAATTGGAATTTCAGAAAGTGATGATTGAAATCTTATTAAGCATGGTCAATTCTTTGGTAAATCATCTAATTAACCGTGTTGTCAGAGATTGTTTAAATCAAAGAATCGAACCAAACTCAAGAATCTGTTTACCAAATAAAAACCAACCGAAATTGATCAAACTGAACACAAAATCACGATCATAACTTCCATTTCCAACATTTAGATTAATTACCTGTTTGATAAATTAATGCCCTAAACAAGACCTTAAAAATCATTGACATTTAATTGAGTAATTTGACATTTAATATTTTGTTTAATGATCAACAATATTAATGATATCGTTTTTACAAACCAAACAAACCGAATGTACCCAGTACATGTCTCATACGAAATGATGCTAAAAAATTAGAAAACGAAGAGCTATGCGACAATGTTCATTGAAGATTTCCGGCGTTTTCATTTGAATGTAAATATGATTAAGAAAAATGTCACTAGCTTCTTTCGCAATTTTATGTTATTTGATTTGCAATCTCTCGTTTGACATTCCCTCTCCGTACCATAAATCATCATCTACAACGGGAATGATGTAGGAATTACTCACTTACTTCATTTGATATTTAAATTTACTACCATGCCTAGTCGTTAATGATGTTTTTAAAAGCAAATATAATTAAATGTCGTTGAAATGTTCATAATTTAATCTTACCGCTCTTTAATGTTATAATAATTTACCTATATTTGCTTGATGCCATTTTAAAATTTTAAAATTGCTTTCCTTTATTGCCTCTTTCTACTCATTTCTTCCACTTTGACAATTGATTGTTGCTGCCGCTCAGTAGCACTTTATGAATATGCAAAGCAATCCGTTAATGGTTTTCTAGAGTAAATATATGAACAATAATCTCGGCGACACAAGAGAGAATGAGAGATAATGTAAGGAGTATATACAGAAGAAGGCGGCGGTTTTGACTTTTATTGTGTGCCATGCTTGCTTCGCTTCTTTATGCGAACTCGATGAGATGAAATTAAAATATTTATTCAAAATCTTAATCCTCAGTAATTGAAAATTAAATACCATTTATTCTGTTTGTACTATTCTGATAAACTTTTTTTTATTCTTTTTATTTTTTGGTGGCATGGCGCTTAATTAATTAATTTTTGTCTCTCTCTTTTTTGTGTGCTCTTTTTTCTGGAGATTGTGATGAAGTTTGTAATGCTGTCCATTCGTCTTTTGGTTGTATCTAGTTCTTCAAAGATCGATCTTAAGAGTTGGTTAAGAGCTTAAGGTGCTTAAGGTGCAGCCAAAATTGAGATGAGGGAGGGTCAAAAGTCACAACTTTGGTCATGTAAAGGGTGTAAATAACCCCAAAACGCAAAAAGGAGTCATACAGATATGATTTACTCCAAAATTCAATCTAGTTTGGCAATTAGAAGCTTCTTTAACATCATTAATAAAAAAGTCTACTCCCCTACGCTGTAGAAACTTGGGTCCAACCAAATCTTAAAAGTTTGGATGTCTGCTTTTCAAAATGACTCGAGTTCGACTCCAAAAAAATATTTGGTTGAAACTCAGTGTTTTTCCTTTTTGTTGAGTCGCAAAACCATCAAAATTTTAAAGCATTTCCCAAACAACTGCGCTTCATCGACCATTCAATGACCATATTCCAAAACTTATTGTCTTCATCATTAACTTTCATGATATATTCCAATTGCCGAAAAAAAAAGATGAATAAGCGAGCAATGACTGTTGACACTGCTAAATTGAGGAAGCTAAAAATTGATTTCACATAAAAAAAGAGAGTGGCTGTTTTGCATACTGTGTGTGGCATACACATAATCATAAAGACATCAATGAGCAATCAATAAGCAGTTGTGTTTGACGAACGTACAAATAAAAAAATAATAAATAAAATAATTTAATATGATTATTGAAAAGGTAGTTGTTGCTATTATTATTATTGCTAGTCATGATATTCGTGTATATTGGGCTCTTTATCATAAATTTATTACTACTGCTGTAACTGTTCAAATATTAAGTGTCAGAATTATTACCATATTTTGTGTGTTTTGTTGACTCTATGATAACTGCTTAATTTGTTTAGTTATGGTTTTAATTTTCCATCAACATTATATGGATTTTCATGATGTATCGATTTTTGAATAGTTGTTGCTTCTTATTTACACAAAAATTGTTTATAATTTTACATGAATTAATTTTTATTTATTAATTCCTAAACCAAATACAATTTTTTAAAATATATATTATAATCATAAATGCACAAAAAGTAACTGACTGTGACTATCTAACAAGCTATAAGCTTTACATTTGCTGTGTTGAATTTCCGTTATATGTATTTCTTTCTTCATCTGAATCGCTGTCTTGATGTAGTCTATGAATATTGCTAGATGGATTAACTCTTTTGTATGTTGCTGATTTTGGTATTGCCCCAGTTTCGAAACTCGATGTTGATGGCTCAGGCTGATTGTATGCATTCATGTTTCTCTTCTTCGCTCTGTGAAAATAATTAAAGCAATTAATGTGTGTTAATTATTTGTATGACGTAGCTAGTATTTTCCATGAAAAAATTAAAGACTATAGCCTGAACAAAAAATAGCTCAAATACTCACGCATCATTAGCGACCAAACTCTCCTCATCTCGTTTACGCTTGCCAGCATCATTCTCAGCATTAGCATCTCTACTTTTAAATACAAAGCCCTTAACGTACGCAAACAAAGCAAATATTGGTGAAAAAAGACCCATAATTAAAGCACTTATCATGTCAAAGAAACTGCCGTCTGTGTTTGTCGGCAAGACGCTACTTCTATTTTGAGTGAAATTATTTGAGGTCTTTTTGCCGGGAATGATTAAAACAACTGACGAAGGAGCTAAATTTAATTGTAATAATGTCTTGCCAAAATCTTCTGAAGTAAATTCACGACGTGGAAATACAGTAGCTAGAGTAAAATCTTTTATGTTAGTTCCTTGTAAAATGTCAGACCTGACAAATGAATATAAATCTCCAAAGAGCATTGTGACATCAAATGTGACAATTTCAGCTTCTCCATCTGGCTTCTTAAATTGAATTTTTGCGGAATCTGAAGTTGTTGTGGGCGTTGTTGGTGCTTGAACTGGTTTTTCAGGCTCTTTAACTTCTGGGGCTGTTGCTGATGTATTAAATCTACGTGCTCGTTCCTTTTTATCGTCTTCAATCTGCTCTAAAACTCTTCGTCTTGCCTCTAAAGCTTGCATTTTTTCTCTCTTTCTCTCATCTTTTAATTGCTGTAGTTCTTGATCATCTTGCCATTTCTTTAAATTCTGTACTTCCTTGCCTTCCTGTCGACGTTTTATTTCTCTCTCTCTTTCGAGTCTTTGTTCCTCCTTAATTTTTTCAATTCGTTTCTCTTCTATTAGCTTCATAGCTCTCTTTATTTTCTCCTGCTTTTCCGCTTCCGTTTCTTCAGGCTTTTCGACACTTGATGTCTCGGGTAACTTTTCTGGTTCCTTTTTATAGCAAACACCATCTTTACAGACAATTTCTGGTGACGACTCTACTTTAGGCTTTGTTTCTGGTGATGATTCTATTACAGGCTTAGCTTCCTGACTTGTTGTTGGTAATTCCTGACTCACAGCACTATCAACCGTTGTGTCTTCATTGAGAGATTTAATAATTATGTCAATAGCTTCGATAATTTCATCAGATGACTTTACAACACTTGTAACAACTTTAATAGGAATGCCATTTTTGATGAAAAATAATGAAGGAACAGGCACTAACTGATCTGTTGCATGAAGGAATGAAAACAAAAACAAATAGAATTTTACACGTAATTCTTATTGGATATAACTTACAGATTTTACAGAACTGGATATATTCAGGCTTATCACTTTCAATCCGAATAGCAACAAATGATTTTGACTGAAGTCTTGAAGATATAGCTTCTGAATTGATGTATTTAGTTAAAGTTTGTGAATTTTCATCCTTTCCTATATAAAGAGAAATTGTGAAAATTTTAATAAGCTCAATATTTAAATGTAATTACGGCTATACCTTCACAGTAGACGACAAATATTGCATTATTAGCTTTGGCTAAACCCACGGCTGATCCTATATCTCCTTGATACCACTGCATTATTGAAGAATTAAATATGTTTCAAAAATCAAAAAATCTTTCACGACAAAATGATGATGAATAATATTTTTTTGATTGAATTTATTTTAACCGTTACAAAAAGTTTCAAATTCTATGCTAAATTCAAACGACTTTTATGCTTCAACATAAACTTTCGCAACATAAATTGTTTAATTAATGATTGTAAATAAGAATCTCATAGAGTTTCATACAATAATTTAGATAAAATGAAATAAACATGATTAATGAGTAGGATTCGATTATGCGACTAGTAAGTATGTAGACATAAAAAAATAGAGCATTAAGGTATACCCCTTAAATATTTTTGTAGACCTTACAATTCGAAGTATAAAATTTGCTTTAAATCTTAAAAAGTGAAAATGGAAAAAATGTAAAATTGCAATATTTCTCAATTAAAAAGCCATTATTATAAGTGAATAATGAAATTCATTAGATTAAGCTATGTTTGAGCTAAGCATATATGTAAATTTAATATAAAAATGTGATCAAAAGAGCTCATTTAAAGGAAAAATGGAAAATGTAAGGAGAAAGAGAAGAGAAAAAAAAGAGTTTGAAAAAATAGATCTATTTGTGGACGAAAATAATCAATTATAATGCTGCAATATTGCTTTAATAATTAATTATCTCTTTATATTTTTTTAAATTTCATTTTTTTCATTAGAAAATATCGCTAATCTGTGAGCCACAGAATGGAAATTCGAGCGAAAATAATAAGAATAATGAGGGTGGTATATATTTATCGTCATCGTCAAATGCATCTACACTTAAAAAGAGTTCTCGCATTTCCAAACATTCATTTGATAATTTAAACAGTTTACAAAACACACCCAATATGAAAATAATATCTAAAATCAATTCAATATCATCATTAAATGATAAAAATTTGGAGAAATTTTCACTAGCAGGAAATAATAACAACAACAATAGATTCTTGGCCACAAAGTCATCATATATAGACTCATTCGATTTCCTATCTGGGGGCTCTTCCACATACAATACGTTAGATACGCAGCAATTGAGCTCTATTAAAAGTCTCAAATTTAATAATAATAGTGATAATTCTTCCGCTTCTTCTGCTGTGTTCTGGGATTTTACTAAACCTGGTGTCTCCTCGCTGCCTACTTCATCAAGTACTAACTTGCGAAATACTGTTTCCTCATCGAATCTAACACTCAATAATTTAAGTTATGCAGCTGATAATCAGACAAATCAGTCATCGTCATCATCGTCATCAACGGCAATTCCCTTAGTGATCCCACAAAAGTTTCAATTTAATCAGCCACAGCCTGTTATGAAATCTCTTGGCTCAACAACCTCTTCGTCGTCCACTTCGACAATGGTTCAACAACATCATCAACAACAACAACAACAGCAGCAGCATCAAGATGAGCAATTGCAAATGTTATGCAGCAGAAAGAACTCACTACCACATAGTAGTAATTTAATTAATAATAATAATCATACAACAAATAGCAACAGTAGTGATTTAAACAATGGTGTAACTAAACAAAATACAAAACTCAATCAAACATCGACTTCTTCGTCGAGCATACAGGTATCTAATGCAACGGGTACGGGTACCCTTGAGAGTTTACTCCATCATCATCAACATCAACAGGATCAGCAGCAGCAACAACAGCAGCAACAACAACAACAAAACGGAACTAATCAATGTACAGATCTACAGCAGCAACAAAGTAAATCTCAAACAATGAAATGCCCAGTTGTTGCCTCTCCTCATCAAGTAATGATGCTCTATATGAATAAATTAACACCATATGAGCATCATGAGATTTATAAATATCCGCATATTTACTTTATCGGTGCTAATGCAAAGAAGCGCTCAGGTACGGGCCCAAATGATTATGACAACGAAAACGGCTCATACATTCACATACCACACGATCATATTGCATATCGCTATGAAGTGCTCAAAATCATTGGTAAAGGTAGCTTCGGACAAGTAGTTAAAGCTTATGACCACAAAACACTCGAGCATGTTGCACTCAAAATGGTGCGTAATGAAAAGCGATTCCATAGGCAAGCACAAGAAGAAATTCGCATTTTAAAGCATTTACGAGCACAAGATAAGGAGAATACATTTAATATAATTCACATGTAAGTAATTATTTTTAAAAATTTATTCATTATAATTATTATTACTTGATTGATGTTTGTTTTTAATTTTAATTATGCATCATCATATTTGGTTCATTTAATCTACGTTACTACGGAACTGGGGATGTTCACTTATTACGTTATGGAAAATAATGACATTTTAGACTCAATTCCATCTTTGTTACAAATTTTGCATGTAATGTGTCGTGTCAGAGCAGAGGTTCTCAATCTATGCTTCGTTGGGACCTCCTCTCAAGTGGCTAATCCACATTAATGTCTAGTTAATAGCTGGACCAATAGTTAACTTTGATTAAGCTGATCGGAGGTCTAATTAATAACTTAACATTAATGTCTAGTGCTCAATCCAATCAGTTCCTTGAAAAAATCAAAAGTATGTCAATAGTAGCATCTCATGTAATTCTGAGTAATGATAAGAGTTACTGCTCCGAGCCTTGAAAAATAGGAGAACTGCTGGTTTAATCTGCTACAATATCCTCGCTACATAAAATAGGAACGAGTTCTCGTGAGCCTTTACGAAAGTTTAATTGAAATTTACAAAAATTCAAGACTCAAAAATTCATTTTTTTCTTCAAAAACCACTTAAAGTGTAGAAAGCATTCAAAAAATGGTTGAGAAAATCGTGACATAATTGTCGATAATGGGAATTTCGTTGGGGCTCAATTTCATTCAATATTTGCGTTCATATCAGCTGACTCACTACATTTCATTTCCTTATTATTCATGGTTCTTTTTCTTATTATCTCTCTTTATTTTATATATTTTAAGGTTTGACTATTTTGTCTTTCGTAATCACATGTGCATAATTTTTGAACTCCTACATATAAATTTATATGAATTGATAAAGAAGAACAAGTTTCAAGGATTTAGTCTGCAACTTGTACGTAAATTCGCTCACTCACTATTGCAATGCTTAGATGCTCTCAATAAATTCAAAATAATTCACTGCGATATGAAACCTGAAAACATACTACTGAAGCAGCAAGGTCGATCGGGAATTAAGGTGAGCTATAACTTAAGACGCTTATTGACCATAAAGAAAATAATATCGAATTATTTTTGGCAACTTCCTTATTTACACAAAAAATATGTGTTTTTATTCCTAAATTTCTTCTTTTTCTTCCTCCTCGCTCTTTTTATACTCACATTGTAGGTAATCGATTTTGGTAGTTCATGTTATGAGAATCAGCGAGTTTATACATACATACAATCAAGATTTTATAGAGCTCCAGAAGGTTTGTACACTCTCTTTGCATCACACACATCTTCTCCTTTATGAATATTTCATTTCACATTTCTTTTCATACCTCAATTCAATCATCCAAACTATAGTGATCTTGGGTGGAAAATATGGAATGCCAATTGATATGTGGAGTCTAGGTAAATACAATAATAAATAATCATAATGAAATTTATGTCACATATCTAAAAATCGAATTATTCTCTCCATGATATATATTCAGGGTGCATTTTGGCAGAACTATATACAGGCTATGCAATTTTACCGGGCGAAGATGAATCAGATCAGCTTGCATGTATAATAGAATTGCTTGGTATGCCGCCCAAGCAAGTGCTAGGTAAATATTTGTTTATTTTTAAAACATGAATTAAAAGCAAGCAAACATTCTGCTATGAACACTATGTATGCCATCGACGCATAGAAGGAAAAAAAATATGTCTGCAATTGATCAATGAATGATGTGAAGGCGTATAAGCTTACGAAGGAATTAGTTGTGTATGTCCTTTTTGATACCTCAAACAACTGAGAATCAATGTATTGAACTTTAGGGTATACATTACAATTAAGGATAGGTTGCCCTCATTGGATCTTCAATCTGAAACGAGAATAAAAATTACTCCAGGCCAGGATATATCCAATGAAGAAGCATACAAAAAAACTGTCCTGGATTTATTTGTATCAACAAGTAGCTCAAAGTAACCTAATTGTATGCATGAAATCAAGATTATGCAAATTGTCGAGAGCCTTAGGCACGAAATGTTATGCGGACTTTTTTTTTTTTTTTAAAAAAAAAATCAATGTCTCTGTAGTCAAAGTGCTACCTAAAATAGTTTTCCTAGCTACAAACGACACATAAAAAAAATCATTTAATAAAAATGAGCAGCAAAAAAGCAGGAACTTAAAATTTCATTTCCTTTTGTTTCATTTTAGAAAATTCTAAACGTGCTAAAATATTTTTTAATGCAAAAGGATATCCTCGATATTGTACGACTAAAACTTTAGATGACGGTTCGGTGATAATGACGGAAGGTTTTTCACGACGTGGAATAGTAAGAGGACCGCCAGGAACACGAAAATTAAAAAATGCTTTAAATGGATGTGAAGATGTGTATTTTTTACAATTTATAAATGAATGTTTGGAATGGGTACCAGAGAAGAGACTCACACCCGAGCAAGCACTTCATCACTCGTGGTTTAAGAGGAGATTACCGAAGCTTCCAAGTAGCGGAACGAGTAGTAGTAATAGTTATAATGCATCAAAGCAAACTCATTCTCTAACAACGTCCAATAATACGCTTGCAAATAATGATGGTAAGGATTTATCTTCATCATCATCCGTTGCTGGAGCAGGTGGAAGTAATAGTAATAATAAAGGAATTACCACAAATTGCTTTTATTATGACAACACATTACATCAATTAAATATTAATAATAATCAGTATCAACACAGTGATGAGTCAAAATCCTTACCTGGAAATGCAACATTTCATGCACACATGCACAGTTCAGCATCGAAATTGGGTGATAAATATCAATGTGAAAGCTATCAAGATTTAACGAATCCAAATCGTAAATCGACAATGACTTTAAATCGTTTAATGTCTTCATCAGTTCATTCAGCATCAACATTATCATTAGTTTCTTCTCATAATAGCACTAATAATCATAGTGGATCTTCAGCCGCAAGTGGCATATCATCGAAATTAAATTTACCACAACTTAATAATTAATAATTAAGGCTTAAGTTTAAAAAAAATTATTAAATGAAAGATTTTATGGAACATGAATATCTCAACAGAGTAGGAAGTAGTCTCCTCGCACGGATGGATGACTTAAAATTTGGTGTGCATCTTTTGCCGGGATCAATCAGTATATTAGCTTGAGTATTATAACGGTTTTTTTGAAATTCAAAAATTATGATCTGAACTGAGAGATTTGAATTGATTGACTGAATGATTTGATTGAGTCAGTCAGCCTCAGTACTCAAAGTGATAGCACCGTGCAAAAAATGCAGTCCCCACATTGCGCATTTTAATGTGTATTAATGCAATTGTATCTCTTCTTCGCTATATAGCTTTTATTGAACATTTTTTTTTAATTATTATTTTCTGTTTTTAGCAAAAAAATGAAATAAAAAAATGAGAGATGAATGATATAAATTCTTTACTATTGAAATTATTGATAGAACATTAGATATTTAAAAGAAAAAAAATAAATCTTTTTAAAATGTTATAAAAAAATGAAAGTGTCTAAAATATAAGGAAAAAAAGATGTCTTGATAAAAAATTAGATTAAATACAAAATCTGGATAAAGATGAAAACTATTTAAATGATAGTGAAAATTCTACTGAAGCATTAAATAAAAAAGATTATTTAGAAAATTTCAATTAATACATATTTTTTAATTCCATCTTTTTCTTGTTATACAGGTGAAACCTTTTCATTGAGTGACTTTATCTTTATTACTGGGAGGCTCGTTCACTTACTAGGTTTGCATTGTTTTGAGGGTCTTGAATTTTGAAGTGATCAAATAACACTTGTTTGGAAATTAAGAGGAGGGGGGGGGGGGGGGGGGGGGGGGGGGGGTGTATAAAAATATTTTTCTGTAGGTAACGCAATTAGTGAACGGTCTACAGATGTTATTGCATTAAATTGTTTTTATTATCATTAGACTAGCTGGTTTGATTTCAGCTGCTCCTCGAATTTGAAACTGTCCACGAAGTTTCAATGGGAGGGGGGGGGGGGGGTGTATAAAAATTAATTTTTCTGTAGGTAACGTAATTAGTGAACGGTCTACAGATGTTTATCATTAGACTAGCTGGGTTGATTTCAGCTGCTTCTCGAATTTGAAACTGTCCACGAAGTTAAGGGGGAGATTATTGGGTAACATAATCATTGAACGAACCTCTGAGTTAATTATAAATTCTTTCTCAAATTGAATCAATCGTGGGAATTTCCAAGGAATTTGACACATGAAAACAAATAAAGGAACATGGGAATATCCCAAATACTTTTTAAAGAAATATTCAAAAGAGTAACGGTTTTAGAAAATTCAAAATTGGCGCTAGAGAGGTATTCAAAAATTAGTTTAAGCAGGTTGCGGGTTAAAATATCCTCCAAGAAATTCAAGTTAAAAATTTTATTACTAAATTCTCGTTAAAGCAGAACAAATCTATTTGTTTAAAAAGTCTGAAAGTATTCATAAAGTCCAGAACATAACAGCCGTGATAAAAGTTTCATACAAAAGCGATTAAAATCAAGTTTTTTCTGACCTTAAAATTTATTTCCTGTCATCATTCGTAAAATAAAATTTCATCTTGGATTAGAAAAAAAGTTGTGAAAGGTACGAAAATCTAGTGAATATAATGTTAATAACATTGAAATATGAAAATAAGTATAATTAGTGATGTGTTTAATATGAATTTGTGATGATTGCATAAAAATTATTGCGTGAAAATTCCGAGTCAAAAGTTCATCAACATTCACATATAATAATTCCTCTCTTGTGTCTCTTTCTCCGTCTCCCACACATCTATGATTCACTTATTTTACTATATACGTACGAAATGGCAACAAAGCACCCGTCGACATAGCTCCATTATCGTAAATGAAAAAACAAAGATAAACCAAACCTTTTTTACAATTCTGATTAATTCCTTGCATTAATTGCTGCCTTGTGTCTATATCCACAAGTATTCTCGACAATGATTTACATATTTACAGTTGGAACGACTCATGAGCAGTCACAAAAGAGAATGTTTTACGCACAAACTTATTTATTTTCATTTCTCGTTCTGTTCTGTGGCTTTTTTTTTCATTCATAAGCAGCATAAGTGAGGAACTGACTGAAATGCCGTTTCCAGTCTTTAAAAATCTGTAATAAAAAAAATACACAAAAAATTCATATGTGTGTATAAAATAAGGAACATAAAAATGCTGTATTTTTGGTGTGCAATTAGTTAATGGCATGTGAAAATAGACGAAATTGCGTTTGTAGAGTTAGTTAAATATGGAAAAATCGATATGTGGAAAATTTCTGTGGCTTCATGCATTAAACCGCTAGTGCTGCACATATGTACTTCATGTTTGCCTTCCTAATTGAATTAATAATAAAGAAGTACAGGCACAAAAGAAAGGAAAATTCCAATAATCACAATCGATTGATTTCAGTACCCAGAAATGTCGAGAACTTGATAACATCTGTAGCTTTGTCATGTAAAATCACGAATCTTGTATGACCATTTTTCTTCGTCTTTCTTTGTATCAACACCCATCCAATATATCACAAATGTATACTAATGGCACTCTCTTCCTTTGTTACAGACACAATATAAAGCATATAAAATTGAAAATAAACATTCAAAATGCAGATGAACGTAGCAGGACTGCGAAGAAATATAAAGAATTTAGCACACAATTACACTGACGCTCAGGTGAGTGAACTGATAAGATAGCCAAATACGGGCTGATAATTGAAAATGATAACTGAATTTTTAACTTTATTTCTCTTCTCTGGATGCTTAGGTAAAAGTGAGAGAAGCTACAAGTAATGATCCATGGGGTCCATCGTCAACAATTATGGCTGAAATAGCTGATTTGACATATAATGTTGTTGCCTTCTCTGAAATCATGCAAATGATTTGGAAACGAACTAATGATCATGGAAAGAACTGGCGTCATGTTTATAAAGCATTATTATTGCTGGAATATTTGATTAAGACGGGATCAGAAAAAGTAGCACAACAATGTAAGGAGAATATCTTCTCGATCCAGACACTTAAAGACTTTCAGCATTTGGAGGAAGGTAAGGATCAAGGCGTTCATGTACGTGAGAAAGCAAAACAGCTAGTGATTTTATTGAAAGACGATGAACGATTAAAGGCTGAACGTGCGAGAGCATTGAAGGCAAAGGAGAGATTTGCAAGAACAGCAAGTGGTTTTGGAAGTGATGGCTCCATTGATGGGCCAAGTAGAGACACGCCAGTTTGGCCAGAGTCTGATCGAAGGAGTTATAATGATATGGAATTTGTTAGACCACAGACTGTTGGTGAAGAAGAATTACAGCTACAATTAGCGATTGCGATGTCAAAAGAGGAAGCTGACCAAGAGGAATCCAAGAGACGCTCTGATGATGTAAGATTGCAGCTTGCTCTTAGCCAAAGCGAACAAGACTTTAAGAAAAGTGATGATAAGCCGGGTGACGGTGCATTAGTAGACTTGTTAGACATTTCCTTTGGTGCATCAGGAATTTCAAGTCCACCGCACTCGAATGATGCTTGGGGATTGCCTGCAGGATCTAGGCAACCTCCACAGCCAGCAGCTCGTTCAATGGTAATAAAAAAATACATTTTCTCAAAATTACAAACATTTTATTGACATTTTCTTTATATTACTTTATGTCTGCTATAAATAATAATAATAACAGGGAAATGATATATGGTCGGCGTCAAAACCAGATCCTTGGCTGCCTCCACCTCCTATGAATAATACGGCTTCAGCATTTCCTTTAACATCGTCAGCAGAAGCACGAACGAAATCGCCTGCTGCGAACTCTAGTTCATCGATTGAGGGATGGCTGCAAAATGTTCCTCCACCAACATCAAATGCAGTTCCCGTTTTGCCTGCAAAAACACTTTCAAACGAATTAAATGAGTCGTGGACAGCAGTTAAAGCTGATCCTTGGGCAACAAACAACAAACCGCCACAACAAGTGCCTGATCCATGGAATGCAAAGACTTCAAGTGACCCGCTTGATCCTTGGGCACCACTTGCTGGTGGTGATCTAGCTAGCGGTGTAAGTATATCCATTAAAACTTTTTTGGACTTGACAGTTATTTTTCATAAAAGATTTTGACGGTTGATATTTGAATATTATTTCCTTTCTCAGTTTCCAGCACCTTCACGTCAAACAAATAGTGCTCTAGCTGGTCTTACGCCTGGCTCGGACTTGGATGAATTTGATATAATTACAAATCGTAGTAAATCAGCGCAGCAGACATCATCGTCGCCTGCTAATGACATGTTAAATCGCGAGAATAACAATCTTCATGATTTGCTCGATTTAGATCCACTTGCCCAAAAGAAGCCACTACCACAACAATCCAAGACTCAAAATCCTGCAGCTTTTCTCGGTGAAAATTCAGCTCTTGTTAATCTAGATAATTTGATAAAGCCAATAAATCCATCGAGTAACAATAATGCATATAATCCATTCAGTGACTCACCGGCGATGAAAAGGAATTTATTCCAACAAAATCAGCCTCAGGTATGACGTCAAAGACATTAATGATTCATTAAAAGATAATATTTTGGACTTTTAACCTTTTTTTGTAGAATCCGTCCATGAATCAATTAAAACAGCAACAACAGTTTCCAGTTGCGCCACTTCAATCAAAAGATCCTTGGGCACCAGTGAACAATAATAGTAACAATGATAACAATCAGGTGAGTTAATTTAATGATAAGAAATTAAGTGAAATTTACTGAAAATCGTCATTTTTTTACTTAAAAATCTGATCAAAGTCGAATGTTTATGCGGATATTGATAATGGTGATTTAAATAATAATAATTTTATTATAACAATCGATAATACAGAAGAATTGAATAACATTAAGAACATAACAGCAGACGTCGACGACGACGAGTTTTTTAATACGAATTACGTAGACAATTCAATTGCATTAGCTACGAATTATAGTAAAAGCTTAAATGACATTCGTATGACACATGAAAATGTTCAAATGCGATCTAATTCAATCGTTATTCATACAGATGACCTTTTCATGTACAGTTATAATAATAATAAAAATAATAATGATAATACTAAATGTTTTATCAATGATAATGATGTGAGTACTTCAAACCTAGCCAGCAAAGAAATCTCTTCCAATAATTTTTTGCATTAATTGCTCGAAATGAAAGAGATTTGATATTCATTTTCAAGTTTTTTATTATCATAGTAGTTGTGCGAGTAGTCGCTATCATTATGTATCTTGTTTTATGGCTTATTCATTCTCAGCTCATTATCACATTTGAAGTATTTTTAATCACCATCGGACATGTAAACAATGTTGTTTCTCCTCTTTCTATCGATTGGAAAAACTACTATTAGAATTGGATATAAATTGATCGTTTCTAGCGCACTTTTGAAGATTATAAAAATTTGATGAAAAAATAACGACTTTTTCAAATTTGAATTAAACAATTTTTTTACCGGTTTTTGAAAATTCAAAAATTATGCTGCAAAAAGTGCGCTAAAATTCAAAAATTGATAGCAAAAAAAACCGTTTTACATGTTTAATGTATAATTTAATTTCAAACCTACCTAAATTTCTTATAGCCAGCAATACGAAGCGGTTGGATGCTTAAATAATCGATAATATAGTATTATTGTTGGTTGTTAATCTGGTAATGACCTTTGCATACTTTTTCCTTCACATTACATAAAAATTACTTTACATAATTTCTTTATTTTCTTATTATTCACTATGTTTTAATTGAATTATCAGACCTTCAAATTAGTCTCGAAGTGTCATTATTATTACTACCGCTAATTTCTTATTTAAGTAGTTTCAGCACAGTCACATGTTTCTTTATTTTCACATGGAATTTTTTACTTTTTTTATTATTATAATGCAAACTGTTTTGTTCTAATTTGTAAGATATGAATTTATTTATTTTTGACTATAATGTTGAATTTTTTCGGAAATATTATTACTTTTATTTGCCACTTTTTGTGTATAATTGATAAGCTGTGGGTTTGAGTCATGACGTTTGTGACATTCATTTCATTTTAATGGGAATATTGCGTATTACTTTATAAAGCCTTTATTAGAATTAATTCTAGTTTAGTTGAAAAATGGTTGATAAAAGTCTGATTGACATCGAGGAGATGTTTGATAATTTCGTGAATCTAACGCGATTTCTAGTTTAAAGCTGCAACCTTACTGACATACTTGCTTTATTAAAGCTGTTCAAATTTGAATTAACCACCATGATTCATACCGAAAAATATCTTTTCTCAAATAGAACAATCTGAAGCAGAATTTTAGTTCCTTGATAGCACAAAATGTTTGGAATTGATCAAAATAATCAATAAATGATTCATCAGTCAGCACTCTTTACTAGCATTAGAACTACAGTGTTCTTAAACCAGCTTAGCAATAAACCTTTGATTACAGTCACATGCTTAGTATTAACTTAAGCATCATGCACAAATTATGCACTTGAGCAACGTGCTTTTAATAACTTAAGCAGCTTTACAGTCATAAAGATTTTAGAGTTGGTTTTAGAACTTTACTAAGCACATAAGCGCACATTTTCAAGCCATTCATTTGCAATAGTCTTTAATTAATTCATGCTCTTCAATGGGGTTTGTTTTGACATCGACAAAGCACTTGAACATGGCTCTTGGATTGAAAATTCAATTATTTAAGATTGAATGACTTGGTGGTACTCAATTTGACTAATATTAAATTTGGGGTTGTTCATAATTCAAACTACTTTTCAGGTGAGGATAAAATTCAGGATTTTGTTTAAGAGTAAGGGGTCGTTCGCTTATGACGTCCGAAATTAATAGTCATTTTTTAAAATAACACAATGGATTACTAGGAATTTCTATTGTTCTTTTCTTGCTGACACCCCTTGGAAGTCATAAGCGAACGGCCCTTAAGACATGAGTGGGAGGTTGAAAATCTCAATTTATAATAGACGTAATTTATGAACAACCAATCTCAAAGGTTTATAAAGTAATATTAATCTTCTCACAAAGACTGCAAATTTTATGACCCAAATCTAGTTCCAAACCAATAAATTAAACTTTACTAATGTCATCCTTTACTATTTCATTTCAGAACACCATAAATAATAATAATATTGGATGGAATCCAAATCAATCAAATCCATTTCTGTAATTCTATGGAATTCTAAACTGGATTTCAATGCTTTTCTATTTTGATGGTAAAAAAACAAAAAAAAAATCATAAAGTTTGATGATGAAACTTTTCGATAAACTATAGAAAGTATGTATTATATTAGGATGAAAGATAAAAAAGGAAAAAAAAAAAACTTTTTAATGAAACATTTTGCTATTCAAGTTTATAATTATAATAATTATAAAGCGAAGATGATTATACAACTGTATTTAGATAGTTTTTGGACATAAATATGCAATTCATAGCTTCAGCAAAAAACATATAAGTGGATGGATAAAAAAAAAATTAAATCATTTGTTTAAAAAAAAATTCTTTACATAAAAGAAGCCTCAGTCATTGCAACTCGATGCATAGTTAAGCCTCACTTTCTTCTGTAATTCTTAATTTTATGTTCTTTAATTATATTTTGTGTAACTCTTCATTGTACAACGACTCAGCAATAACTAATGAATAATCACCTTTATTCAATCAAATCAATCAATTTTTGCACTAATTTAGATGATAATTGAGATCAAATGAGATTCTTCTATTGTCTACCTTCTTGCAATTCTATTCTTTTAATTTTTTTTAATGTCAAATATTTTTTTACTTACTTCGCTGGTCGTACAGATCAATTGTGATCCATGACCTACTTTAGTAGTCTCCTAAAGCTAGCTCTATCGCTGGTCATTTTTTTATTGCGGAAAATTATAGGAATCAAGGGCGAAGCCAGATGCGGGTCCAAATTTTGAAATTCGGTATAAATGAAATGGGCGATTCATTCAAATTGACTGCATTATATTAATCGTGCATTAAACACTCTGGCTACGTACCTTTTAGGAATTATGTTGATAAAAACTATGTGCAAGAAAAAGTAAAAAGATTTATTTAATTAAGACAATTTAAGGGTAAACAAATGTGTAGAAAAGGAAATGCTGATTGTTGAGAGTGACTGGATTTTCTATTTTAAATTGATTAGTTATTTTTGTAAGACTTATTGATGAGCTTGAAGTCAAAACTAGACAAGTGTGCTTGATTTTTCCAGAAAAAAAAAACTTTTTGGATATGCCTGCTAATTTGGACATTGAGAATCGATTTTTATGACATTTTGTGACAATTTTAACAAAGGAAATACTAATTATTTGGATTTAAGGGGTTTAAGAACCCAGTTTTATGCATTACGTAATAAGTAAACGACCCCCAAATATGTTTTTGATTCAATAAAGCATAAACTCGTCCGAAAAACCGCAAGATTACAATGAATCGTGCGAAAATGTAATAAAATGTTGCGTGACTGTCACATAACTGTCATTGAATTTCCTTCCATTAAGCTAGAAACCATAAAGTTTAGTTTTTATCACAAACTCATTTCTAAATGTGTCGCGTAACTGTCACATTGATTGACGACTAAGATTGTCTTTATTCAAGAATTTGAGCGATTTTATTCAAGAATTAAGGGAACTTTGATGAGTAAAGACAACTTCCATCAAGAACTTTAGTCAATAAGTTTTTAATACTCATCTATTAAACAAGATCCAATACCCAGTCACTCCCAATGATCAGCAAAATAATGATGTAATGATTTTATAAGTTTCTATCAGCATTGGAAGTATAATAATTAATTACCTTAATACACAACAACAACATAAAAAAAATCAGTAATCCATTAATGTTTGAATATCCACGTTGTGTCTGTAAATTGTGCATTGTTAATTACCTCAGTAATTAATTTACTAATGCGTTCAGGGAATGAAACAAAAAAAGTAAGTTCTGACTTAATTGTAAGTGCGACAAAAATGACCTTTTGTTAGTATTATTGTAAATGACTATGAGATTCTGGGGTGCTACCCATGCACCCTCTTTTTAAACCCCCAATCGATTTTTCACCCTTTTTATGTCAAAAGTCGTACACTTTTCACCGTTTTGTGATTGCAAAGTGATTTTGGCAAGAACTTCAAGACTTTTTTGGAACCAACTTCCTGAATGCATTTAGAGAGTTGTAATGAATGTAAAATTTTACCATTGACTCCCCTTCCTCCCTTCAGATTATTAATATTTTAAATTCTACTTTAATGTCATCTACGAAGGTCAAGTGATGAGCATGTTCCAAGTGTACCACATTGTGTACAAATTGACATGCTCAACATTTAATCGAGTACTTTATTGAAAATGAAGTATATACATATTAATTTAATGTAGTCAATTCAATTTATACATAAATTATTATTCTTTATATTATAATTATTATTATTATTACTAAAATATAATTTTGTTGCAAGTCTGCGAGTAAAAAATGATCAAAATTTTAAGTTTGTAATGCAACATGGAATCCATAAATTAATAGAAAATATACATTCTGTAATTTGCTAATAATTAAAATATATTTTTCTAAAATCAATTGTAGCTTTTTACTGTATTTAAGCGTTTTTTACAGACTAATTAGGTTTTATAGGTTGGGGGACGTTCATAAATTACGTTTGATAATAAAGAATATTTTTCAAAAACAAACAATAGAATTCCAAGCAATATATTGTTCTAGAGCTCTTTGACACCACACCTGTGACGTCACTTATGATTCTGATGGGGATATTGCATTTATTGACGACATACAGTCCGGTGTAAATTCACATTTTACACTTTTGTATTTGTATACATATGAATTAGTATTATGTAGGATCAAACTTCTAATCTTCAAACCTAGGTTTCAAGTAAACTAAGGCTCTCGTTTCGATTTTCTGTAGGCGTGACGTGATACTTTTCAGGTGCGTTCTGACAATATTCCATTATAATGGTAATCTTGTAGCTCTCGTTCCTATTTCTCCCGCTACACTTTAAGATCCTGACCCGTTCCTTAATCCAACGTTGACCAAATGCCCAATTATGGCTTGATCTACATTAAGCTGTCGAAGTATCTAAACTTCCGAAAAAGAACAAATTTGGAAATGGCTGGATTCGAACCGACGACCTTCGAGTTGCCATCCCGAATTTGAGCCAAGCTCCTTGCCTATTCGACCAGCAAGACACTTAAGTGCTATATGCAAGGCTCTCAAGTGATTTAGAGCTTATTGAAATCAAATATCGACATTTAAAGCTTATGCAGCTGCTCAACGATAGAATCTATCTAACCCAGCCTCTAGCTGTTAACGAGTAGCATAAACATCATTGCTGAAACTCAAAACCAATCAAAATTACCTTTATAAAATTCAAAACCTTTATTTTAAACCCAAATTGTGCATCAATTACCATTTATTAAGCATATAGCAGAACCTTTTTACATTTCAAATGCAAAACTTGATCGATCACCTACATCGACAGGCATTCCATCTAAGAATCGATCATACATTCCATAATTATCAATCTTTGCTTTCTCTTTGACACATGTTGTTTCAGGTACGACAACACAGTCTGGATTCTTGACATTTTCCTTTTCGTTGACGAATTTACACTTATTGGTGCGTGCCCAAATGAGAAGTTCCTTCATACAAATGCATTGGAGTGGATTTTGTCCAATTGATATTCGCTGGAGTCTAGAATTTAAATAAAATGATTAAGGAATTGCATGGATCCAAAAAAACCTTACTTTTTCAAACCAGCTGTGTCAGGAATGAAGGAAATTCGATTATTTTGAATGCTAAAATCTTCCAAAGCATTGAAATTCTTGAAGAAAGTTGGAACTAGAAAGTCAATTTCGTTGTCATCAAGATATAGTTCCTGTAGCTTGGTGTTGCTCTTGAGTGAGTCTGGTGACAACTCTTTGAGTTTATTCTGCAATCAAATTGTTTAAAAAATGTCATTAGGTTATTAATATCAGGCAGATCAATCGGAAGTGACTTCTATAAAAAAAGATTAACATCAAATTTCAAAGTCAATATCAAGCTCTGAATTTTAGAGTTGATCTGTGGTTTGTCTTTGATACATTAAGGACTGATCTAAGTATTTTGACTTATAACTTACCGACGACAAGTTCAGAGTCACCAAGTTCTTAAGAATAGCAAACAAATTAGCATCAATGTCTGCAAGCTCATTCTGTGCCAAGTTAAGCTTTCTCAATCTATTTCCTCCAAATTTAGTTCCAAAAAGTGCTGTTGTGAATGTCTTAATTTTATTGACAGACAAGTCTAAGTTCCTCAGCTGTAGATTGTTCTCAAAAGCATTCGGTTGGATTTTATCGATCTTATTGCTATCAAGGTACAATGACTGCAATAAAGTCTGCTTCACGAAATTTTTCTGGTGAATTTCCGTAATTTTGTTGTGTGAAATGTCAAGATAGGTCAGTAGAGGTAAGTGGCTGCAAAATAGTCATGGAGGATGCTACAGAGCTTGATGTCCACTTGCATTAAGTCGACTACAAGCTCTGGTACATTATTCTGAGATTTATATTGTGGAAAATCTCATATTTTGCTGTCAGGATACTCTTAAGTCTTGAAAACGTGATGGAATTCTGACAACAAAGTTGAGCTGCTCTAGTGGACAGAGATCGCTTTCTAAGGCTTAGGATTAACGTTGACTGTGACTAGCCTAGCCTTAGAAAAAAAAAACCTTTACCTATTCAGATCAATTGTGATCCAGAGGTGCGCTAGGGCGTTTCGCAGCTAATGAGAGTTTAACCAGTGAGGATGCGCCAAACCACTGCACTCAAACCTAGATCTACAATTTATAGTGGGATCCTGGTGGGATCCGAACCACTCCTTTGATGACATTTCTGCCTGTAGCCTACAAAGGAAGGCTGTGAGCCTCATTTCCAGTACATATGATTCGAAAAAGGACAAGTGAAAAATTTTCCCATACCCAGTCTCGAACCCATGATCGCTGTGTCGGTAATGCAATAATTAGGTACCGAAGTACTAAACCATTCCGCCACCGAGCCACTTCAGCTCACTAACCTTAGAAACCAACCCTAAATCTTCAGGTAAGAATCTTTAATACTTACGCAAATGAATTTTGATAAAGCGGTCCGATTGCATTGTATGACAAATCAAGTTCAACAAGCTTTGTCTTTTCGCCTCCTATAAATCATCACGAGTTCTTTAAAAATATCCAACTTCCAAACAATCATACATACCTCCAAATGTCTACACAAATAATGATCTTAATTAAATTAGCATATAATAATTGAATATAAAAGTTAAAGCTTACCCAGTCACCAATGTGTGGCATCTTGTTGTTACTCAGGTTGACATACTTCAAGCTTTCAAGTGTCTCCAGCCATCTATCAGCAACTCCATGAATCACATTCTCTGCTAAGTTGAGGAACTCTAGTTTTGGCATTCGAACGTAGTTTCCTCCGATCTGGATTTAAGGCATATTAAGGAGTTATTGGAAGTTTGTAGATCAAAAACGATTGAAATTAGTCAAATTTTTTTTATCAGTTCCAAAATTCAGCATCAAACCTTAAACTTACATTATTCAAAGCATTTCCTTTCAAATTTAACGTTTTCAAATGATCAAGATTCTCAAAATGCACAGACTGTATATGATTATTAGTCAGAGCAACTACTTCTATTTTCTTTGAATCCATAAATGTGTGCGCTTCCACAAACACCAAATCATTATTTGATGCATTAAAGAACTTTAATTTCGGTAAATATTTCAAATTGTCGCGCCTCAACTCTGTCATTTTGTTACGGCTGATGTCAAGCACCTCAATATTCTTTTTTGTAAACCAGCTGTTCTTGAATGCTTTAATTCCTGTATTTGAAATGTCGAGTTCCCTCAATGAGTCATATGATGCAAATCCGTTGTCATTAAAATTCAGCTTCCCCACGCGAGATAAGTCGAGTGATTGTATAAGATGGAGATAAGGAACGTTGACTTAAATAGACACAAAAAAATCAAAATTAAAAGCTTGGCATTTCACAGATAAGAGAATCAATTACTTGCATTGTTTGTAAATTCCACAACTGGTGCCTTGTTGATTATTTTAACGTTTAGCCATTCTGCTGTGTCTTTTATCTCGTCTGCAATATCGTTCATAGAACCAACATTTTGACATAGCACAGATTGTGATGCATCCAGTTTATCATGCACAATTGAGCACTTTTGTGCAATGGAAAATTTTAAAATTACGCAAATGAATAAAAATTTAAATTTCACGTCCATCTTTAAGTCTACACTTGATGAGATTCTCTTAAAGACTGAAGGCACTTTATAGCCGCTTATCATTTCTCAATGTACTCAAGTTCATGAACTTTTGGGCTCTCAAAAAATTATTTTGATTATGCTGGGAATTGCGACATCTGAAGCTTTTGAGAGATTGATGCTGTCTGCTTTAAGAATCTAGGAACTGGGGGGAGTTTGAATTATCCACGAGTGAATTGAACAGTTCCGTACCCTTGGACCACCCATTTGTTAATTGCTATTAAATTGGTCTCTATCTCACCTCAGTGAGTGCTTGCAGCTCACATACGATTTGTGGTTTGTTGGATTTGCTTAAAGCTGGGTTCTCAGATATTTCCAGTAAGGTATAGACTCATACCAAAGGTCCACATGTTCTAAGACTGTAGCTGTATTTAACCAATTTTTGTAGAGTATTCGAGTGTTTATAAGGCTTCAAATGATGCCTGTTGTATTGAAATGAGGAAGTCAATTGAATGTCAATTGCATGTCATCTGTAGATCCTCTTTGATCATTTTACTCAAACAAAGATTTAACAGATCTTAGTAATCATTATATTGAAAAATGAAGCAAGAAAATAAAAGAAAGTGGAAAATAATAATTTTTATATCATGCTTAAAAGCACTAGCCATCCTTACATACACACTGCAGAAGATATTTCAGGACTCTTTCGAATATTCGTTGCTCAAAACTTGGATTATAATTTTGTCAATCTTCATCCCACTCACAATCTTAATTACATGCCATACATACTCACAATGCATTTTTATGCTGACTATTCCTCAAATTGTCAGCAAGAGAGGAAGAATGTTTTTGATTGCAGCAGCATTTTTAATTGCATTGTCAGGTCCGACGAGAAATTTGATTAGGAATGGTGAAATTTTGTCTGAAAGTTTGAGCTGCTCTCAAGTAATGTTCAGTGATTGTCAATTGATTCCTGTTGCTCACATTTTTCTGTGCCTTTAGGATCAAGTGAGAATTGCACTCAAAAATCTCGTTGATGCTGCAAAAGAGCCTTACAAAATGGTCAAAGACATGGTGTCAAAGATGCTTCCAGTCATTGAAAGAAATATTGAAAGGATTAAAGAGAATCTTTTGGAAATGAAGCAGAATATTGTAAATGTCGGTAAGGAATCAAGTCTCATATTCAGAAAAATAAATCAACTTAAATTAAGCATATAATCTCCACAGTGAGAAGCATTAAAAAGGCATTTTCATGGTTGGAAAACATCGTTAAAGTCTGCAATGAAGAAAAAGGTTCTCCGTTAGAAAAATGTGAAGCTGCTCTTGATGAAGCTTTCAAAAGTTGTCGGTAAGAATAAAAACCAAGTTTGAGGAACTGATCGAAAATGATTCAAAGTGAGTTGTTCAGTTCCGAAACCTTGATGATAGCCATTCAAGGTTCAAAGTAATTGATGAACTGTTGGAAAAGCTCTGATAATTTTTGAAACCTTTCAGAAACCTTTCAGAAACCTTTTGAAACTGAGTTAAGTTCGACAAGGTTCATTAAAAAATTATTTTAAAATTCGTATAACATTTTTTTTCTGCTGACACTTGTGAAGTATACGATTATTTTCTGCTGACACTTGTGAAGTATAAGATTATTTTCTGCTGACATTTGTGAAGTATAACATTATTTTCTGCTGACACTTGTGAAGTATAACATTTGATACAAATTTAATATCGGTTTATTAGTGAATCAGGTCGAATTCAAGCTAGGTCTGGACTTCTGGAACTTACACTTAATTTACTAAATTTATTCAAATCAATCTAGAGATAAATTTGGACCATTGAGCTTTCTCTGTGAAGCAACAAACGTCGGAAAAGGTTTCTGCTATCTCCTCAAGCCTATTGAATATTTTTGTGAAATGATTGACTTTATAAGCGATGAAGTTCTTGAAGCAATTGAAAAAAGTTTGTATACCTAATCAGTAGGCTTGTCTGAATGTTTGAATGTTAGGGGTTGATTTCGAGTTAAGGTCAATGTTTTTTGTCACATTCAAACTTATTAGCAAATTTTAATCTGTTGTTCGGGAAGTCTAGAAACAGAATATCATAGATTCACCAAGAATGACCTTGTAGATTATTTCAAATATCAAGCAAGATATATAGATGTGCTCATACAAAAATATCGCAGTTTTTAAACGTCAAAAATTTGAATTTTCTAAAAACACTAACACTATAAAAGAAAATTTTCAATTTTTGTTTTGCAAAATTTTCAACTTTCTGTTAAGTTTTGTTGATACAGGAGTATTGCAAATGCTTTGCTATAATTAAAAGTAACTGACTAAAGTCAAATATTGTTGCATCTGTCGATATTTAAATGAAAACTTGAAAATAGAAAATTTTAAAAATTTTTGTTTGTATAAGTACACAAAAAATAGTATGGTCGAGTATGGTCAAGTATACTCTGTATGAGCCCATCTATATATCTTGATATCAAGTCTAGCTAAATATCAAGTGGCGTTGTCCAAATTTCCATAGACAAGCACGTTCCTTGTCATTTGATTCAAATTTAATTCCTTAAAACTGATTCTGCTTTCCAGAAATGAAAGATTTTATATCAAAAGTCGAAGAGATGTTTTACGTGTCAATCAACATTGACCATGACTTTGACTTCCAAACAAATGCATCGAAATCGATTGAAAAAATTCATTCAGAAATCAGTCAAGAGATAAAATCCAGAACAAGCCGTGCATTGAAGTTCATTGATTATATCAATTTTTTCCTCAGCTTTTACTTCATCATGATTTATTTCAAGTATGTCTATGCTTAATACATTTGATTATTTTTTCATCACACATTCTTTCCAAAAAATTCAATATTTAGGGCAATTCGATTTCACAATAGCTATATGACAAGTCTGCGCTTTAAAAATATTTTCATATCAAAGTCGTTTCTAAAAGTCGACAAATATCGAGGCGAATTAGGCATGGATCAAGTTATGCCATTAACACACAAAGAGCGAAAGTATTTAATTCAAATGACATCAATTAAGCTTGCACGACATGAGTGGCGTCATTTGCTCAAATCTAGTGTCTTCTTGTTGTTCTCAACATTGCATTTGTGTGGCATTGTAATGGCTGATTATTCACTTTTTTGGATTATGACAATGATTCGCTTTTACGGAAGTCGAGGCAGTGTGGCATCAAAAAATGTTGAACGTGATGGTGAAAACTGGTTTTTTTGTTGCTTTTGTTTACAGTTTTTAACGTGATTTCTAGAAAATTTTCTGTTTGCTTAATTATTTATTTTTTGAAATTGAAATATTATGGAAGTTAAGTTTCAAATTTTTTAAAACCGTTGAATTTTTAAATTGTAAAAATACGTTACTACTTCAAAATTTGAAAATCTGTTAAAATTCAAAGTTTTTAAGACCGTTAAGTTTCAAATTTTTTGAAACCGTTGAATTTTCAAATTTTAAAAAAACATTACTACTTCAAAACTTGAAAATCTGTTAAAATTCAAAGATTTTAAGACCGTTAAATTTCAAATTTTATGAAATCGTTGAATTTTCAAATTTTAAAAATACGTTACTACTTCAAAACTTGAAAATCTGTTAAAACTCAAAGTTTTTAAGACCGTTAAGTTTCAAATTTTTTGAAACCGTTGAATTTTCAAATTCTTAAAATACGTTACTACTTCAAAGTTTGAAAATCTGTTAAAATTCAAAGTTTTTAAGACCGTTAAGTTTCAAATTTTTTGAAACCGTTGAATTTTCAAATTTTAAAAATACGTTACCCCTTCAAAATTTGAAAATCTGTTAAAATTCAAAGTTTTTAAGACCGTTAAGTTTCAAATTTTTTAAAACCGTTGAATTTTCAAAATTTAAAATACGTTACTACTTCAAAACTTGAAAATCTGTTAAAATTCAAAGTTTTTAAGACCGTTAAGTTTCAAATTTTATGAAATCGTTGAAGATTCAAAATTTAAAATACGTTACTACTTCAAAACTTAAAAATCTGTTAAAATTCAAAGTTTTTAAGACCGTTAAGTTTCAAATTTTTTGAAACCGTTGAATTTTCAAATTTTAAAAATACGTTACTACTTCAAAACTTGAAAATCTGTTAAAATTCAAAGTTTTTAAGACCGTCAAGTTTCAAATTTTTTGAAACCTTTAAATTTTCACATTTTAAAAATACGTTACTGCTTCAAAACTTGAAAATCTGTTTAAATTCAAAGTTTTTAAGACCGTTAGGTTTCAAATTTTTTGAAACCGTTGAATTTTCAAATTTTAAAAATACGTTACTACTTCAAAACTTGAAAATCTGTTAAAATTGAAAGTTTTTAAGACCGTTAAGTTTCAAATTTTTTGAAACCGTTGAACTTTTAAATTTTAAAAATACGTTACTAATTCGAAACTTGAAAATCTGTTAAAATTCAAAGTTTTTAAGACCGTTAAGATTCAAATTTTTTGATACCGTTAAATTTTCAAATTTTAAAAATTCGTTACTACTTCAAAATTAGAAAAAATGTAAAATTCAAAGTTTTTAAGACCGATAAGTTTCAAATTTTATGAAACCGTTGAATTTTCAAATTTTAAAAATACATTACTACTTCAAAACTTGAAAATCTGTTAAAATTCAAAGATTTTAAGACCGTTAAATTTCAAATTTTATGAAATCGTTGAATTTTCAAATTTTAAAAATACGTTACTACTTCAAAACTTGAAAATCTGTTAAAACTCAAAGTTTTTAAGACCGTTAAGTTTCAAATTTTTTGAAACCGTTGAATTTTCAAATTCTTAAAATACGTTACTACTTCAAAGTTTGAAAATCTGTTAAAATTCAAAGTTTTTAAGACCGTTAAGTTTCAAATTTTTTGAAACCGTTGAATTTTCAAATTTTAAAAATACGTTACCCCTTCAAAATTTGAAAATCTGTTAAAATTCAAAGTTTTTAAGACCGTTAAGTTTCAAATTTTTTAAAACCGTTGAATTTTCAAAATTTAAAATACGTTACTACTTCAAAACTTGAAAATCTGTTAAAATTCAAAGTTTTTAAGACCGTTAAGTTTCAAATTTTATGAAATCGTTGAAGATTCAAAATTTAAAATACGTTACTACTTCAAAACTTAAAAATCTGTTAAAATTCAAAGTTTTTAAGACCGTTAAGTTTCAAATTTTTTGAAACCGTTGAATTTTCAAATTTTAAAAATACGTTACTACTTCAAAACTTGAAAATCTGTTAAAATTCAAAGTTTTTAAGACCGTCAAGTTTCAAATTTTTTGAAACCTTTAAATTTTCACATTTTAAAAATACGTTACTGCTTCAAAACTTGAAAATCTGTTTAAATTCAAAGTTTTTAAGACCGTTAGGTTTCAAATTTTTTGAAACCGTTGAATTTTCAAATTTTAAAAATACGTTACTACTTCAAAACTTGAAAATCTGTTAAAATTGAAAGTTTTTAAGACCGTTAAGTTTCAAATTTTTTGAAACCGTTGAACTTTTAAATTTTAAAAATACGTTACTAATTCGAAACTTGAAAATCTGTTAAAATTCAAAGTTTTTAAGACCGTTAAGATTCAAATTTTTTGATACCGTTAAATTTTCAAATTTTAAAAATTCGTTACTACTTCAAAATTAGAAAAAATGTAAAATTCAAAGTTTTTAAGACCGATAAGTTTCAAATTTTATGAAACCGTTGAATTTTCAAATTTTAAAAATACATTACTACTTCAAAACTTGAAAATCTGTTAAAATTCAAAGTTTTTAAGACCGTTAAGTTTCAAATTTTATGAAATCGTTGAATTTTCAAATTTTAAAAATACGTTACTACTTCAAAATTTGAAAATCTGTTAAAACTCAAAGTTTTTAAGACCGTTAAGTTTCAAATTTTATGAAATCGTTGAATTTTCAAATTTTAAAAATACGTTACTACTTCAAAACTTGAAAATCTGTTAAAATTCAAAGTTTTTAAGACCGTTAAGTTTCAAATTTTTTGAAACCGTTGAATTTTCAAATTTTAAAAATACGTCCCTTCTTCAAAATTCGAAAATCTGTTAAAATTCAAAGTTTTTAAAGTAAAAATACGTTACTACTTCAAAACTAGAAAAACTGTAAAATTCAAAGAGTTTTTTAGTACCGTTTATTTTAAATTTCAAATTCTAAAAAGTCGTTGACTTCAAATTTTATAAATCTGATGCTTTCCATTTGATGTTTCAACCTGCTAACAATCCACTTAATTTATTCATACTCGTTTCAGTTGATTTATTAACAGTCAATGTATCTGGTCATGGCATTATGGCAGATTTTTGTAAAGAACTTGTAAATGTGATGGAACCTTTAACACAGACAAGTGATGTCGATTTTGTGACTTGCCTCCCACATGCTGAAACTCCGAATTTTAAGAAATATGAATCTATAGCTATGCTGATTGTTAGTTCATGGATAATTTTATTTTTTGAGCCATACGCATTAAGGCTTAGGAATAGCATTATGGAGCATTATTATCCACAAAGATCTGAACATCGAGTGAATTGGTTATATCATGAGATTTTAAGAAAGCGAACTGGATTTACGAAATTTGCAAGAAAACAGATGAAAGAAAAGCTTTTTAGGGAAAGTCCAGCCACATGCATGCAAGTTTTGAGATCTAAATTTAGTCGGTAATTCAATCGAACTTAATGCTTTGATTTGATTAAAAATTCCTGCTGATTAATTTTCAGATTTTGGATATTTCGTAAAATTTTTGGTTACAACGAAAATATCTCGTGCCTGGTGTGCAGTAAAATGATGAGGCAGTAAGTAGACTAGCTTGAATACTTTTAATTAATTTATGTAAATTGCTAATCTATAAATACTTGAACCAGCAATGATGATCTCATAAGATGCGATACTGATGGATGTGTTGGTGCTTATTGTTTTGAATGTTTTGATGATTTGAGAGACACATGTCCGTTATGTAGAAATTTGCTTGGATATAGCGATGCAAGTGATATTGATGAGGAAGTGTAAGTATTGGAAATGATGTATTTAGCTTTGCCTCCCAGGAGGAAGGTTGTTGACTTTAAAGTTTTGAAATTTCCAGTGGATCTTCAGAAGAAGAACCTGAAATCGACGAAAGCTTACCGACAACGAAGCTTCTGAAACAATAACTCCTGAAAAATACAAAAGTCATCAAATTTTCATCATAAAATTACATTTTATTGTCACTTGGCTGAGATTGTCAAAATAAAATTAAATTGTAATTATATTAATCCACATGACCCATTTAGTAATAATTTAATAGGCGCTTAAAAAAGACACAAATACTAGATATGAAATGTTTGAAATATTTGGAGATTACGTAGTTCTATAAAGGCAAGTATGTATTTAACATTGTTTAAAAATAATTGAAATTTGATACTAGCTGCAAGATTATAATTTTTTTAATAATTCGAGAGGCTAAAGCAGCACTACAAATTTATATTTTTTTAAAGGCCGGTAAATAAAACTTGCCTTTGTTAAATACTTTTTGGAATGATGGAATCATCACATTTGTTCGAAGTTCCCTGGTAGAGAGTCTACGGTAAAATTTTTAAAGTCCGTATAATATTCAAATCCTAAAAGTCGGTTAAAAATTGAAATTTTAAAAGTCGGTCAAAAATTCAAATTTTCAAAAGTCGGTTAAAAATTTCATATTCCAAAAGTCGGTTGAAAATTGAAATTCTATAAGTCGGTCAAAAATTCAAATTCTAAAAGTCGGTTAAAAATTTCAAATTCCAAAAGTCGGTTAAAAATTGAAATTTTAAAAGTCGGTCAAAAATTCAAATTTCAAAAGTCGGTTGAAAATTGAAATTTTAAAAGTCGGTCAAAAATTCAAATTCCAAAAGTCGGTTAAAATTTTCAAATATCAAAAGTCGGTTAAAAATTCAAATTCTTAAAAGTCGGTTAAAAATTTCAAATTCCAAAAGTCGGTTAAAAATTGAAATTCTAAAAGTCGGTTAAAAATTGAAATTTAAAAAGTGAGTCCGAAATTCAAATTCTAAAAGTCGGTTAAAAATTTCAAATTCCAAAAGTCGGTTAAAAATTGAAATTTTAAAAGTGAGTCAAAAATTCAAATTTCAAAAGTCGGTTAAAAATTTCAAATTCCAAAAGTCGGTTGAAAATTGAAATTTTAAAAGTCGGCCAAAACTTCAAATTCCAAAAGTCGGTTAAAATTTTCAAATTCCAAAAGTCGGTTAAAAATTCAAATCCTAAAAGTCGGTTAAAAATTCAAATCTTAAAAGTCAGTTAAAAACTCAGAACAGCAATACTTATCATTAAGTACATTAAATGAGTAAACCAAATAATATCGATATGCGTTTAGAAAATTTGAGATTACAAATATCACAGTTTTTCACTTAAAAATTGTCACACAATACACTAATTATATGCAATCCACAGACAAAGTCGATCCATTCTTCCTCTCATTTAGAACTTTCGTGAGTACATGCATAATATTTTGTGGGAAGTGATCAAGCATCATTCGGGGCATGACTAGTAGAAAAAGTACCGCATTACGTAAAGGTTATTAAGTAAATAATTATGCAGTCATAAAATCTCACCTTTAAGCTCCATAAAATCTTCAGGTTGTGCCCATCTCATTTCATACACAGTCGGAGATGTTTTCTTCTCAATTTCTGACTTTTTCTTCTTTAAAATGTGCAAAATTTTTCCACTAATAAAAAGTTTCGGTCGTGTTTTATCCGATGAACTTCCATAAAGCTGCGATGCTTCCTGAATGAATCAGCACAAAAAATAATTTCATTAATTAACTTTTTTCCGAGAAATTGAAGATAAATATTGTCTTACATTAGTGATCGTTGCAATTATTTGCGGATCAAGTAGCGTTGATGAATGATTCGATTGTGTTGAAACTTCATTCACGTTATACCAAGTCTTTTCCAAATCTCTCGATGGAATTCCCAATAGAGCATATGCGAATCCGTTTAAAATTACTCGGTACTTAATGATCGGTAATAAAATAATAGATTAGCATTAGAACTTAATATGAGAATGGGAACTAAGATGCAGGGGTGTCAACTTTATTCTATTTATCCCCAACTACATCTATGACATGCTGCTCGACTCCAAACATACATTATACATACCTTAGGAAGTCTACAACTCTGCAGTGATTCTAAAATATTAGTTCGTAAGTATTCAACGGCTTCAACACTAATCCTTGCTATACAATCATCCCCAACGACTACAGTAAATGCAAATTGTTCTGTAAATTTAGCTGCTTCTCTTGTCAACATCCCAGATGGTGTAGCAAAGCCATAAACTTTTAGATTATTATATTTTGCTCTTAATTTAGCACCAACTAATATTGATAATCCAGCACCAAGGGAATGTCCTGTAATAACCAGTTCATATCCTGGATGCATTTGCATAACTTTATCCAGCAAATTGTCAGCTTCAAGATTCTTTAAAATTTGATCACAACACTTTGCCATTCCATAATGCACGTAAGTATTGTCTGGAAATCCCGGTGCGACAAACTCTTCAGGCTTTGCTGCTAAATCAGTAAAAATGTCACTCAATGACCAACTGCCGCGAATTGATAGCACAATGCTTTTCATTTTATGATCCGCAAGAATGCAAAATGGAATCTAAATGCGAATTAAAAGAAAAAGCGTAGAAAAGGAATTAAATGAGTTTTGATAACTGCCTGGCTGTGCTGTGAATTTGAAAGTTTTTCATTTTTGTGTATTTTTATGTCCGCTTTTTTCTTATCGCCGAAATTAATTCATAAAATAAAATTAGTGTCAATTGTTTTAAATAGCTTGTCAGTTTTAATTAATGTAGAATTTCTATATAAATTCATCAGCAGACGTTACGGTTTGAGTCATTTGTTGTTACTATTTACATTTGTTAGTTTGTCAACAAGGAACGAGTAAGCCACAATGAAGTTTTTGCTTGTTTCATTCTTCTGTTGCATAATTTTTGGCAAGTCATTCTCGAAGAATTTTGACGACGTTGACGATTTCAAAGTCTTGAAAGGCGACTATGGCGTGCATGCCGATGAAGATGTGCGAGCTTTTGTGCATCCAGGTTTGTTGGAGTGAACAAAGTTTTGTTTATTGGGAAATTTTCAAGTCCTGCAGGTTGTCTTGAACTGGAAATCCTAAGTTTTTTGATCTAATCGAGTTTGCGAATGATAAATTAAAGGAAGTGAATCTTTGAGACTGTTAAAGATTAAGATACAGTGACTAGACATTTGTCTGAATTTCCAATATCAGAATGTGGTCTTTAAAAGTTTCAAATCGTATTCTTAAGTCACTAAAGTGATGATCAAATGTATTCAAAGAGTAAAAATGACGATGAGTTGCTTTTATTTTCGAGTGCTTGTAATCAGAGTTGGAAAACAGGGTGTGAAATTGATAAATAGATCAGTTTCGAACCAATGGCTAGTGTCAGTTGTCAATTGCCAATTTTTGACAAAAGCTACACTTGGATGCGTTGATCGAAAACAGAGACTACTTTTATTGGCGCTAATTGATGTAGTCATGCCAACTCTGGTATAAGCAGACGAATAGACTATTTATTTTAAAAATAATCTTATTCTGGGAATTTCTAAGACTCTTTTCGGAATCGGGGGCTTACAAAATCAAATAATTAAATATCAATCAGGAGACTTCTGTTTCTTTTTTGATTGAAAGGTTCTATATTTATAAACTTTTAAGGCATTGACATCTGTTACTGTTGGATGAGAATTATTTTGTTCTAGATGAGAATTCTTTTGTTCCGAATGAAAAAAGTTTCAGTTGCAATGCCTTGGAATTTTTAAAACACATTTTAAATTAATCTTGTTGTATTTCAGCACCTAAGTCTATAACATTTGAAAAGAGAAGTGCATTCAATGCTTTACGTAACAATCCACCATTTCCAATCTTATCAAATGATGAAATTGAAGATGTTGAATTTAACAAAGATTTTGGTGAGTTTAAAAAGTAACTGAACATTTAAAAGCTAGCTTCTAAAGGAATCTTTAGTTTTGAAGAGTTTTTATGTGAAATATTTTGCAAGCAATAGTTTAGCAAGAGGTTTTGTCACCTGTAGCTCTTTGGTTCACTTATTTGTTCAAAACACACCCTCTTGCTTGCTCTCAAGCTATAAAATTAAAATCATATCGTTTCTGAACTATTTGTTTCAAAATATGTTCACAGATGATCAAGAATTGTCCAGTTTAGGCGCTGAAGGAAGTGCCTTAACAAATGAAAATATCGAAAAAAGAGACATCAAGAATCCAAAGAAAGACAAACGTGAAGCTTTAGGTGACAAAAGCTTAATCCACACTTTAAGCATACAGAAGAACAATAAAATGAATGAGAAGATCAAGGATACGCCAGACAATTCAAAATTCCATGGAGCACAATTTTTGGACGAATAAAGATTTTCAATGCAATTATTAATAAAAGTTTAATATTCAATTTACCTCAAAAACTTGATTCTTGAATGATGCATAAATAACATCGTCAGCACTGACTCTCGATGCGACTCTTGTTCCAGCTTCATTGCAATTACAGCAATTGTCGTCGACAATGTGATTCGATTTGCTTCTAAATAATAAATTACATGTTGGAATGCAATTAATAAAATTATTAATCTCCACCTAAAGTTAATTCTACGTATATAGGTCAATGGCAATTTGTATTATAGCATTTAATTCTATTTCCATAATCTTAATTGATATTTAAAAAGAGAATAATAAGTCAATTTAAAGCAATAAATCACCTCAATCCAGCACAACACGTGACTTTTCTGATCAGTCCACAACAGGCTCTGCAAGGTGCAATTGCACAAACCATCGGCCATCCATAACTTGATACAGCAAACCGAAGGTAATGTTGTGCATTTTTAAGTGTCATCCACGATGGACATTGAGTATTGAAGATGCGAGACAAGTCTGTTGAATATCTGGGACAGGACATGTCATTCAGCATCTGCATTCGACGAAACTCTCGATTTTCTTTCTTTTGACGAACTCTCATCAAAATTGATCCGGCAATCATGTCTGAATGGAATTTAATAATTATTGATTATATAAAAGCTGAATGTTATAAGTAAAGAGCTTCTTACCTGACGGCACTAAATCAGTTCCAGTAAAGAGATTCGATAATAACTCAGCAGACTGTAAAAAGGCTTCATCGCCATCTTCATCTTTAGTGATACAGCAAAACAGCAAACGGAATCGACGCAGCCAAAGCTTTGAAACTTTTAATTGCATAAACTCGTGATGAGTGTTCGGATCATTTTCATTTCCATTTGGATCTTTGATCTTTCTGTATTTTCTGGCTCCTAAATGTTTTATAAGAATTCCATTAAGTCTGAATTTAGACATTAAATTTGCATTTCTTACCTAACGGATCATATGCGATTATGATTGCAAATATTATAAGACTCAGAACAATCCAATAGAATATTGTCGTCACTGTATTTTTAATATGAATGAGATGAGAAATTATTAAACAAACATTGCATGTGTCTAATTAGGAAATAACTGAGCGAATTTTTCAACAATAATTAGTTCACTTCATTACAATGATTAAGCTAGTCTATAATCATTTTGAGTGTAAAGTAAACTGAATTTTTAATAATTTTTGCAACAAACTTTTTGGAATACAACGCGATTTGCGATTATCAGTAATGACTATTTTGAATATTTGTTGCTTAATAAGTGATGCAACTTTTTAAATGTTTATTCAATTCTGTATTAAAAAGTTTTTATGAATCATTTTGTGGATTGCTTAAAATTATTTGAATTTTTTATAGGAATTTTAAAAAATTTGAAATTTTAAATCTGATTATTTAAAAGTTGTGGATGAAACATCATGAAATGATTTGCTAAAACAAACCATGATCTTTCATCCAAAGTTGCAACGATTCCAATCGAACCCGACTTGTTTTACATTAGTATACATATATGGCACATTATAGGGAGATCTACAAAGTGAGCACAGAAACGTCTTTCAGAATTTACATCTCTAAAGTTTGGGTTGGAGCAAAGTCTGGATTGTTTTAAAATTTAATTTACAATTTTTAATTCCAATTTTAAGACCTTTCAAGACAAATTCTTTTTCAACTTTAAATTTTTACTTTTCTTGCCGTCTCTTAACGCTCAAAAAGGCTCTTAGAAGAAGTAGAAAATCTAAGAACAACCTTTCTTGAAGTAGATTTTATTTTTAGTGGCTAGGGCAGTGATTCTCAACCTTTTTTGATCCATGGCACATTTTTCAATTGAACACATTAAGTGATTGAACTGTCTTTTTTGAAGTGTGCCGTGGCACGCAATTTGAGAACAACAGGACTTCGAGGAGCGACTCCCAAGAAAGCTCAAACTCAACCAATCTTCAATAAAGAATAAAAACATTTCGAAAAATTCCTGTTTATGCCTCTCGATCATAAGCAGGATATAACAAGGACATAAATAACATGCTAGGTTAAACTCCATTCAGGATTAACTTTGAGTAATTGAATTTCCTTGTACTTAGCTATTTAAATAAGACTATATAAAATAATTTCCGAGTTGGAAATCCCAACAAATATTAATCTCCATAATAATGCAAAGGAAATGATTCAAATTTTGCTGAATTACATTTTAGAAATTCAGCACTGAAAACACAACTCATTAAACTGTCTAATTAAGATTCTTACTCTATTACTTCTTTACCCATAAGAAGATAATTTACTGAGGTAAAAAGTAATGACGCACGGAATCAAATAATATACTTCAGATGCCTTTGAGTTATTGCTTCCAGCGCAAAAGTTAAGACAGTGTAAAATTCTAGAAGAATAGAACTGACTAGATCTGATCATAGATAAAGGTTAAAAGGCTTTCTTGTGTGACAAAATTATCCATTTAAATTCTTGGGCGTTGGCAATATGCAGATCAGGCGAATCAAATGATTTTGAAGTCTATTTTCTTCTTCCAAATCATTTATAACAATAATAAATTTTATAATCATCACCAACCATGACTTGCAGTTTAAAATTGAGAATGAAAAACATCCAAAGTTTGCTAAATGTCGCGGTAATGAAATGACAAGTCAAAAAATCGCAGTTACTTATTATTTGTGCTATTTTTCTCACCTTCTAAAGTAGTATTTGAGAACACATCATCTAAATTTGTACAATGTACACTACTAGTAAATGCCCACATAGTTCCCATAACATTAGCTCCAATTTCAGGCAAGATTAGGAACAGCCTGTAAATGTAAAATTTTCAATTGATTGCTTTAAAAGTCATAATAAGATTCATACTTCAAATAAAGGAGAGGTGTAACATGTCGTCTAGCTTGAACATCACAAATTGCACCACGAGCAGCTGTGCTTATCATCACAATTAGAAGTGGGATGTTCAAGGCTACAATGATATTAATACCAGCTAAATAAGTCTTTATGAATGCTACATCAATGTGTTGACAATATTGTAGATCATTTTTCTGATGGCTGACTGTGAGATTATCTCCAATGCTACTGCTAATGTTGACGCTATCAATGTCCGTTGTAACATTCGATTGAAAAAATTCCCAGTAGCGTTGAAATGCAATCAGTGTAAATATGAGGCTGTAAATCATTAAAGGACAATGAGACTTGACATTTGAGTATGTTGAACTGTGTTCTTATGCTTACTATATTACTCGCCATACCACCTCGAAGATGCATGGAAACACAATGTCATCTGATGCTACGAGCCTAAGATGATAATGAAAATTTTATTGACTTTTGTAATTATCTTGGTTATCACTTTTTTTTGTGTAGAAGATTGGAACATGGTAAAGGCTGTCATATGATTGCTATCAGATAGACTTCATGATCATGAACATTTCTTTTATGGTTATTGATTGAGTATTCAGAAATATAATTTGTTAAAATTGCTTTTGGCTAAATTTAGTGTTCAATTAGCTTCGAGTTGATCTGATGTCTAGTAAATTAAGGTCGAGTAATAACAAATATTACAGAACGTTCTGCAGTTAAGTCATTAGTTGATCCTACGCCTTGTAATTAACTGAACATCATGTGTTTTGCTTGGTGTCTTTTAAGCTAGTATCTTTATGTACTCTAAAGTAGTCATAACCTTTAGTTATCTCTTAAAAGATGCGGTTCACAAATGTTTTTTCTCAGTTTATATTAATTTTGATCCTTCAGTATATTTTTGTCCAAACTTTATGAGCCACGGCACACCTTAGGGGCAAGCCATGATCAAAGTCGCACACAGCATGCGGCTCGTCTCATTTTAAAAAAAAATTTTATGGCACACAGTTCGGACAACACTGTTCTAGTATTTACATTTTTAAAAATTAAGTTCTAAGCAGTTGTAAGCAGATCTAAGAAAGTCTATATAAATTAAGCATTGTCACAAGATACTAGCTTCTTAATTTTATAGTTGCCGAATGCAAGTGGTTCGGATCCCACTATAAACTGTAGGTCTAAAGAATGTGGTACAATAGATTCTGTTCAAATTTGAGCCGCAGTGCCTTCAGCTGAAAGGCTGTGCCCTTCACACATTATTATATTATAAGGAGCCGAATGTCTACTATATAAAGTTTCTAAGAATTCAAGTTAGAATATTGCTCGAAATTTAATTTTCTAAGAATTCAAACTTGATACAGAATTATTTATTAAGTTTCACAAGGTAATACCAGCGAAATGAGTCAAAGTTTGAATTTTTCCATACCTAATAGTTTTACGAGTTTTACTTAATATTTAAATCGATTATTTCAATAATTTTGTTCAAGTAATTCCCTTTTACGTCAATTGAATCGTTCTCAATTTAAATAAACAACCATAAAATCCATGTAATTGAACAATAATCATATTAAGTATAATGGGAAATTTCACTTAAGTCTAGTCTTTGTTTGCTTATGAACAGTTAATTATCTAGTTAAGTTGATGCCACAAAATCAAGATTCATTCTGATTTGACATTTTTGATTTAAATTAACACCAAAGAATTCTAAAATTAAAACAGAAAAAACCTCAACTTACCATTTACGTCCGAAAAGCTTTAACGCCGGCATATTAGTGTTAAGTTTACACAACAATCACTAGATTCATTGAAATACAATAATATAATCTTCACAGACAACAACTTTATTTCTTCTTCAGTTACGATTTTTTTTTATTTTATTTCTTTTTTTATGAACAAACTTCGGCGTCTTCCACAGCTACAACGAAAGAAAAGAAAGAAATTTCACCAAAAAAATTTTTGTTGATTTTTTTTTTTGAAAGCGATGAAGAAAAAGCACTTTTATGTCAGTTATTTAATGAGCATATCTCTCTTTCCGAAAACAGACAGCACACGAAAATAAGAAGTAGCAAATTCACCAAAAAAAAAATAAAAATGGAAATTGAATTAAACTGTACAAAGTTATCTAACAAAAAAATAATAACTTTTCTTCACTATTCACACTCGTATGATTCATCTTTAGACGTACGAATTTATTATTTAATGTAATTTTCATATTTTTAATAATAATTATAATTATCATCATATTATTAAGTCATTGACTGTATTACACGAGCTTTAATGCAAAACAACGTGAGTGGAGAAATTTGAAGGGGGTTCATTCTTAAATGACGTTAATCAACACTCTAGAGCAGTTCTGGAGAACCTTTTTTGTGCTTTGGCACTCCTGGATGGCAAGCTTTGAATAAAACTACACACAACAATCAGATCGTGGGATTTCTAGAAATTTTTTCGACACTAGAGTGCCGCGGCACATTGGTTGACCACCACTGGCTTAGAGTCTTTAATCAGTATGTTGCCAAAGATTTGTCAAATCAAATTTTGTTTGGTGATTTTTCAAAAAACCATAAAAAATTCCAATCGTAATTTATGAACGTCCCCTAAATCAAATCTTCAGTGGGATGTGACTCAATTAAGTATTCCGACATTGAAACTCTCGCTTGGAAAATTCAGCTTTTAATGAATCAGGAGCCTCCTCTAAAAACTAAATATATAATTAATAAATATTAATTACGCAAACATCTCCTACAACCGTCAATGCTAGATTAATCAAAATTCTCACTTAATTTTTTAAATTGAGAAGCTTTAATGCTCACGATTCTTTTCTTATCATGAAGTTCCTCTTCGCTGCTAATTTTTTTTAAATTCTCCTTCCAAAGGTCATGTTTATTACTCATATGCGAGAAATGTTTACGTTTATTAAACTTGTTCCTAGCATACATTTAAATTGAGTATTATTGAGGCTTTTTAATCAACTAAGCAGTTTTGAATTCTTTTAATGATGTGAAATTTGAACTCGACATTTATTTTACGTCAGCATAACATGTACTTAACTGCCGGTAATTGCTGATAACTTAAAATTATTTTTTTTTCTTTTATCATTTAAAATAAAGCTGGATTTTAGATAGGATTTTTTTGGGGGCTTACATTTAACAAAAGTCTTGAAAATTATTTAAAATTAAAAAGCAAAAGTGCCTTGATAGCTCAGTTGGTAAGGTACAAGTCACAAAAGTTGGTGTTGAATTTGGACTCTCGGGTTTAAATCCCACCACCAGGCAAGTGATTTTTCAAAAGTTTAGATTTTTCGGGTTCTTAGGTGCAGCAGTTTAAGACGTAAAACCAAGAATTCGGCGATGTGGAATGTAGGAACGGGTCATGAATTATATAGACAGAATGAGAAAGATACGAGTGCCGTAAATTCAACATGGAGGGATTTTACTGGAACGGACCTGAAGACATTATGTTCTACTGAAACTTGGAACAAGAACCAACATGAACACTAGTTTTAAGATTTAAAACAGTTTTTAATTGACTGCTGGACACACAACTGCTTAGTGAATATTATGCGTTACATCCTATTCTAGCGTACATAATATAGATTGAAGAATCAAGCTTAATCAAGCTTAAGCTTAAATGTTTTGGTAACACTGTTTCACAATTTAAAATGAACAAATTGAAATTGATATCACACGGTTCAAATCCTAATTTTATTAAATCTAATATTCAAGTTGAATTTTTCTCAACGAAAACTTTTCAATTTCTTTTTTGTTAATTCAATTCTATAAATCTTGATTTTTTTTTTAATTTTTTCAATCATAAAGCTTTATCTTGTATTAAAATAAAAAGCTTCAAAATTTATTTTTAATAATAAAAATGTAAATAAACATTTAACAAAAAATCCATGTTGTACAGCACATGTGAAGCGAGTTAATTACTGTATAAAAACAAGTATCTACAATTAACAGCGACATTGATAGCCTTTTTTTTTCTCCTCCACATTACAAATTGTTTTGCATTATTAGATCGAATCGATACTAGCTGTGATAAATTATTAAAGCATTTCCCGTGCACCTACAAATATGTACAATATAATTTAATATTTCGTAGTTCACAAATCAATCAATACACAATTTGCAGCACTACAAAAAAGTTCTGTCAAGCGAAAAAATTCTTCACAGTTCCGCGATTCTTGACTTTTTTTGTGTGTTTAAAATATGCACAGCACAGAACATTTTTTTTATTTTTTTCTTTCCGCAACTCTTCTTTCAAAACTGGAATTCATAAATTACACAATACGTCAAAAATATATTTTTTTTGAAGGTCACCAGCTTCACTAATCCTCAATTCAGAGAATAAATGTCTCTATTTAATTTGTGTCAATATTTATTAATTTCACAAAAAATTATTATTAGAAATCAAATCAATCTAAAGAATTTCTTTGTTTATGTTCGTTTACTAACCGTGACTCTTCCTATTTCACGATTAATCAAACTTCTCCTTTTGTAAACTTTAAATTTTATAGTTTCTTATGAATGAAATTATTTAAATAAATCGACAGCAATTGTATAATTGAATTTTCAAGCAATACCCGGACGGACAGCGTCTACAACGATAAGTTTATGTGTGGACAGGCCGAACTGAAAAACTAAACTGAATGAAATTGAGCAAAAATTGATGCGATTCAACTTCCATTGTGAGAGCCGCAGAATTTTACTTCTGTATTGTGTGTGCCTACGTATGATGAGAAGATATGCTGATCATGACTTTTTTTCAACACTCATACTTACACACAGCATGTGCAATTCGCATTGTATTACAATTTATTATCAATTAAAAAATTTAAATTGTTTTATTTAAAATGAAGCTTCAAGTTGTCAATTTTATGCAATTTTGTACTTTAATCAGTTGTGTAAATTTTGATCGAAAGTTATTTTAAAAACATCCACACATTCATGATGTTGACTATAAAGTGACATTATTAAGTTGAAAATGAACTTTGGTGATGCTTTTTGTAACGGTTTTTGGAGATTCGAATGGGCTTTTGGGAAAGCTTTTATGGTTGTCAGCATTGAAACATTTAGCTTTGGTATGCAACAAGTGACAATGTGATAAGGAATAGGCTTACGTTGAGAATCATATTTATGGTTTCACAAAACAAGACGAACGATTCCAATAAGTGTTCTTACTAAGTTCCTAAGCACTTAGATCTTATTCTTTCACTATTAGATTTGTCTTTATTTGGTTCGATGTCTTAGATTCAACTACGCTCTGAGATTAAGAATAAGAAAGGAGTTTGACTCAAGTTTGGTGTGGCAACTTTACGTGGTAACTTTGAATCTTTCAAAATCTTTTGTATTTAAAATTATATAAATTAAATAAATTTGTATTTTTCCAGAAGTTTAGAACTACAAGATTACCTAATGTACTGAAAATTAATAGATCAGATCTAAAAGCGTCACGTTTATCTTATAAAAAATAGAAACGAGAACCTAAATTTGTTGAAAACCTAGGATTGAAATCAGATGTTAAATAAACAATAAAAACACATTAAGAATTGAAATTAATAAAGTATAAGTGAAATATATTGAATAGTAAGTTGTCAATCAATGAAAAACAGATTTTGTTCGTAAATCATTAGAATTTGTGTCAAAGAAATAAGCCCGTAAGGCACACGCTGGCGTGACGCCAGCCTGGGGACAGCGTCAACCTGGCACGGATCAATCGGTGCCGGTGTGAATTTAGCACCGTGCCGGCAACGTGATAGTCTTCATACTGGATTTTCGGCCATTTTCTACATACACAGCACCGGCGTTGATGTTTTTTCACACCGGTACGAATTTGGCTCAGTTTCGGTGTGAAGCTGGCACCGTTCCAGCTATGAGACGGTATCAATGCTGTTTTTATATTGTGGACATCGGCATGCTTTATATTTCACGCCAGCACGAATTCGGTACCTGTAAAAAAATTGCGCTGTATTTGCGCCAAATTATTTACAAAAAACAATTGAAATTTAACAAAAATAATTTTTCTTTATTGGTTTTATTTCAAAATATCAAAAGTTGCAAATAACAAATAACCCTGATTTATGTTTTTCAGGTAGTTTCTGAATTATTTGTTTCTTCGTAGGAATCCAGTGATTCCTTTAATACCAAAACCATGTTTCCTTGTTGTATATGCTGGGCTTGTCTTGGCGAAAACGAATCGATCATGTGATGAGTTCCATTGTTACTTGAGTCAAGCAATTGTGTTTCCAAGAATATATCCTAAATAAAGTAAAAAAATGGAATAATCAAGCGATAGTCTTAAAATTTTCGAAATATTATATCTCCCCATTGTTAGCTTACTTTTTATTATGCACCAATAAATAAATTTACTCACATTATTAAAATTGTTACTATAATTATAGACGTACTGGATTATCTTAGGTATGTGATGATTGAAACTTAAGCATGTATATGACTGATATGATTTGATGTCCAAACAGTCCGAAAATCCAGTAAAATATCTAAATTTGGAAAAAAAATATTTAAATTTTCGTCCACACTTGTTCAATAGTCTCACGGCACTAATGTGGCACGGATCACGAACAAAGCCAAAAGGACGCTGCAAAAAATTTAATTTTTTCAAATGAAAAAAAACACTTAATTAAAACCAAAACTTACTTAATTAAACAGCAAATGGAACCAAAAGTTGTTTATGAATATGGTTTGACGTCAAACGGTCCGAAAATCCAGTAAAATATCTAAATTTGGAAAAAAATATTTAACTTTTCGTCCACACTTGTTCAATAGTCTCACAGCACTAATGTGGCACGGATCACGAACAACGCCAAAAGGACGCTGCAAAAAATTTAATTTTTTCAAATGAAAAAAAAACCACTTAATTAAAACCAAAACTTACTTAATTGAACAGCAAATGGAACCAAAAAAGGTTAAAAATATGGGTTGATGTCCAAACGGTCCGAAATTTTAATAGCTGAATTAGAAATGTTGTTTTTAAAAAGCACTTATATTTTTTCAATTAATTGGCACTTTATTTTCGTGTCAAAAAATAATAAAAAAGTTCATTCCGGCATGAACTTGTCACAATTTTTAAAACACGCCGGTGCCATACCAAAATCATGCCAGCGCGGTGTTGGATTGAATCCGCAGCACAAATTTGATTTGGTGCTTGGCGTGCTCCATATTGACACCGCTTTTCGGCACACTGTGCTTTCCGGGAAGACTCTAGAAGAAAACAATATCCAGACATTAAAGATTGAAAGAAAATAAATGTTCAATGATTTGAAACGCTTTAATGCTTTGCCAATGTTTTGTTTGTTTTTGTTTTATCAGTTATTGTTTTGATAAGTTATTATTTGTACAGAATTTAGCTAGGAATGTTAAATATTAAAGATTTCCAAATTTTAAAAGAACATTGTTAACAGAAAATCAATTATTTAAGGAAATATCTGTACCTAGATCTCCAAAACTTCTATTCAAATCAAACAAGGCTTTCAAAACTTCCTTCAATTCCCAAAACAAAACTTTATTTTCCACCGCAATTTCCACATTCCAGCCCATCGATTCAGCAATGTTTTCAACAAGTTGTTTTCACTAATTCTTTATTTTTGTTTTGAACATTTTTCCATTCATTTATTCATTCCGGTTTGCATAGTGAATACGTCTTCGTATTGTCTTTAAGGAATTATTTCTTTATACTTAGTACAAACTTATTTAAAAGAAAATCAAATATGATATTATCGAGATGTGTTAGTGCAGTTCTAGCGAGAAATTCCATTGGACTTGCTTCAAAACATCATGTGAAAGTAATAAAATCAGTTCCAAAATAAGTCGTTGATCTTCATTTGCATTTTTTGCATCGACCCAAGGTCACATGAGTTAATAAAAATATTCATTTTTACAGGTTTTTGGGTGCAATTTTTCAGTCAGTTCTCATCAGAATCAGTCAAAGAAATCAAAAATTTATGGATCGGCTGCTGAAGCTGTTGCTGATATTCCAGACGGTGCTAAACTTCTTGTGGGTGGATTCGGTATGTTGACATGAATTCTTAATGAACTTCATAATGCATTAATAATTATTTTACAGGACTATGCGGCATTCCAGAGAATCTTATTCAAGCACTCTTAGAAACTGGCAGAAAAGACTTTACAGCTGTGAGCAACAATGCAGGTAGGCAGAACAAGATTTGTGTCTATTTGACATTTTAAACTTTTATCTACGTCTATTTTAAAACATTTTCTTTTATCGATTTAGGAGTTGATGACTTTGGTCTCGGACTGCTTTTAAAAGATCGCCGAATTAAGCGTATGATTGCATCCTATGTTGGAAAAAATGCGGAATTTGAAAGGCAATATTTATCTGGTGAATTGGAACTTGAACTTACTCCACAGGTTTGTTGAATTAATTTAAATTGTAAACAGCTTCAAGTCATTCATAAATTAATGTTATGTTAATAGGGAACATTGGCAGAAAGAATTCGCGCTGGTGGTGCCGGAATTCCTGCATTTTTCACACCAACTGGAGCATTTACATTAATTCATGAGGGTGGAAGTCCTATAAAGTACAGCGGAAAGGGTACAGATGTTGAAATTACAAGCAGCAAAAGAGAAATGAGACTTTTTAATGGACGTCATTATATCATGGAAGAAGCCATAACTGGTGACTTTGCACTTGTTCGTGCCTATAAAGCTGATGAGCTAGGAAATTTGATATTCAGGAAAGCAGCTAGAAATTTCAATCCACCAATGTGTAAAGCAGCAAAAATCACAATTGCTGAAGTTGAGGAAATAGTTCCAGTTGGAGATTTACAGCCTGATGAAATTCATGTTCCTGGAATTTTTGTCCATCGTCTGATTCGAAGTAAATTCCAAAAGAGAATTGAAAGAATGACGATCACAAAACCAAAGAATAACAGCAGTAAGGAACCTTCAAAAGCAGCACAACTTCGTGAGAGAATCGTTCGTCGCGTAGCTTGCGAATACAAAGATGGAATGAATATTAATTTAGGAATTGGAATTCCAATGCTTTCGAGCAATTTTATACCAAATGATATCACAGTTCATCTTCAATCAGAAAATGGAATTCTTGGACTCGGTCCATATCCAGAAGAATATCAAGTTGATGCTGATTTGATTAATGCTGGAAAGGAAACAGTCACAGTAATTCCAGGAGCATCTTACTTCTCAAGTGATGACTCATTTGCAATGATTCGAGGTGGACACATTGATATTACAGTTTTAGGGGCTATGGAGGTGTCGCAGTATGGTGATTTAGCTAATTGGATGATTCCAGGTAAGGATTAAAATTTCTTCTAGACATACTTATGATTTATAAGTTATGAATTCCTACCTGAGTGTATTAAGACTGGCCAAACCTTAATTTATTGAATGACATCTTTTTATAGGGAAGCTAGTGAAAGGAATGGGAGGTGCTATGGATTTGGTTGCTGCTCCTGGAACTAAGACTATCATTACTATGGTAAGAATTTGCTTCCATTTAATTGTTGTTTTTGACAACCTCACATGATCCCAAATGATTAAAATCTGAACATGAACCTCAGTTTAATCATTGTAATGGCAATTCTATGGTAATCAAGGATGCAGAAGTGTTCATAAAGTTTTGAGTTTTGCATCTTTAAAAGTAGCCATAAAGCCGAGTGAAGTTAAAAGTTTAACAATCAGATCTGTAACTTTAATTTCATTACAGGAACATAACAGCAAGAATGGAGCACCAAAGATTTTGAGCCAATGCTCACTTCCGTTGACTGGAAAAAGCTGTGTAGACTTGATAATCACAGAGAAAGCAGTCTTTTCAGTTGACAAGGATGATGGATTAACCCTTATGGAATTGGCGCCAGATGTTAATATGGAACAACTTGTTGCATCAACCGGCTGTCCATTTAAAATTGCTGATGATCTTAAGCCTATGAAACAGGTTTAAATAAATTTTGAAAGATGCCAAAAACCTGAAAATTCTGATAAAGATAGAAGCATCGATAAGATTTTAATTTTGTTAAGTTTTCGAAACATTTATTGAAAATTGTGTGCCTTAAAACTATGAAATTTAATTTTTTGATATTTTTTTCATCGTCAATAAATGATGTATATTTTTTTGCCCTTAACTTTCGTTATCTGACTGTCGTTTTGCGTGTATTTAAGTAAACAAAAAAATTATGATAAAAGAAAAATTGATGGAGATAAAAGTTTAGTGACATACTTTTTTTCATATCATATAACTTTTTTCAGGAATGATATCACACAGCAAAATACTCGTCAATTACTTTTACATCCATCGAATACTATCTGATGACATAAAGAATGAATAATTTGTACATAAATCTAAAACTCTTGTCTCGACTCTCTTATTTAACTTTGGTTTGATTAGTTTAAGCATACTGTCTTCTGTCTGCATTGCGGATTGAGTTTGCGACTGAAAGTAGAAATAGATATGATTGTTAAAATCGAGGTTTGTGCATAAATTAATGTAGTAAAAGTTGTGACTTTGAAGTTAAGTTGATTTATTCTAATGACGATGGGTTTGAAGGTTGCTTGAGATGACTGTTTAAGTCACAGATTTAGAAAGAAATAAGCATTTATTTGAATGATATTTGCGAAGCTTTAAACTTGAAAGTTCATTTAATATTCAAATAAAATGCAGAAACAAAAGTGATTGCTAGAAACGGTTTATTTTACAGCTAAAGCATGCAATTCCTTGAGAGCAAATAATAAGCTATGATAGGACATGACTAAGCTTCAGAATGACTAAGCTACATCACAGCACTAGCTTGTTAAGAATATATAAAGGGTTACTTTATATTCAAATTATGTTTACAACTAGAACTAGTTAATTTCCCTTTCTGTGGTTCTTAGACCCTTTAATATGTTTTTGATCACTGAAGAATAAACATCGTTGTTATCATATTAAGTTTATCTAACCAACATAGCTCGAATTCTAATATTTAATAGAACTACGTAGCAAGTGAAAGATCTCTTAATGGTCATTCCAACTTTAACTTCATTGTTAGAAATAAATATTAATTAAATACTTACGACAACAAGCAAAGATAACACCGACAAGTTCAATGCCAGCAAAAATAATTGCAAACCATGCAATTAAAAGACCTGATCCATTAACAATATCTGCGAGCATTGTCGAACATCCAGTTGGATGTGAATTTAGTAAATTGCAACTAGCTTCAGCACAACAAGATTGTGGAATGTTACCAACTCCCCAAGAAGCAGGTCCCGTTGTTCCGCAACACTCAAGTCCACGTTGAATTTGATCGATAGCTGCTCCTGTTGATGGATTTTCTCTGTCATCAAATAATCTACCGAATCCATCTTTTGCGGCATTTGCTAGATCTGCTGTGTACATGAAGGCAAATACAGCAACGACAATTTGGAGAATAACGAGGATAAGTAAGAAGAAGGCATACTGTTGGGGTTGAATGACAAAATTAGCATTTTAAGGGATAATAAAATTTATTATGAGTTTATTACCGTTGATACCATGCATTGATTCTCACGAATAGCACCGCTGTAGAAGAATAAAAAATCATAAAATTTTTGAGCATGCAAATGCCTTCATAGCTGTTACTTACCAACATCCAAAGAAACTGATTAAGAAGATGATTGAACCAAGACATACAACAATGATAGGCACAATGGCTGGCTCATTTTCAGGAAAAGCATCTCTTATGTCATCAAGTTTGAACAATGGAATTGCTCCAACCACAATCAAAGCAATACCGGCAACCTATAAAGAATATTAAAATAAAATTGTAAAGAATTAAGTAAATTTTCCTTAATGGTGAAATAAAAATATTTTTTAACGACCGAAATTTTCTATTTATTTATTTTTATCTTATCTCATGTTTGCCAGCAAGTGCTGATAAGATCATGAATCATGGTCTTATAAAAAATTTGATACAGTTGAACTAATTCGTGTACAAGTGAAAAATACTTGTTTTACGTCGACAATTTATTAATGAATCATAAATTTCAATCGATTAACTCAGCATAATAAGTTGACCCTTCTGACAACTGGAAGTGATTAATTTTTAATGAAAAGGACAATTTTTCAAACTCGATTTCATTTTCACTCATGTCTAAAGGTTATGAAAATAGAAGCGTTAGATGGGGTTGGCATAGAAAATATTGTCCAGGAACTGCTCATTAAAAATCTATAATTTAAGCATACAATTGTGATAGTGAAAGTTTCCTTGGAGATTTCAACCCTTCTGGAAAATTTATGATTTCTATCAAATCATGTCAATGACACACTTTTAATTTCAATCGGAAAAAATTCAATTCAATTCAAACTTTAGCATGTGAAGCACCATTTAAAGCTAGAGTAGAACAAAAGATTCAATTTAATTTGTTCTGCTAACAGTTTTTAATCATGAAATATTTTATAAAGCTTTATGTCTGCAATGATTGTGTCTATCAGTTTGTAAATCAATCAAACAGATCAATAATAAGTCATGTTTGTGATTCGTCAGGTTTGAAATGAACTTAACTTTGAAGAATAAATTGGGAATTTCATTTAATTGTTTTTATTCTATTACATGCTGTGGTGAAGCTATAGTTTTGTAACTTGGATCGAAGTCATAAATTTGAACCGATTTGCATGCAATTTAAGACTCTACTTGAAATTTTGCGACGATTTTTCGTATTTTTAGATTGAATTTTCAATTTTTTTAAGTCGCTCAAATGTTTTTTTAAAGCCCGGTACACAGTTTTTATTACATTCTAATTGTTTATTAAAAAGTCAATTGAATTAAACTTTAAGAAATGACAAAGATTTGAATTCATTTAGATTGAGAAAAATATTATTTAATTTTAAAATTGATAAAGTTAAACGGAACTCGATGAATATTTTTATTTATACCGAGTAATATTCTCAAATATCCCAAAGTTCCCCTTTTCATTACTGAGAACTAACAACGTTAGAGTTTCAATAGGTTTTTCCTATTATTAAATATTCAAAATAGAATAACTGACAAGGCAGATATCATCGAGTTGATAAGCTTTCAAGAGCTGATTAATACATATTGATTTGTAGTTGGCAGTTGTTGAAAGTGTAGGATTCAAATGTTAATGATGGAATATTGGAACGAGGAATATTCAAAAATTGATTCGAAGTATTCAAATTTACAATAACTTTTCAGGTTCAAGTTTCTTGTCTTAAGAAAACATTCTGGTTGTAAATCGGAACATTTTAAATTTTAGGGGTTGGTCTTGACCCTCCTGAACCTCCAAAGCTGCACTAATTTCAATCAGACTTTGAGCATTCTTCAAGCATTGTCAACTGATCTTTATTTTATAATTAATAAAACAACCTTTTCGACATTCTTAATAGTTCAATACCAATATTTCAAAACTTTCGAAATCAATTAAACTTCCCATCAAACAATAATAACGATCATGAACTTGAGTACTTAAAAATCATTTCTGTATGTATCAATAAAAACTCAATATCAAAGGCCAATACTCTTAAAATGAGTTTGGTTCATAAAAATAATTCTGTCAAAACAAAATTTACAGTTTTTCATGTTTTGCCTCTCGAATGATTTCATTAAAAAACTGCAAAAAAAACGATCAAACTTGATAAGAAAGTCATTGATGTCATGTTTTTACAGCTCATATGTGAAAATATTGCGAAATTTACTGAATAGCATTGCAATAACAATGAATTTGTGATTATCACTTATCCGTCACCCATACTTAGTAACATATTGCATTTAATGCTGATTAAAAAGTATTATTGACACTTAAATTTTTTCATTTTATTTGGAATCGAACAAAAGTTATGAAAATTAGTGTGAACCGGAAAATTAGATGAGGGGGGGGGGGGGGGGTGCTATGGAATATTTTCTTTTAAACGTCAAAAGATATTTGTGTGTTGAGATGAAGATGGGTGTGGATCCTTTTAGCTACACTTCTTATTTACGCAACTGCCGATCAAAACCAACTTGATAACAACACCAGAAACATTATAAAGCACCCCACCTATTTTAATAGTGATTTTTAAGATTCTTTTACTTAAGTCACGTTATCGTCACATTATTGTACCTTGAACTTTTACAATTTCCTTCTTGTACAGTCGTTCGTCCTTAAAAATCCATTTTAATCACAATAAAATCCTTCGCATGTAAAAAGAGATTTTTTTTAATTGCCGGTATAAAATTTCACTTCCAGTTTGCATGTATACGACTCATTTTCGTACTTGTTGCATTCATTTATCACGCCTTAGTTCCAACAAAAATTAAAATAAAAAATTTCACTTACAGCACAAAGTAAATTGAAGATAAAAATTCCATATTTGACAACGGATGCACCGCAAGATAATCCCATGTTTATATTAAGTTTTTAATCTTTAAATTGTTTACAAAGAAAATTAATATATTTATCACTTGAGGTAAAGCTGTTAAATGCTAGATCACCGATTTATAATTTATTTTGAGAACGTCAAGCAAAAACGTCTTGAATGGTTAATTTTTCAAATCAGAATGAGAATACTCGCTTCAATGTAATGTGCTTTAATTTATTTTTTTTCATACATGAAGTAACATTTTAACGACCACTATTATCATGTGCTAATGTATTGCCAACACTCACACGCGTGTCTTGGTAGGGCGGTTGATAATAAGTAAAAATTCATGTTTGTTTGCGTGATTATTGTGACTCATTGCAGGTAAGTACATGAAATAGTGAGAAAATGGACAGCTCGCATACATTTGTAGATTTATTGATTTACGAGGGCTTTACTATCACTTCGCATTCGTGTCTGATAAGAACCGTTAAATTTTATTATTTCTGCAATTTTTTTTGTTCCTTTCAATTTGTTTGTGATAAAGGCACTTATGATTCATTGAGTAAGTACATGAAGTGTGTGCTAAGAGTATGAATTCCCACACTTGAATCTTATCAATTCTTTTTTCCAGTGATTCATCTCAAAAATAATTTGGTTAAATTAAATTATCATTATAAAAAGTCAGAGAATAAATAACGGCCTTGATAATTATTTTGATGACTTATCGAGTACTTAAGATGCATGTCTGATGTTTGTCATAATTGAAACTTTATTCCGAAATATTGCACCTATGAGGAGCTGCACTATTATGTGGATTCTGAACGGAATCAAGAATATCGAGTCATATGCAAGCAATTCTGCAAATGCAACAGCAACACTTTTGTGGCAGAGTGGTTTGTTAATGAGCTGTAAATATAAATTTCAAATAAAATTAACCTTCACCTTTTGTGAGGACTTTGGTTCGAGTCTACAAGATGCCAATCATTAAACATTGTACATTGAGTCAAGAATTCTAACCTTATATTAGGGCATGTCCCAATACTACCCAGAGATTACCCTTTCTTAAGTTAAGGCATCTCGCGTAAACATAAAAACCAGCCACAGGTAACGATAGCTTTTATGCAGTTTATTTAAAAGCAGGAATTGAATCAAGCTTGTTGCCACTCAATTTTTTGCTTCTGAATGTTTTTCGTTCGAATTTCAAGTGCAAGTCTATGTGAAGTATTTATCTATAAAAGAAATATGAATCTGCTTTGTGAAGCTAGTTTTACTTAAATGGTTGAAAACAAATGATTTTATTGCGTACATAAGGAAAATCTCACACAAAGATAACAAAGTGTAATTAAAGTTTTTTCAGCATATTTTAGGTACGCAAATGCTTCATCAACAGTCTATTTAGTCATGTAAAGTGTGAAGTTTGTAAAAAAAAATAAAAATTTGATACCAAGAATATTTGAATGAGTGTTTTTAATGATAATTGCGTAAATTTAGATAATTTTTTATCAGCTTGCACTTGATGGATTAATTCTGACTGTGTCTGATTGACTTAAATTTTTATTTGGAATATTAGAGCTTCTTTTACTTGATTCTTAATATTGATTGAAAATTGGAATTTACAACCTTTCGGATTTAAAAAATCAAACTTTACTTGGCTCCTTTGCGTCTATTATATGATTATAATAGATTTAATTGTAGCTAAGATTTGCAATAATTCCAAATCCAGCTTATTGCCTGATAATTTTTTAAATGGTTCAAATAGTCTTGAAACTAAAGAATCAATAGAATTCTTGAACCGAAATCATTTCAAGACATTTTTCAAACATTATCCAAAGATTCCCACAATGCTGATTGGCAGCGGTTAAAAAAGAACAGCTGATTAGATTGTATTCAGATTTTATTGAGGAAACGACCAACTTTATAAACGAATTTCATTCATTATTGTTCCTCAATATTCTGAAATGAAAATTTAAAACTTCACCCGATTATCACATTTTTAAATGATGTTTTTGTGGCTATATACATAAGTGGCATGAAATATTCATATGACTGGAGTGTGTCGATCGGATCATTATGTAGCTTTTTAAGCTAGAACTTTAAGACACACAGGTTAAAACTGGTTAAAACATTCAAATTGAAATAATTTAGTCATGTGATTTGAGGCATATAGCTTTATAAATTGTCTGTCTCCCAATTTAAATATTAAGCAGTAGAAATTTTATAATTTAGCTACAAGCCGACAAATTGCTGCTATTTTCACCATTAATTGGTTAAAAAAACATTTGTGACAAAAATAAACAAAAAGATAAAAGTAAATCAAGAATTTAAAAATTTTACAACAGCAATGCAGGTGAATACAGATATGAAATTGACTACATCTCAAGTATAAACATGTTTATAGTACAGTTATTGTATTGGTCAGCAAATATCATGTTATTTAAAAGGTAATATTTCCCGGCAAATGTCAATAATGAGAAAATTAACTCATCGACGCTCCTTTCTCGATCATAAATCAATGCATTCGTCGTGACTCAAGAAATGAAATAATTTGGAATACAGTTATACAAGCAATATCTTTTTTATCTTAATTTAAAATTTATCAAGTTCCTATATTTACTTACAATTTCTTCACACGTGTTTGTATCTTACAATTTAATTTTTATGTTTACAACGAAACTCAAGTGTTAAATAAATAAATAAATTTATTATTAATACTAAGAACAGTGGCTTTTGGAGATAAAATATATGGATCAGTGGTACTTTACTGAAGCGTGGAATGTTTTGAAATGACATTTTCCGAGTTTCGCATGGTTTTTGAATGTTTTTTTTGGGGGGAGGGGGTTTAAGCACCACCTTCCAATAATTTCAAACTTTACTTAGTGATTAGATTCTAGTATTACCTATGGAACGTACTCTAGCTACAGAAGATTTTTATATATTCCTCAATGTGTTGTGGATTGATTTTTAATTCTAGGTACTATTAAAACCTGTCATTGTCAACAATTGAGTAGCTAGGGTAGAAAAAATCAATAGGACTGAAAAGAAGCTGGATTTTTTTGTGTATTCCAAAGTCTTGGGTGTCTTCTTGTCATGTCTCTGGAGTAGGATGTCAAGTCAAAACCCAGGTTTTGTTTAGAAAGGTTTTGACTTGAAATACTTAATCGTCAAAATTTCAAAATAACCTGAAATCATGAAAAATTCAAAAAATCTGTAAAAATCACTCATAAATCAACCAACATGAATTAGGTATTAATACTATAACTCTGGCAAAAAAGAGTCTTTATTAATATATGTGTTTGTTATTAAAAAATAAAGGAACTTAAGTGTACGCTTTACATTTAAAAATTTTAAGCGTTCTTTTAAGGGTGGAATATGGAAAATTTTTATGGCTAGGATAAATTCTTGTTATTTAACTTTCATCTCGCAGTTTTGTTTATTATGAGATCATCCAAATATATTTCAGTATAGAGTCATAATGTTTTGGTTTCAAAAAGGCTATTGAATATTTTGATTTTGCTGTTTAAAAATGTCCAAAAATCAAGGGGGAAACAACATGATGGGAAGTTTTTAAAAAGGTTTTTTTTGACATTTTAAACCATTTCACATTTAAATTAAAATGTAAAATCAATTGAAAATTTCTAGCAACAAAAATTTCCCATCATGTTGTTATCCTCCTTGCCAAATAATGCACTTTTCATGCTAGAAAGTTTCCATTTTGGAATACGGAAGTCCGATTTTTACACGTTTAATTCATAGAGATGAATCTCAAAGAAAAATAAGGAATAATAATGACGGTAAAGACTAAACATCAACTTTAATTATTCTAAAACATGTACAGTAATTAATAATTTCCAATTTTTTTTTGTTGTATATCCGCTATTGTTCCTTCATAAAAATATACTTTATCAATCTTATTTTGTACAATTTTTTTAAAATATATATCATCGATTTGACATATGGGTGTGCATCATTTCCAATTATAACTATTATTCATTTATTAATAGCAATTTTAATTATTTTTTATTGTTTTTATAAATTTTGATTGTAAATTTGCGCAAATTTTTTACTTGTCCTGAATTTTGAATAACGAAGACACTTTTTACTACAAATTAGGTGAATCACTCAAAATTAAATTAACAGTAGAGAATGTAAAAGGAATGCATGGATAATACTGAATATGATAAAACATAAAAAGTATGTGAAAGAAAAATTTACAAAAATTTTAAAATTGAATTAAAAAGTAATTGAGATTTGCACTTAGATGGGAACTGGTGATTTTAGACAATTATCTGAATTTTGGGGATTTTTTTCCACATTAATTAACGATTTATCTGATGAGCACTTCAGAAAAAGAGGATTTACCCAGATTAGGGATCAGAGATATCATTTCTTAGTTAATTACTGAAGTATGTGGAACAAAGGCTTAGGCAAAGGGGTGTTTGAAGCCCAGCTCCTCTAGACGAGCTCAAGGAATCAAATATCTCTTAGGGGTCGTTAACTTATGAAGTCCGAAATAACCGGTCATTTTTCAAAAAACAATGAATTTTCAGGAATTTCTATTGTTCTTTTCTTACTGACCCCCCTCCCCTCCCATGGACGTCTTAAGCGAACGGCCCCTTACCAAAAAGCAACAAATCTCAATTATTCTCAAATTTAACACACAATCTTAATGACAATAAAATAATAAACTTTATACGAAGAACACAATAAACATAAAATTAATTTGAAGAAATCCAACATGAATCCATGTGCTCGACTTAGAATTTTTTTTGTTTTAAAAATTTTGAAGTACGCGAATTAATTTTTTTTTTCAGCGATCGAACGCTTATCACAATGGTTTTTATTTATTTTTATTCTTCATCAACCTTATCCATCAAAATGCTCCTAATTATCATGACTATTGTCAATCAATGACTCGTTTTGCTCGTCATCTTGTATTCTGGAATGAGATTAAGTTATGAGTAAGTTTTGAATGTCATTAAAGAATTTATCAAATCAGTTCTCAATCCTTGATCTTACCTTACAATATTTGTTCGTCTACAGTTCCATATTTTTCTGTAAACGACTTTTAATCCTTTCATAATTGGATCACCGTCTTCATATTTCATTAAAAATGCGATAAATATTAAAGATAGAAACATCGGAATCGAGCCGAGATAAAAATTGAGTGGATAAACTTTATTTCTTAGGACTACGTCAAGAATCATTGAGAAGGGTATCGTGAGAGTTATTGCAACTGTAGCAATTAGCGATGATGTAAGAAAACATCCCCTGAAATAAGGCAATAAAGAATAGAGATTAGATTAAAGGCAACAATGTTGTTGTGACATTCGTCAAGATTATCAAAATATACACTCACCATAGCCATAAAGCCTCTGAGATAACAGTCCCAATTAATCCATTTATAAAAAGTATAAGAAATTGCTTTTTATTGGGCATCTCGAATGATTCTAATTGTGAAAAGTTTAGGACTATAAATAATGGCCACAAGAGTAAAGTATTCCATAATCCAACAAATCCAAAAAATTCTATTATATCAATCTTCTCGTCGGTGTCATTTTTTCGTTTTACAAGCACCAAATAACATGCATAAAAGAAAGCACTTAACACACTCAGAACGATTCCACGTGAACTTTGTGGCTCACTAATTTCGGACATTGTGACCATTGTAGCACCGCACATTGATAATGAAACTGCAATTAATTTGGATACTGTAAATCGGTCGCCGGATGACGATGGAAATGAGGCAGCTAAAACTAATGTAAATATACTAGATGTGGTGCTGAGGAGTGTAACGAGTGCTGCTTCGCTCGGATCTAATGCTAATTGAAACATATAATTAGCAATGAACCATAAAATACAAAATATTAAAGCCGTTCTTGCTGTTTTATGGTGCGTTCTTTGTCGACGAATTCGAATTGATGCAGCATATGAAAGTCTTGACATTAGAGCCTCAGTTGCTTCAGCTGCGTTCATTTCTCTTACTTCTGCGAGTTTACTAAATCGAACACTTCGAATACTGGAATCGTCGCTTTCTGTTTCTGGTGTTTTTATAGGAACGAAAGTAGAATCGCTCAGTCCATTTGTAAAAAATCCATCCGTATCATCTTGTGGTTCAACCAATTGATAATTGCCATTTCTCATGCATGCCTCTCGCCATGGTGCTATCATTCCCATCACTACCAAGTAAATTGTAAACATTGAAGTCTTAAAAAACGTACAGAAGAATGGCTTATCGAAGTTCTCATCCTTGTACAAATACTGAAAGTGCAACGATTCATATTAGACATAAATAACATGACATAATCAGGACAATCACCTTTGTTAGTTCGCTTGATGCTACCCATATAATGTCGACAATAAGAAGTAAGGAAATTCCTAGTCCTAATTTTTGCGGCTTATTCAGCATTTTCTTTGTTAATGTTGTCTATAGTTTTATTTGTTAAATGTTTTTTTTATTGTTGTTATCGTATTGGTGTAGCTTGATTCAAAAAGTCGTACTATTGTCAAAAAATGAAACATTCAACCTCACAATCATAATGAAAAGCTGAAAATAAAGCAAAAAATGATAAACTGAATTTTTGTTGCGACCAAAAAATTTGCATATTGTTGAAAATCAATTTCTGTAATTATATAGCTTCCGTGCAATTATTCAAAAGATGTGACATATTCTATCATCGTCATCAAATCACGAGATGCATATATTATAATGTGAATTGTATTAGAAATAAATCACATATACCGATTATGAGCAAGGTCATACATATTGCAAGTATCTTTGATTGAAAAACATAATAAAAGTAAATTTCACCATAATATTAATGTTTTTATCACTCAATCACTTACACAAACTAAGTTAGTTCCAATTATACATTAGATTATAATTTATGAAGCTGACATGACAAAGATTTTAATTTATTTATTTAAGGTTTGTGTTTTTTAAAAACCTTTTTATTGTTCTTTTGGTAAATCTCAACCTTAATCTAATCTGGATTGATCCAACGTCAGTGATGGGCTTTAGATTAACCATGAAGATTTTGTTTTGATTATTATAAATGAAGTGTCAGTCGTAATTTGTTAAATCGACCATAATATTAAGAATTGTAAACTTAAATTGTAGAATCATTAAGATTTTCAGTCATTCAGACACAAGTTATGCTACTTAATGTCCATGGGAAAAATTGTAAACATACATTTTCGAATTTAGAACCTTTCCAAATCCATCGTTGAGAAATTTCTTCGAAAACTATTGCAAAACTTTTAAGAATTCATGAATTTTCAATTTAAATTGAATTTCTTCGTCATCCAATCATGCTTTGTAAGAATTATTTTGTAGAATGTCAAGATATTTCACAAAGAATCGACTGACATTTAAACAGCTGACGCTGCACTTTTAATAAGCCATTTCTACGATTCTCATGATTTCAAGCATCTATCATCAGTGTTAATTGAATAATTTATTTATGATTCAATTTTCATCAGGTGCAATCATATGATTCACTCAGCTTTCAATTGCAGAAGGCATTAAAGAACAGAAAATTCATTTAAACGAATGGAATTCAATTAGTTTTCATATTCAATTTATTAGCTTGCCAAAGTGTGAATGATTTTAAACTAAGCTTTTGTATAGTTGATGATTTGATGATTTAATGGATAATTCTGAATTAAAACTAATTTAATAGTTAATAGATTAGATTCCACGAGAGGTTTTCGATAATTGTAATTGTAGATTTATTAATCTAGTTCAAATTTTGATTATCTTCCAACATGAAGACAATCAATTCAGTTGCTATTTCTCAAATTAAATCAAAATATACAACTTTGACCATATCAAGACTTCCTAACTTGGTATCTATAGCAACAAAATTTGAAATAAACAAAATGAATAAAAATAAAAACTTCACTCGAAAATAAACTTTACAACATTTGTTAGCGACATTACAATGAATTCAGTTCACTTTTCAGTAAATGGAAATACAAATCAAAATGCTGTTAATTACACTTTAACAACAATAGCTGAAAAACCGAAAACCAAAGGTAAAAAAATAAAAATTAATGATTAATTAAATGAATAAATTAATTTGCAATTCCAAACAGTAATAACATCGTCTGGAAGCAATCTGAATTGGCTGTTACACAAAATGTATTTAATTGGAGATTTCACATTTTGTAAGAAGCTCATTGAACAGCAAATGGAAATGACATTAAATCAAGAATTTCTACTTCATATGAAAGTACACGAGCCATTCATGAATAAGCTATTCGATTGTAAAAATAATTTTTTCCTTTTATTTCCATTTATTTATTTGAAGGGTAAAATTCTGCGAGAGGAAGGGCATTTCCAAGAAGCATTAAAATGTTTTAAACGCACAATTGAGTTCGATTCAAAAAATGCCAATCATTACAAAGAGATTGGAAAGACTCTGTGAGTATCATGTGAATAGAGTTTGATGTTTTATACTCGATTTGTGATGAGTTTTTCATCATGTGGAGGAATATCTTGTTTTAAGACATAATAAAAATCGAACCTTAATTCTGAGTAGAGTAAAATGAGCATTAGGGTTCAAGTTGATCGAATAAGTTAAGCAGTTTGAGGCGGTAACAATATGTTTGAAAATTTGAAAATTTCTAAAACTTAATCTTTCAGCTTTAAGCTCCAAAAATACAATCAAAGCTTAGAAATCTTCTTGAAAGCCGAATCATATTTAGAAGCCCCAGATTATGAAGTATATCATTACATAGCTGACTTACTCCGTTTAAATGCAAAACATTCAAAAGCAAACATTCTCGATGTAAAGGAGTACTTTCGACGTTCAATAATGTGTGGTAAACAGATTCATACATACAAAACTCTCGCAAATATTTACCGAAAGGAAAAGGATTATACAAAGGCAATTGAGCTACTTGAGGGAAGTTTAAGGTACTTTTTCATCCAATTTCAAGTATTGGCTATAAAATTGACATTTAAATATCAATAGCGTTGCACCAGGCAATGTTGAAATCTTGACAGATTTGGGAATAATGTACTTAAAAATTAATGAGGTAGATCGTGCATATGAGAAACTCCAAGAGGCATTAGCATCAGAAGCAAAGCACACAAATTGCATTCTCGCTGTCGGTGCTATTCAGCAGACACGAAATGACATTGATTTAGCTCTCAATACATACAAAAACATGCCCAACATCCAGAATGAGGGATTCGAGATATGGAGCAACATTGGCTTATGCTTCTATAGGAAGAATAAATTGATTGCGGTAAATTTTCTATGAAGACATCAAACTGGGAATTAGGACATGGCTAAAACATTGATTGATTTTTATTTCATCTTTTCAGGCTGTGTCATGCTTAAAAAAAGCTCTGTGGTTGTGCCCTTTGAATTACAATATTTTGTATAATCTAGGCGTGGTTTTGATGACAGCACAGCAGTTTGCATCAGCATTTCAATGCTTTGTTAGTGCGGTCACTTTACGTCCTGAAAGCGCTGAAAGCTTTATGATGCTGGCAAGTAAGATAAATAATCTGGTTCAGGGGAAAACAAAATTATGGGAAAAAAGTTTTTGAACAAAATCTTTATAAAGTGTGCAAGGGGAAAACAGCACGATGGGAAAAAGTTTTGATGCAAAATGGTTGGAATTTAATAAGATCATCTTATCATGTTGTTATCCCCTTTCAGAAATTACTGGAACTTTTTTTATCATTCTGTTATCCCCTTGAGGGTTGGACTTGTCAAACGGTCGATTTTCATGCTGTACATCAAAGCATGTTTTTCAACTAGCCGTACAAACATTCAATTCCATTACAATAATGAATATTTTTCATCTCTTTTTATCTCGACGATTTTACAATTAAAACAAACATCAATGCAATCAAAAAAGTATGTCTGTACTATTTAAATGACGCAGAAAATGCCCAAGTGGCATTTCGTAAATCAATTTTATCGAGTGATGCCATTAAAAACCCATTAATTTACTTAAATTATTCAATATTTTGCCTCGAGTGCTTAAAAAATGTCGAAGAGTCGCAACAATATTTAAACAATTTCTACAATTTGTGCGAGACAATGAAAGTTCCCAACGAAGTAAGTCCTTTATGTGTTTAATGAATGTGCCATTATTAACAGATATTTCACCTCTTAATAATTTCCCGAATTTTTGAATACAGTACATGCAAATTGCTGAAAATGTTCTTGTAAAATTGCCATCGTCGATGCTTTTGCCAGAAATAAGGCACACTCAACAGATAAAGGAAACGAAAATTTTAAACATGAATGATGAGGATGACAAAAGCACAACCGCATTCAATGACAATGATGATGATGATAATGAAAGTGGGAGCATTGAGAGTAAGAGTGTGGAAAATGCGGCTGCTGACGACGATCTAGTTTGAAACAATTAAAAGTTTTGATGCTGTAAATACAAGTTCTTGTTAATTGAGAAAACTTGTTGAATAAATATGTCAAGGAACATGAATTAAATGAAAAATTATTTAATCAGATTTACTTTTGGGATTTGAGGTTTATTGAGGTATCTTGACTTGTCGAATGGAGAAGGCTTTGTACTCATTAACAGAGATCGAAGCCGATTTTTTCGGCTTAACTCAATTTTTGATTTTTTTGATAGAAAAAAGCCATTTAACACCCATTTTAAGTATTTAAATTGAACTTTATATGCTTTACTATGATTCTGTGTAATATTTTGTCAGCATGTAGCTATAGTGAGCTCTGAATTTCAATTTAGCCGATTTTAAGCCGATCGGCTTAAATTTCGGCTTAACATTCTTTAACTTGAAATTCTGAGCTGACTATAGCTACATGCTGAAAAAATATTTCACAGAATCATAGTAAAGCATGTAAAGTTCAATTTAAATACTTAAAATGGGTGTTAAATGGCTTTTTTCTATCAAAAAAATCAAAAATTGAGTTAAGCCGAAAAAATCGGCTTCGATCTCTGCTCATTAATTAATTGCAAGACACTCAAAACTTAGAGCATTCTAGTCGTTAAACCTAGTTTTAAAAAATACGGATTTAAATGCTGATAGTAAAATATTATTACAATAATCCTCAATGAATTATGAATATATCTGTTGGTCTTTGTCCATAATAAAGATAATTTATGAAAAAGCTGTTCGGATTTGTTCATTCAGAAAAGTCTGATTGAGATCAACGATTCCATTTATCCACGTGCTCTTCTTCTTTGTATATATACATTTTTATGAGAAGCACGACACGTGTAGATTCTTCAGAAATATTTTGTTATCAAGTTACCATACAAAAAGGTTTCAAATGAAAGAACATGGGGGAAATTCACAAGCTTAACACTCGTTGTTTGCACAGCTACAGCAGACTTTATCTCCATCTTTGGAATAAATGATAATGTTGACATCTTCACGTTCATGAATTGTAAATTGTTCTCAAAAGTTTCACTTAATTGGAGTTCAGATTAGGGTATGATCCTCATGGCTATTACAAGAAATAATGAAATTCACTTCTGTTGTAATGTTTGTATTTTTTTAAGAGAAAAGTTTGACAACTCAATTGTCGTCAAAACGCTTTAAGCTATTATATTATTTTGAGTGACCTCTTCCGTTTAAAAAAGCTTGTCAATTTGATTCTAATGGAGGTTAAAAGCCTGCTGGGTAGGTTTCTGAGTTTGAGCATACAATACTATTAACATTGTTCCTTAAACTTTCAAATTGTGTCAAAATTTGTTTTAATTTTATAAAAGAGAATTTTAATTCCATATGTATTTTCTAGATGCTATACAAAACTAAGTTTTCTGTGCCCTCGGCTTTGAATTTTTAACATTTCATTTAAAAACTTTTCAGTTTACAGTTTTTCATTAGTTTACAACAATAAAGATGGAAATTTTATTCATTGCAATTTTAAATTTTAAATAACAACAGCTGAAATATTCTGTGTTTAAATTTATGTCGAGGCATGGATGAAGCTTCAAAAGAAATTTACAAAATGCTTTGTGTAACTTCTTTATTGTTTGATATTTTCTTATAAACTATATTTCTAGAGTAATGAACAAAAAATAAGAAAATTGCTTAAAGAAAGTGTTAACATGATCTTCTTAACCAGAGCTCAAAGTCGATTCGAGATTTTCATCGATTTTGTATGGCGGAAATGACTCCGAGTCTCCATACAAAATTTCATCGATTTCGAGTTCTCTTTTAATTATGAAATTAGGTAAAATAAAGTTTAATATTTGAAAATTTACACAAATTCAACAACATTTCATTGTAAGGACGTCATTTATAAATATCTCCCATGTGAATTGGATCCTTTTCTCACTATATTCTATCTTTCCATTGATTATCATTTTCGATTATGATTTACAAACCATAAATTTTGAGTAAATCACAATTCCGCAAACCCCAAAAAAACCCTTGTTAAAACTTATTCTTGGGTATCCAATGATCCATAAAAATCGCATCAGATGAAATTTTTTAGTATCATGAAAAAACAAAAATCATTCAACCATTAATCCAGTTATTTATACAGAACCTTAGATTTCAGCCCTTAAGCTAACTGGAATCGATTCAGAAAGCTTGTTTATTTTACGAAAATTGTGCTTGAAATGTATGGAAGACATCCATTCATGTGAAAATTAAAGCAATGAAGTAACATCATTTGACTCAAAATCGATTTTGATTTGCACATTCAAGGAATAATTTTTCTACGCAAATTGGAAAATTATTCAAACCTTATATCTAATTTTATGAGCTTAATTATATTCATGAATGGAAGTTGGGGGAGGAATGTGTGTAGATGTGGAACTGATTTATGCGGAATGATTAAATGATTGAAATTTTGTGTTTTCAGCTGTTTTTTTCTTCAAAGATACATCGTAAATCTTGATTGCATCCACCCACATGGATGTCCTCATTCTAATAAGTTCATTCAAATATTTTTTTGAGAAGCGCTGAACCATAAAAGTAAATTTATTACAAAGAACAAACTGCTTTATGTCTAGCAAATTTTCTTGGAAGCCTTCCTACTCTCCCATTTCTTTATGGTACATTAAAGCTCAGTATGTCCATTTATAACATTATCCTTATTGCTATTTTTTTCTGCTTTAATCTTTATGGATGGAGTAATGATAATAAACAAGATTTGCATGCTGGACACGAACTAGAAGACAAAAATAATGTCTGTGGCTTTATTTCTAATGCAGGGTGGAAGCTAAGATTTTTGTGATTTGGAGGATGTGCTAATTTTATTTTAATTTCATTCCTGAAATTCAGCTTAAACACTTAAAATCCTTAGATACGTTCCTGCTCTAATGATTTTTGTTGGATAGCTTTTGTAAATATTTTGTTTATTTATTAACTTTAGTAAATGTGTTGTTTAAGTAACGAGCATCAGTGGGTGTTTTGTGGGGAAGTCTGCTGCATACATCTTGAATATTTTGATACAATCTCTTAATGGGTGAGGTTTTGGTAAGCTTTAACCAATGAGTTGAAATAGTGAAAATTTTAAAAAAGCAAATATAAACACAAAAAAATGAAATTTAATCTTTTTAGGGATCGTTTAAAAGTGACGTTCATTTATTTAATAGAAAGAGTCTGATCTGATGTTTTTTGAGACATTTCTAGCTAAGCAGATGATTTTGATTGTCTAGACTTCCTTAGTTGAACTTACTTAGCTAATTTGATTTAAATGGAACTAGTTTTATTGTAGTTCAGTCAATTCAGGCTTGTAAATATTCAAATTTCCTGTAATCTTCATTAATTTAAAGTTTACTAAGTCTTATATCTTGAGAAAGGCAATGGTACACATTAAAGAAGATTGAAAAAGAAGCAAAAAAAAATTATCGTTGGAAGCTTCTCTGAAGAGATTAATTTGAGTGTTTTGGGACTGATACTTTTTGTACGTAGTATTTTTTTTTTTGCTCGAACTACTTAAAATTGAACTTTTCATCTACAAAAGGTTGGACACTTAAAATTAATAATTTATTACGTGTCTAGTTTCTTGAAAATTTCAAATATGCATTCATAAATAATTTTATAAGCGTTTCCCACAAAACTATAATTGTTTAAATGATATAAGAATAATTTCAAGCATGTTCCTACATGTTGCCACAAGCTAGAAACACTTCGATTTTGATTAAACGATATTTTGTGTGAAAGTCACAAACCCGAATAACACAAGTCGGTTAATCAAGTAGAAATCCGACTCAAAGATGACATAATTCTGGCATAATCCTGAATTCGTTTCAAGTCTAGCACCATACTAGAATCACACTGGCTTCATGCTGGATTTCTACTCTTTTAACTGATTTGTGCTATTCAGGAAAGTCTTTTCCTATAAATTCCTTATAATTGAACGGCATTTAATTTTGTGGATACAGATCGATATGTTCTATTATTTACTATGATTAATAAAAAGCATCAAAAGCATTGATTCTCAAAAAATCATGTAGACAAGAAATTAAAATTTTCTTCTTTGTGACATTAAAAGCACAAAGACATCCTTCTCAATGGACCATAATTGAAATAAAAGTGATAAATATGAAAATTATATTTGAAGTCGCAGTGACTCTACCCACATCAAATCATATTTATTGCTCATGGCAGTAGAAATGCAGTCAAGGAACCGAACCGTATAAAAACCTTTAAATTCTCTTTATGCTTTTGACAGCTTCTGTGAATTTAAATTATTTTACATTGACATTATTATGGTTAATTTTTTGAATTAAAATAAAAATAACTTGAACAGAAGATGAAACTAAGTTTTTGCTGTCAAACCTCTTCTTGACATGAGAATTTCTCCAATCTGTTAAAGTTGCTACGCTCTTGTCCTCAAGCATACTAAAATTCAAAGTCAATTAAACATCGTAATGGAAAAAATGTGTAAAAAGGTCAAAGAAACCTTTTTTAAAAATTACTAGACATCTTTACGATTAATCTGTTGCTGAAACACACGACAAATCTTAAATGTTGTTCCAAACTTTGAACCTTTTTTTCCTAGACATGCCTTGACATTTTTTCTCTGATAAAAAAATGAGTTGTAAATGAAAAAGTTTAGTATGTATATACTGCTGTATTTTCAAAAAGGAACAAATTTCACTTATTACGTTCGCATTTTAGGGGGGATGGGGGTTTGAAAAATTGTAACAAAATGTAACATAGGGAGAGGGGGGGGGTGTCTAGAAGTATGTAACGTTCTAACTGTCGTCTATGATAATGATAAATAGATTATGAACGTTCAGGGGGGGGGGGGGGTGTGAGTTGTAACATATTGTAACAAGGGGGAGAGGGGGGGGGGGGTTGAAAAAAGTCGTTTTTTTGCTTAACGTAATAAGTGAACGGCCTCAAAGGATATCCAGGAATTTTTATTGTTTTTTTCTTGCTGAACTCCTCCTTATCTCCTGGACATCATAAATGAATGACCCCTTTAGAGAATAAACTTTTTAAAAATCACGAAGAAATTTTTTTTCAGCTACGACAATAAGAAGTCATTTGATTATGACGTCCAACAAGTATTGAGTGTCTCGAGAAATTTTATATAATATTATAAGTGGGATGCATGTCAGGGTTATTAATTTCGAGCGACATTTCGATATTGGGAACGTTCAATTATCAATAAAAAGTAAGTTTAGCTTAATAAGAATTTTTACAAAATTGATTAACAATAAATTGCATTCGTAAGTCTTGAACCTTAAATGTTAGTCAGCAAAAGTTTAAATTTTCAAAAACCAAGGTATTTACAACATCAGACATTATAACAGAACGACCCACAAGCCAAAAATAAATTTATCTTTGAAATAAAATTTCCACGCGATATTTTTTTCACCATGTCAACAGCTAATGATGCTTTTAATGAATGTCTCTAAGTTACAATCTAGAGAAATTACTAAATTATAATAGAATGTGTAGGAGTGCACCAAGATAATAATGCGAAGATAAAATTTGACATCCAAAAAATTTGTTTTCTTGATAAAAAAGTAAATCTTTTGAATCATGAATCCCTTGCTAGAATGAATTGCTTAGGGATATTGTGTTCAGCTCATGCATGAATGAGAGACAGGAAGTACATTATTTTTGTATGAAATCATTTAACGATTGAAGTTCTCTCAACTTGACAAGCTTTCCATAAGGACTCTTGGGTAATACAGAGTAATGCATTTAATTCAAGATATAATCAGGAATCTTTGAGACAACAACTTTAAATATTTCAAAATCTGGTTAGATGTAGTTTGAAAATTATTTAAATAATGCCATTCATGAGTTCGAGACAGAATGAGATTCAAGATATCTACAAAATTTCATATCCTTTTAAAGCTCATTGAGAGGAAAATAGAGAGAAAACTTTCTTATTCTCATTCTCATTTTCTTATTTTCGAAAAAGTTTTGTTCTCAAAATTGACAACTTTTCTTGCTCACTCCAAGTGTTGCCGAATATTTGATTCTGTAAATTACCATGTTACGTGATTTGAATAAGTGCGAGATAGCAAGTTCTTGTAGTAATTAAAAATTTCTGTGTGACTACATAAGAATGAAGATTGTTCAACTAAAAAGACTTGACAATTACAAACACGTGAAATTCAAATTAACAAAGCTTGTTCGACTTTATGTTGAGAGTTTATGAGCTGCTGATGTTTGAGTTTCTATGGAAATTTTGATTAATATCATTTTTCGTATGTTTTAAGAACATTATGGAAAGGTTTATAAAATATTATTTGTAAATTTGGGGAATAGATTTTTGCGATTTTTGTGAAAAAGTTTTTTGGAGATTTAACTCTGTTCTGCAACACTTAAGTAGCAAAATGCGTTGTCAATTTACAAAGTGGATAATTTTTGAGCTCCCACATTAAATTATCAAATAATCACATTGCTCATGCCACCATCAAGAATGAAGAAAAGATTGAAAATCATCAATAATAATTTTTTAAGTTCCGATCCCTTAAACACTCCCTCCTTAAAATTTAACACCCTTAAAAAATATGAAAAATTTCATAAATGCTTACACCTTGCTCAGTACCCTAAATTGATGCTGCGTACTGATAATTGTTAAAAAGTTTTTCCATTTAAGTAAATTTTTATCTATTACTGCCTTTTTCAAGTTCAATCTTAGATATTAAACAGCCCAAAATACGAAAAAATGTTTTTTTTTGTTGCTCGACTCCCAAACTTTATAATTGGTAAATTTGAGAGCTTTTTTATATCCAATTCTATTGTGAAATCGTCAATTCAATCTTGTTTTCTTTCCTTATCGAAAATAAATTTTTTCCACTGGTTTTTATAAGGAATTGACTGAATTGGAAAACACGAGAAAATGATCAATATTTTGTGTAGTATGAAATTGCTTTTTTTTACAAAATTGCTCCATTTCTGCTTAATTCATCTCGTTATGGTTCTTAAGTGAACAGTATTGACAAAAAAAGTGATGAAATCAGAGATTGTAATTTAAATTGATTTTTTATGAAATTCTTGATCTTTTAAATCAATTCGAGCATAAAAAAAAGTTCTACAGATTTTCTGAAATAAATGTTACAAGCACGTTAAGAAAATAAAATCATTGTAAAAAGAAAAATCACGCAGATACGGTGATAAGGATTCTTTTACCTTGTTAATAAAGAACAAATTTAATGCATGCTGTCACAAATTTTTGATAAAATTAAAGTATAAGATCGATTAGCGATGATTCTGTCTATAAAGTTGCTTAAAAAACAAAAGAATCGATACACGGAGCTTTGTTTAAAATCATTTATTATTTTGAGCTTTAAATTTTGGGTTGTGATAATCGTTAATTGAGTTCCGCAACATTATTTTAAAATCATTGCAAATCCTTTTATCATTTTGATATCTTTGAATTTTTTTCAAAATCTTTGAAACTTAAAAAGTTGACCAAAGAGAAAAATGTGACCAAAAGTCAGTTAATCAAGTCTAAACTCTTGTTTGCGTCTTAAAATTTGTAATATGATGGACATGCCTGAGATTAAATTAGACTTTTATGTTCTGATGATTAAAGCTTTATCTTCAAGATAATTTATGATGCGGCTTATATTTTTTCCAAATTCATCACTTTTTTCCTTATAATTTCTCATCAAAAAAGATTAAATTTCTAAGAAATAATTTTGTATAACATCTCAAAACATCAGGCAAGCATCAAGGAAATATTAAGGTTTAGAATGATTTTACTTCCTTTAATGATATTCGATATGTTTATTAATCATCTAAATAGTCATTAATGTAAGGAAAATTCTAGTCGTTAGTGATTTAATGTTGATTGAAACCTGATAAAACTAATAATTTGTCTTCATTAATTACAATTAATGTTGAATTTCCTTATTTTATCTACAAGATCTTTACAGATTGTCTTTAAAAACTCTTCCCATTATTGGATGACAATTTAGATTCAATGACTCATAAAAGTCGGTGGATCTCTTTCTTACATAATCAATCATAAACCTACATCATCATGACTTTAGTCAGCAACAAAATGTTAACTTTTTATCATCAAAATTCTTAAGTCCAAAGATCAACAAAATATTAAAACTCACAAAGTAAAGAAAAGAAATAAAATAAATCATGTAAGAAACATCATGTAGGTGTAGGACGATTAGCTTTCTTAAATGTTTTGAAGAAATTTTTGATTCAGTCTTAGAGATAATAACGTGGCATTAAATGAGTAATTAAGCATGCAACCGCTATGCAACTTAAAAGCCAATTAGACTAATTAAATTTGAATCTATTTAGCGTGTTACACTTTGGTAGGATTAGGATAAATTTCCGTGACTAAAATCTGTATGTAGAACCAAAAATCACCATCAGCTCTCGACTTAGTCAGTTAAGTTACTATCAATTGATTCATCCTCATCAAAAACGAACTTTCTTATCAACATCCAGACTGAAAATAACTTATAATCTTATAATCCATCAGACTATTTTGCATCAATCTTTAATTCAACATTATTTAACATGTAGGATGCAAATTATGCCAATTATTCTTCAATAATCCAATAAACTGTTGCGTTCAAATATAGAATATATTCTCAGTACAAATAATAAAATAAAATCAGTCATTGAACCACATATTTGGGATACATTGATGAGTTTTCCATAATATTCTATACCAAACCACAATTGAGTCAAACTATACAAAAAAATTGAGTCAAATTATACAGAAGCTTTCTCAGAAGACTAATAAAATGAGTAATCAAAAATTCACAGACAAAACTCAAATGCTTGCGAAATTTATATCAAACATTCCTGCTTCAGAGGCAGCCAGCAAAAGAAGTCAAAAAAAAAAAATTTGCATGAAAAACCTACGCACAAAAGAAAGTTTCAAGATCCGAAAAAAAAACTGTGGAGCTTGATATTTTTTAAGCTGATAATTGAATTGTGATGATGCTGAGCTTTTTCCATTACGTGACGAAGTAAAAAGATAATTTATGATAAAAAAGTTTTACGGACATCGATGATGCGATTTCACATAATCTTCTGTAAGAAAAAGACATTATATAGATAAAGCAATAAACAGTTTAAGGAATTGAAAGATTTTTATCGATTTATCCACAACAAAATTTTTTTTTTCTTTATTGTTAAATATTTATGTCTTCATCTTATTGTTGTCTAGAGAATAAATTGATACTCTTCATACAGCATATAATACACCTTATAAAATATAGAAAATTATTTTTCCCTCACAGATTTATTTTTTTAAGCTCTAAAATTTTCATTATTCCACGTATTAAATTATTCTACACAAATTTACATTTAACATTATAAAGTCAAATATTTATGATGGTAACAATTTTTCATATTTATCACAAACATTTATAAGCTCGTTTCTTGTATGGTTGGTGGCGTGTGCAAGTTAAGCTTTGTATCGAGCTGCTTCATTGTTACAAGTTCTACTAAGTTTCTTAGAGATTTTCAAAAGAGAATAAATCATAAATGATGAGATTATTGGAAGTTTTTGGTACAATAACATTGAAGATACTATTTGGAAGAGATTAATAGTTTAAATTGCCATTCTAACAAGATTCTCAGTCACTCCCAATAGCTCAATGATTAGAATATGCAATTTCAAATCGTAAGAGAGCTAGTTCGAATCTCACAAATATTATAAAAATCTTCATTATATCCTGATTTTTAAATAAATCAGCTAGTAGCTCCCCTATCCTCAATTTTCCAACTATTCCATTAATTTCTCAGTGCGAATAAAAATGTAGGCATTAAAATTAAAATAACAAGAAAGACTTAGAAGTAGTTGTAGAAAAATAAATTTCCCCCTGACATTTCATTAATTAGGTTCATTACTTTATCTATATTAACATCCGCATGCTTAACGCTTATATTTCGAAGTTTCTTGATATCAAGCCCGAGAGGCAATGAGGTAGGTATTGAAATTTGTGTATTTACTGCTTGTATCTCTAACGCTTGCTGTATGTTTGCCTTAAATCTACTAAAATCACGAACAATTGATAGTGAGTGTCTTAAAAAGTGAGCGTTCCATGAACATTCAAACTTTTCTGCAAAGTCTACACAAAGTTGATACTGCTCAGATTTTTCTAAATTAATTTTAAGTAGACTCGTGCTGATATAAGTATTTGTAACATCAGATAGATCACATAAGCCATCATATTTTCTATAATCTATAGTCGAGACTTTCAGCATGTCAAAAAGATAGCTGAGATTCTCTGTTGACGAAAGAGTTGAGATATTTACAAAAATGCAGACGTCATGTCGGTTGATGAAAAAGGATGAGAAATCAACAATTTGGAAGTTTATTGAAATTTTTTCTAAAAATTCCTCTAATTTTAGGGTTAAGTTTTCGCTTGAATTATTTTTATTGTCATCGACAATTTCCTTCTTTTTCAATTGACTGAATAATTTAGTGAAGGATTTATAAGACCTTGCAGTTTCTTCAACGAATTTTGTAAATTTATAGCTGTATTCTACACGAAATGTATTCGCACGGAAATTCAATTTAATTGCGTCTTTAAATCTATCGCTGGATATCCTAGAGAATGTATTGCCAAGATATAGTGCACTCCCACGTTCATGAGCTTGTTTAGTTTCAGTTTTATTGCTATATGGATTTTTAGATCCCATAAACCAACACATTGTATCTGAATCCATGTCAACCTTCCAATGTCTATTCTTAAATAATAAATCCATTGTGTAATCAGCATATGGATATTTTCGAAATTTCACATTCGATTGATTCAGTGCAAATCGAATTTTTGTTGCAGTTATCGACGAAATTTGATCTTCTAGTTCCAATAGTACAGATACATGTCGCATCTCAATATTCTCTTGAAGTATAATTTCACTGAAAATTTTCTGAACAAATTCTGAGTGGTAAAACTCAATCATTCTTTGATTTCCCATTTCAATAGCTTTTATAATCAATTCTCGTCGACTAGACTTCATGCCAGCTGTAAATATTTTCAAGAACCATCCATAAATGTCTTCATGATTATAGATGACGTCCAATGTTTCAACAATCATAATTGTCTTAATTTCTTTTCCATCTTGTCGTGTTTCAAGTGTTAGTTCTTTCAAAAATAGAACTTCTTGTATTGGCGTGTAAATCCGTAAATTTGATACTTTGGTTTTAGTCTCATGACTGCTTTTAGGGTGCGCAATTACCTCAATTTTCTGAAGCAGCAGATGATAATGGAATGAAGAATGTTTATCGAGTGACTTTACTTCAATTTGTTCCACATGAAGTGCAACCGTATGCGGCATTATTGCATCAATTAATTTCTGTTTCGATGAATGTTGATTTCCTTTCGATGTGACTGCCACTGGCTCTGCGTCTAATTTGTTGTTTGATTTTTCATTTGTTATTGTTGACAATCCTCCTTTGGTATGTAGCATTTTATGCTCAATAATATCAAATAGTCCCCCGTAAAACGTGATTTGAGTGTTGCATAAGGATACCGACTGGTTCTGCAGCATGAAGTTGTTGTTATTTGTGAATGGAAAAAAAAATTAATTGAATTATATTAAATCTTCTTTTACTATAATCTTAGATAAGGTTACGGGTATCAATTCAACACACATTCTGTTTCTAATCATCAGTTGCTAGAGGATCTGGCTTGTGTACTACTAACATGACATGGAAAAATAAGAAGCATTGCAAAATGTGAACGAAAAATGAAGTTTCGGAATTATAAACATATCCATCATCTTTCTAATGACTGAATTAAGTTAAAAATCCTTCAAAATTTTGCAGTTTAGGTTTTATTAAATTGAGTTTCTTTAATTCTAAACTCTGAGTAAGAAAGTTGCTTAGTGATTGACATTTTGAACAGTATTTAAATAACATTTTGTCATGAGACCTGCTTCAGATTCTGTTCACAAAATTCTAATTTGAAAACCTAGTAACTCGTTACTGTTTGACAATATTTTTCTTATCTGTCGAAATGTCAATTTAAATGCGATCAACGTGCTTATTGATGTGAAAAAATAAAGCGCATAATTTGTTCTCTTCCTAAACGTTTCTGCTGATAAAGCTCAATGTCTTTAAGAGCAAGTTCAGTCAACTTGAAAATTCAATTGTTTAAGTTTTTCTTTTAAATTATTTTTTCATGAAAACATCAAAGAACAAAGCTGTCTTGTACCCATATTTGCTCTGAGCTATATTTTGTTCGGATTTCCTTAAAATTCCAAACTTTTTCCTTACTGTTTGTCTTTAATCATTTTGTTAATTTCCGTTCTCTTGAATTTACGCGATAGAAAAGAATTTCGAGTAACTTTACATTGAAAAATAAGTTTTGATGTCAAACTTTTTGTTGAATTAAGAATCGCCTGTCATACCTTATAGCTATCAGCTAGCTCACACTGAATGGTAGTAAAACAGATAGCACACTCCAAATAATCTTAATCCAATATATTATATGTTTTTTAATGTTTAAACCTATTTTGAGATTTTTTTAAAAAAAAACCCAATTAATAAATTAAGTCTTTCTACGACTTTTTTATGAATGAGACAGTCATGAATAAATCATTATGGTATTTTTTAATTCAATGAATTCCTCTGAAAATACTGCATTAAAACAAATATTTTCAAAAACCTTACATTTCCTTAGATTTGTTGAGTAAGAATTATTTGTTCATTACATTCGCATTTCGTAAGAAAAACTGAAGGTTGAGTCTTAAACTCATATATTTAGGTTACATCATAATTAAACAACTCCCAAAGTGCTCAGAAAAAAAATTAAATTAAATTTTAATGAAGAATACTAAAACATTTGAAATTTATATGAAAATAAAAAAAGCACAAATGAAGCAAGGAAATGTTATCACAATAAGCATACACATATAGCATATAAAAACATTATCATAAGGAATTTAAAAGGATTCAAGGATATAAAAAAATTGTACATTCAAAAAGTCTCATTTTATGAGCGGTAAACGAGATTTTTTTTTATTTATTTTATGGCTAAACAATCCTTCAAACAACTCGTTCAGTCTGTAAAGCGTCTTATCTGAGCTTTTATTATATTTTTTAATCAAAATGCGAATAATGTTTGTCAAGTGATTGAAATTCAGAAGACTTAGGAAAGTACTTTTTAACTGGTTCTGACAATATTGCGAGGATTTTTCTTAGATTTTTAAAATCTTTACTCAGAGCTCGAAATCGACTCGTGATTTTCATCGATTTTGTAAAGCGAAGTCGTCTCCATACAAATTTTCATCGACTTTAAGCTCTGTCTTTACAGAGATATTCCAACATTTATTTCAACTATAGCCACTTCCTTCGATCTAAACTGCTACGTACTTCCAACCGACCCTCCAGCAAAAAATTCTATTCAAATCACAAGACAGCAAAAAATTGTTCATCTTTCTTCTTCCTCAGGATTTTCGCTGTTCATTCATTTTTACAATATAATAGAAATGTTCAACATACCTCAAACAGAAGGTGCTTATCCTGCCATAGTATTTCCGATTTAAGGTTTATATCGAATATTATCTCAGCCAAGCATGCCGCTCGCGGTTTTTGAGTAGGATTTTGTTTATTGTATGGAATAAATTTCGACTGTATGAAGCATCATTATGAAAAATTGTACGTTTTCCTAAACAAGTCATATAAAATGGACTTACTTTGATGTGCTGAAGAGTAAGAGCGATGAAGAATGTTCTTTTGTATCTCGCAACATATCCGTCAAAAAGTAGCTCTATGTTGGGTATAGAGATGCTTATCATTGGACCCATGTCTTGATTTAATAAGGTTGTTGATAAATTTTTGATGCGAACTTCAAGGAACTAAAGAAGGAAGAGAAGGTTGAGTGAGGATAGACAAAATTAGTTGGCTGAAGATTTTGGGTATTTCCGGTTGTTTGAATGAATAAGAATTTTTTTTGTGATATATTCTATGCATACCTTAAGTGTCATCATTACGACCGGTGGAAAATACTGTCCAACGAGTCGTAAAATATTATCTTTATAGACTCTTGTCCATTTAACATTTTCTATGTCATTACGACTTTTATCATGACTGTTTGTTGCGTAATTTTCAACCTTCAATTGCTCTTGATGTGATTGTTGAATTTCATGTTCCTCAAGATTAACATTCTCGTCATGTATTCGGTTAATTTTGACATCGTCTACGTCTACGCACAGTGGCTTTTTATATTCACTGTTGATAAATTTACTTTTTAGTCCAATTTCACCTATAACCTAATGTTTAAGGCACATTAAGAAATGCAGAAGCAAAAATGGAAAAAGTTTATGCATTATTTATATTATTATCACGATTTAAGGCAAGGTCAGAAGCATTTCTTTTTTGTGTGTCTACATAAGACGAGATTTTGGAGTTTCTTATTGTTTTTCTGTTTTCTGTGGATGTTGCAGATTGAATTTTAGTGTTTTCGACTGCATAAAATTAGTAATGTTGCTGTATGATGTGCGTGTTGATGTAGCTGAATTTTAAAATTCGCTGTTTTTGTTGACACTTCTCTTTCTAGAGCTTATTAGAAAACATAGCCTTGTCTCAGTCAATTCTTAAATTACACATTAGAGAAGGGATTTGACTCCAAGAAAACGGTCTGTCCAAGCATTTATTCACCTTTGACTAACTAGAACTTGTAAACATGTAACCAGCTAAAGTTTTGTAAAAAGCAGTTTATGGTACCTTTGCTACTGGGTTTCCATAATACATGTGCTTACAACTCTGTCCCTCAAGAATTTGATACAAGATCCACCTTGATTTATTAAATGACATCACTTTCCACATCCAAAACCATCACGTTATTTCCAATAATAAATATTTATATCAAAGTCACATGTTTGAGACACTAAAATTTTATTGCGTAGTTCCCGAAAAGGCAAATCTTAAAGGTCTTTTCAGTACATGTTTAGAATGAGAAAGATGCTTAAATCTCCTGTCTAAAATATAACGATGTTTCACGACCGCAAAACAGGATTTTATGTGTAAAATGAAATACAAATGCATGCAGAATATTTTCACATTAAATTATGTTCATCCTTTTGTAGCTTTTCTTAACACTGTCAGAAGTTTACTTCACTTTTGTGGAAGTGATTTGAGCAGAGAGGGCTTGAAGGAGCCTCTCAAAAATTTTCCTATATTTCCAAACCTCCATTTTCTGAATAAAGGCATTAAACTGCAGAACTTAAGATATTTTCTTTACGGCAAATAAACAAAAGTTTTGATTAAAGTGCATCTGAATCAACACAACAGCACATACAGTTGAAACAACACAGACTTAAAGCTTGAGTAAGCAACAACAATAACACAAGCATGTGAAAAGAAAACAGTGAGAATCAGAAACATCAGCTTAACACACATACTTTTCTCCGTATCAAAAAAAACATGTCTTCTTCTTTTTAGACTCCACATGAAATGTACAAAAATATTAGACTTACAATTTCATAACCTGCCCATTTTATATTAATATTTTGTATGCAAGCATTCAGCACCGACAGTGTTTTGAATTTAATTTTAATATTAAATAACTTGTCAGCAAAATATGTGACGAGTGCTGGAAGAATTCTACAAAAACAAAATAAGAAATGCAAAAATTAATCATGACAGTTCTACAAGCTTCTAGTTACGTGCTGTGTTTTGATAATAAAAGATGAAACAAGATTTACGTACTTTGCAACAAATAAATAATAAAGCAAAATAGCATCAGAATAATCTAATTGATACATTGTGAAATGAGCCTGTAACCGCAACTCACAAACTTAACGATACCGAAGCTAAAACATTACTAAAGTGAAACTTGTTTTCATCTTTTTTTACAGCTTGAATGTTTGTGCTTTAAAGTTTTATTTTTATAGCATTTCTTCTTCACGTCTTTTTTATGTGTGTGAGAATGTATGCATTTAAATAAATATCTTGTCACGTGAAACTGTCTGCTGTTCTGTGAATAATCATAATTTAAGAATGCAGCACAAAGCAATAAAGTGAGAAGTTTAACATCCAAAAAAATGCTTGTCACAATTCACAAAATTACCAACTTCAATGTTTAACATTTTAAGTTGATTGCTTTAAGCCACTTCTGACGTCACAATTATAACTGCTTGCTTTTTATACAGCACAGAAATTCATGAATTTTTTTTATTTGCAGTGGTATTGAAAATAAAAATAAAATAAAAAGAAAGTAAAGTTGAAGAAAAAAAAAACATCAGGTGCTTATATATCAACGCAGCACGTTGGAGCAGTAACACAAACAATTTATTGTAAGTGTATATGCGGACATTGTTGTATGATAATAACAATAATGGTAATTATTAAAATTCTGATTGTTGATGATACTTTTATGTATGTGTGTGTGCTTACTTGTTGATGGACTCTGTACATTTTTAATTATGTGTACCGTGCTCTTGACTCAGGTCACTTTTTCTACGAATAATTACACTATAAAATAACAGCTAATTACCATGCAAATTTGCTATTCAAAAAATCGTTCTTTATTCATAATGTAAAGCAAAAGAATAAATATGAACTGATTTTGTGGCACAATGGGGCTTTAAAGTGACAATGTGACGAATATATGTCCTTGCTAATTTGACCAACACTTCATTGTAATGACTCAAATATAGATTTCTGGTGAGAATTGAACCTTGATTCTTATTAAAGAAATGGTGCCAGTTTTCTGGTCTGCAACCTTAAAATCACCCAAAAAAACCTAATGCAAGTGATTAACAGATGTGTCTTGATACAACAGATTTCAAACTTTTTTGACCAAGCTCAAACACTTGAAGCTTTTGAAAAATTTGCTTAAATGAAACGCTTATCAAAACGGAAGTTCGTTTAGAGCCCATCAAGTGATTCCGTAGAATCGATTCCGCAGGATCAATTTCATTCATAGAATTTGTTAAGATTTTCCTAGAATATCAAGTAAAATTGTGTGCTTCCATATTCTTCAATGATTCACAAAAGATTTGGGAGATTCGCTGGAATTTCATTCTGAGTGTTATTCTCAGTATTATATAGCTTTGTACTGTATCCTCTGTAAAAATCCATTTAAACTTCATGATCAATGATTTTGGTTTGGATGGATGTTTTGTGTGAGATTTTCTCAGAGCTCGAAGTCGACTCGAGTTGACTCGAAAAAACATGAAGTCGACTTGAGAAAAGTTGCAGCGTGTCGGTTTTGAGTAGAACCTTATTGACTTTGAGCTCTAGATTTTCTGTTCATGTCAAAAAACTTCATTCATCTAAAGTCTGCAGACACAAGATAAATCACAAAAAACTTTCAAATGAATCAAATTCCTTTGCAGGATATTTACTTATTAAATGTCAACAGCACCCACTTCCATCATTATCAGCTTAGTCGCCATGGTTTTCTATACAGCAAACAGATTCATGATAAACATCCACAAATCATATTAAATTCAATGAAAAAAAGAAAATCTGGTTAATAGCTCACGTCAGCGCACTATTTAATTTAATATCTCTGCTGGATATGCAATAGAATTCACAGTTCAGATACAGAATTCTCATCTTTTTACAAAATCAATATTTTGGATGTTCTAAGAAGAATGAATATACAATCTTAATAATCCACTCTATAAATTCGTTTATAGAACATCACGTATATTTTTAAATAGATTTTCGGAAATGGAATTAGATTCTCTTAATGGAAAAATCTACTTCTGCTAATAGCAAAAATCTTGACTTCTTTATTGCATGAAGACTTAAAGCTTCTTTAAAATAAGAAATTCCAAAAATACGCTCAACATTTGAGTATCCAAAAATAATGCATTACTCGCAGTTGTGCTCAGTGAATTATAATTAAACGCTGAAAAAACAATAAAATATTAAATTACATCCATCCCATGGGAAAATGTTTGTTTACATTGGTTTTATGAACATCCCATAAAGGTAAAAAATTTATGCGATAATCAATCAAATAAAGCCTTCAATTAAATTTTAGCCAAATGAATCCATAGCTTCGCACAAGTTAAGCAATAATCTAAATGACATTAGATGATAATGTGCTTGTAATTCCATTAACATCGTTGTCTTTATTTATTATGCAAGTTTGTTGCTTAATAAACAGGATTTTCTGGGAATGAGGCTTCATCAAATTACATTCAAGAGTTTCCTCATCTGATGTAGCAATTTGTTTAATAAATATTTTCATAAAATAATTCTGAGGGTGTCTTTTTGTTTGTTTCATCATCATTCATTATATTTATGATGCATAATGAATTCAAGTATGTTGAACAAAGTCTAATTATTTCGTAAGAGCCTTTCTAAGCCTTATTTTCTCTTCTTAGAATCATATTACCGGCTTGTGTAACAAAGGACATCTAATTATTCAAGAAGTCAATAAGTAATAGCTGAAAGTACATCTCTACTCCTCCCTTAAGTTCTTACTAAGCCTCTGTAAATCCTCATTAAAAATGAATGAATTAAAAAAGTTTCAAAAAGTTTCAAAAATGATGTCCATGAAAAACTAGATTTTTAGACCTATCACTGTCCAAAACTGTGACAAAACTGTAAGACACCTCCTCCTAAATGTTAAACCAAGCGTGCGGAACAGATAAATTAAATTTTGATCATTTTTGATAATTTTTTTAACATTTTTGATAATTTTTTGATAATTTTTTGATCATTTTTGATCATTTTATCAGTACCACACCCTTGTTTTAGACGTCATTTTTGAACAATCCCCAAAAAAATATTGATTTAAATAAAATGAATCAATTTTCACCAAAAAATTGTGCTGAATCAACTGATATGAGAGGATTATGAAAAATATATCATGAAATAGAAATTTCTATTGAAATATGACTTAAACATTATGAAGCACATTGTTAAAGCTCACATGATAGAATATAACAAGAAGCTACGGAAAATCCTCCACAAAAAAGTAGCATTATGTGAAAATATGGGAGTCGTTCACTTAGTTCGTTCACTTTTTATAGGGGATGAAGTCTATAGATTTGGTAACAGACAGGGACGTAGCCAGGAATTTGAAGAAGGGGGGGGGGGGGCAAATTTTTTTTGTATGGAAAACTTTTAAGAAGAAGGGGGGGGGGGGGGAGTTTTTTCGAGTTTTTCATAAAAACTCTTGCAAAATGAAAAAATTTCTGTTAACGTCCCCCAAATCCCTGGTTACGCGCCTGGTTACAGATCAACGAAGGAGGTCCAAAAAGGACGTATTTTGAGTAACATAATAAAGGAACAAATCCATAGTTATTTTGTGATATAATAAATTACGCTCATAATTTTTATCATGATATTGTTAACGGCGATGCTTTGTATGAATTTCTCATTCTCACGAACATTGACTTCTTCCTTTCTATTTCGTTTTCGATTAAAGATGTGAAATAGAATTCGGAAGATTTCGATAACATATCTTTGATGTGATACTTTAAGCTCTTCTTGAAATGAAAATGGTGTGACATATACTTTTGTGACATTTTTCTAAGCTCACGTATTGCTTTTTCACCCTCAATCCTTGATAAGCTTTGATACGATTTTTTTTTTATAAATAGAATTTCCTTCTTTTTGAATAACTCTGCATTATTCTGGCTTCTTTTGAACCGCAAATGAATTAATCTGGTTGTGTTATCTTATTAAGTTATGCTCAATGTTTAAGACATTCATTAGGCTCATTAGAATTGATGGGAACAGCTAAATGCTTACAGCAGGATGCGTGGCAACTGTGATTTTAACAAAAGGTTAAATAAAATTGAGATTTGGTACTTGTTAATAGGTTGTAAACTTAGGTTTGAGGAACTATTCATTAATTCTAATTTAGCATGTTTAAAGCTCTTCCATGGTGGCAATTAGTATGGGAATGAGACATCGCTGTAAATCTTTGTTCACTGAATCAATTCCAAAAATAGAAGTAAAAGCAAAACTGACAGTAGGTGTATCTTGGTAAATTAAGCTCGTCCACGATGCTTACTTTCAGTTAACATAAGGAACAACATTTAGCATTTATAAGTTCATGGAATGATTAATTATTGTCTATATTCTTCTTCGAAATGTTTCTTACTGTCGTCCACATGATATGAATGTAAATAGGGATGAAATGACTGTCAGAAGCTCACTCCTTTTAGATCCTTAATACCACCAAAACATATCATCGCATATGAAGCTTAAATCTTCTTATTATCATTTCTCAGAAAATTACTTTCGGCAGTTATTATTCTTACCTTAATTCTACTTGCCATGTCTTTTCTTGTTCCATCTTAATACATTTTTTACGTCAGTCATATTGAATAGACTTACGTACACAGAATAATATTATTGATATTGAGTATGCATGTAATGAAAACAAAAACGAAAGAAGAAAAGAAAATCCAGTCAAATTACACTCGACAAGACATTCAGTCAAATCAATCAAAATGAAGAATTAAAGAGCTTTGGGATTTCCATGAAAATGTATTTAAGATGAGTATCTTATGTCCTGAAATGAATTTTTTATAACATTGTTAAAAACATAATGTAGAAAAATTTTTTTGGCGCCGTAAGAAGAACAAGCAAAGTCATTTTAAAGATCATGAGTTTTTTTTTTATTTATGTTTGCCATTTTTCTAAAATCATTGTCGTAAATATTTTGTGCTTTAGGGTAGAAAAACACTGCAGTAAATGGTTGAGCAAGTAACAAAAGAATAATTTAATGGAACAATCGTTAAGAATTGGTCATTGTAAAGAAAATGGTCAACCGTAGTTATTGAGGAAATATGGACTTGTAGTAAGTCTTTGACTTTGTCATCATCAAAATATATCAAGGAGATGATTTCTTAACTCTTCGGTAAGCTGAAAATCTATTAGTTGCTATGTCATTGCTGTGATACTGTCTGGTTAAGAATACAGAAACAATGAATTTCAAATGTAGAGTTTTACGAAGAGCTTGTAGCTTTTTTTTCTGACAAGAATTTTTATTATTATTTATCAAGAATCAAGCTTCTAATCTTCAAATCTAGATTTAGATTAAATACTGAAATCTTCTGTGAGCAATATGAAAATATTCCATTTATAATGGTAATCTTATAGCTCTTGTTTTTATTTCTCCCGCTTTACTTTAAGTTCCTGACCCATTCTTTAATCCAACGTTGCCCAAATGCCCAATTATGGCTTCTCGTACATTAAGCAGTCGAAGTATCTAAACTTGTGAAAAAAGAAGAAATTTGGAAATGGCTGGATTCGAACCGACGACCTTCGAGTTACCATCCCAAATTTGAGCCAAGCGCCGTTTCATGTTTGATGTGCGGGATTCGAACTCATCTCTTATGTAAGTTAATCACCTCCTTCTCTCCTTGCTATGATGTTGAGATTGTTTTATGAACTTACCAGTCATCTACAGAATTAATATCGTAGCTTAACAATAAAATAGCTACTTAATTTGTTAAAGAAAATAAAATTTTTATTCGATTCATTTTTAAATTCCCTCTACATTGTCAATCCCGAAAAAAAAGTCATACAACATGGTCAAATTTCATTTTTCTTTTGTAAAACCTTATCTTTGTGCTTAAAAAAGCTTTTTTTTTGTGGTGAATAAAAATCACAATATATATTTATTTTGTGGGCTCGTAATTTTTTTTTGTAAAAAAATATATATTGGATTTTTGGTCATATAAATTCGTAATAATTTTTTTTGTTTGTTATTAATAACCACATGTAAATTTGATGTTCATTTTTAAATCCCTATGAAGCTTTAATTATTTTTAATCAAAATGAACTCAATAAAGAATTAATTCACATAAATTGAATAATTTTAACCATAAACATTCGATAATTAATTTCATGACTGAAAGTCGTATCAATGAAAATTTTGCGATGTTTCGTGCAAAATTAACAAAAAATAGGCTTAATTAATATCTACAGTTTTATTTTTGGAAACATTTTAATCTTTTTAATAGTGAATTCTTAACAAATAATTTTTATTCATAGTAATAAAGTTTTCAACAAGTTATGTTGGTAGCCAAACAGCACAAAAGTTGAGTTCGGATCTGATATTGAATAAATCTTGCAAGGTTACTAGCGCATTTTTACAAAAAAATTTCAATTTTTTTACATTTTGGTCAATAACTTTATGAAAAACTTCTTTCATATTCTTAGCTTTGGTCAATTAAGACCACAACACTGTTCCATAGCCAGGGAGTTGATGTATTGATTGGAAAACTCCAATATAGATTCTATATAATATTATTTATTTTTATTCCTTTATGTATTGTAAAAAAATGCGCTAGTCATGCTTTTTTATTTGAAACTTTTCAATATCCTTAATTCATAGATCCCAAATAATTTTTATGCTGCGGGAATCAATAAAAATAAAAATCCTGAATTCCTAGAAGGTTCCTCAAATCTCACTTGATCCCAATTAGTTTACATTTAAATAAATATACGTGCAGCATTAAAATGTAAGTACCGACTATGAACAATTTAAGACCTTAGTTTTTTCAATAAAAAATATTTGTTTAGTCATTTTTTAATTAAATTCTCAACTTTTTTCCCTTACAATTTATAATATTAAATTTTAGTTCTATAAAATTAATTTAAATCTTATTTATTGTGCAGATGATCTCAATTCGAGACCAAAGAATCGACATACCAGATCAACTACATGTCAGACATTTGTCGTTGTATGATTCATGTTTGTAACTCTCGTTAATTCGATCTTTTGTGGACGTTTTCTCATGAATAAGGATTTGAACGTGATCCGGAATTGCTTTGACATGCTGCCATACAATACAAATCCAATGGCAGCATTTATTAGTGCGAGGAGGTCCATCATTTCTCCAAATATAAGATAACATCGTTTTAAAAAGCTATTATAAATTATGGGAGAAAAAAAAAGGTTGCATGAATAAATATTTGAAGCATAAAGCATCGTTAATTTAGAATTATGTATGCCTTACCATTTTCCTAATATTCCGCTCAATAAACCCAAAATGCCTTGAGGAAACTCGGTAACAAGAAACAGTAATAGGACAGCAACTAGAAGCATTGTTGTTCGATCTGTTCTTCGATCGATTTTTGATGGCCTGCAATATATAAATATAAATTTAAGGCTTATCTATGTTTAAGTGTTGTTAGGTATGTAAAATATGTCTTTTATTGTATCCAATTTAAATCTTAATCTGTTTCCTTATATGACATTTAACAGCATGAATGTATTTCCATTCTAACATTAGATAGTAAATTTGGTTGCCATGATCATTGTCATAGCTATAAGCACACAATCCAGATAAAAATGATACAAAATGCTGTCATTTATATAGCATCAGCATGATAATCCTTTTATAAGGATAACTATAAGGCATTAAAGCTTACTAAACGATTAGTTTCTATGGATGCATTTCGAATAAATCTCTGAAAGGAATCTACTGAAAGGAATTTAGTAACGAAGTTCTCTCACCTTTGTCCATTTGTTACAGTTGTAGCTGCTGCTTGAGGAGCACTGTATCCTTTCAGCTTAAGTTTGCGCTTATTTGCACGACATAAGACATCAATTAAGACGAAACTAATTATCGTCAATATAAAGCACGGCAACAGTTTGATTATGACTGAATGAATCCAGAAGTTAATTCTGTCAATGGAAATTAATAGACATGCATTAATTAATATAGATAGTTATAGACTATGATAATGTTTTTATATCAATAATAAAGCGGAATAACTTTTAATGAGAACGGAAATATTTATTTTAGATGTCAAGAAAGTTTGAATCATATTATCACAAACACTGTTGCCATATTAACATCCTTATATGTTTTTATCAATGCCACTTGCTTGTAACGATTCTGTTTCTCAATAACCGAATATTTATACTATAATCTGATGTGTAGCTTATGTGAATGAAGTTTACACAGCATCTGTGGCGATACATGATATGTTTATTTTAAAATTGCACATGCCACTAAGTTTTCTGGTGTTTTTTGAAAAACATTGATTGTGTGAAAGAAGCTACAAAAGATGAAATGAAGCTATTTATTGTAGGATGTAACGAAGGTTATGTTTATCATCGAGATTCTATAAATTATTATTTATTTTGCACCTAATATTATTGAATTTCTTTCATAGAACTTGAAGGGTTTTATAAGCAAAATCTACAAAATTATGAAAGGAACGTAGGAATAATTGAGGATAATGATAACAATATTCGGACTAAAAAGGTTCAAATGAAAATTTGTACATGAAATGGGGAAAGGTACGAAGATCTTATTTAAATAAACATTTAAAGGTAGCTTTAAGGAATTAAATTAAGGTTTTAAAGATTTCGAGATTTATTTAATGAGAGAGGTTCCTTGAATATTACTTGATGCTTAAGGTTGTCACAAGGTAAACCAACTATGTCACTCGACATACTAGTGCTTCCAAAACATTCATGATAATTGTTTAAATGCGTTGGGCTTGATTCAGCTCTATCAAACATTAAGTGCTAAGTCCAGGGTGGGGGGGTCAGCAAGAAAAGAACAAAAGAAATTCCTGGAAATCCATTGTTCTTTTATGAAAAATGACCGTTAAATTCGGAGGTCATAAGTGAACGACCCCTAATATTCTATTGACATTTTCTATCAGAGTAACATCAAGTGGCAATCATCAATGATACGTATTATTCAAACTACTCCAAAGGCCTTTTTATTAAATTTTAGAAGCAGCAACAAAGTTATCTCAATTAAAATCTCTAATTTAATGAAAACATTTTCGAAGATATTAGAATAAATTTCCCATACACAAAACAATACGGTATCAACCTCATGGATATAATTTACAATATATATTTAAATATCATCTAACCTGTATAATTTTGAATCTTCACTGGCATCTAATTGATACATTGTCTTGTTATGTTCCGATATATCCTGTATGTCGAACACAAAGAATGCTGGTAGACAAAGCACAGGTGCTAATAAAAAACAGAAGAATATTGCACGACCATGATGATTTTGGGCACAATAGCCTAGTACTCCATGAGGATGCCTGAGCAAAAAAGACCAATAATTTAAAAAATGTACATGATAACATCTTTAAGCACAAGCATGCGAAACTATTAATTTTAATATTTGAAATTTTGCGAGAATTTTGAATGTTAAAAGCTGATGCCTTCTAGTTAAACTTACTTAATAGCAATATATCGCCAAACAGCCAACGTCACAGTTAACAGAATTGATATCGTATGAAGTATTTGTGAGAACTGACTGTGAAATAAGAGGTAAAATGTCCACAGGTAGGAGTTGTCTGATTTGCCTGAAAAAAATAATAAAAGGTTATCAAAAGATTTAATAATTTTCAGAGACGTAGCCAAAAGTTTTTGAAGGTCCGATGTCATGTTTTGATTTAGGGGGGGGGGGGGGGGGGGGGGTTGAAGTTTTTTATATGATAGTTTTAGTCGAATCAAAATCAGAAATTCAGCCTTTAAACTAATTTAGGAGGAGCCTCTTAAATTCTTCATGCTACATTTGATCGTTTAGTTTCCCTCTTACTTAAAAACTTCAATTTAAATTTCTTATTCATTTTTTTTGTATAAAAATTCATTTCCTTCATTTGAAAGGAAAAGAAAAACTTTATGATAAAATTTTCATGAAAAGTGAAGATGAGAAAAAAATTTTCCATCACCTTATTTGGATAGCATGAGAGCACCTTCTTTATCATTCCAACACATTGTATTAATCAAAATGCGCATATATAATATTTAAATTTAATTCATAATTTTGTATGAGCGAGAGATGTTGGAACAGCATTTGGAAGTAGCAATTTTCGGTAAAGTATGCATTGTCGGGGTTGGAAAGTTAGGTTTGTTGGTTATTGATATAGATTTGTGGAGATTTATAGACACTGAAACTTGATAGTTATCAAATAAAGGTGTGAAACAGAAAGAAGTTACATTCTGACTAGGCAAGCATGTTTATCCGATAATACAAGACGGTTAATCGAACAAAAATCTTGCTCCATGCCGGTATGACTCTGGCAAGTGCTGGGTTTAAATCAAAGCTAGCACCAAACAGAATAGTACAAGTTGGTTAATCGATCAGAAATCCGGCACCAAACCGATTTTTCCCGACTTGTGCCATTCCGGTATAAACAATAACAACCCTGAATGTTATCAAAAGTTCATATATCTACAAACAGTTTTATATTATGCAAAATTATTTGTATTCTTTCATGTGCTTTAAGCATTTTCAACAAGAAAAATAAATGCATGAAAAATACTTTGTGTCTTTGAATTTCCGTGTCATGAGACAATGTTTAACAGAAGTGCCTACAACTCTTTAATAAATTTTCGATAAGGCTCGTGTTTGAATAATTTAAGTGATATTGAAAGTATTATGACAAGCATGAGAATATTCAATATTGTATTATGGTTTGAAAGATAACTAAGAACAATGTGCAGGCTTGTATAAATACTGAACTGTTCAGCACAGAACACGGCCATTGGCAGTGAGAAACATCTTTCATGAAATTGGATGAATTTTAATTAAATTCTTTTTAGAATAAATCTGAAATTTAATTAATTTTTATCTTTCTTATATTTATTGTTATGATTCTAAGGCTTCCGAAATAAATTGAAGAATATTCATGGAAAAGTTGGCCGGTATTTATCTATAACAATAATCAAGAAATTGAAAAATCAATGTTGAATGGCATTGAGAAGCCTTTTTCATGTTATTCGTGATTTCCAGAAATAAAAGATTTTAATAATTATTGAAAATTGAATTTGAATTTAATGTTTTTTTATGCATTAAAACATAATTTGCGCAAATAATGCATTTGAAATAGCTTTAAAATGCAATGGTTGATCCAAAAGTTAAAGTAAATTGCAGTTTAAATCAATTCAACATTATCCAGTAATAATGACATTAAAATTTTAATCGATTTTGCGAAACATTGAAATTTGGTGGTCTGTAGCCACAATATTAATGCATTAAAATTAAATATGGATTACTAATAGCTTTTAGATATGTTTTTCATGATGATTATTCTCTAAATTATGCTTTTGGAATCGAAAAAGCGTGTGGGAATTAAACAATGCAACGATTTCCCAATCACTGGATCAAGAGCTTTTGTACAATTCAACTAAAGTTTGAATCTTTGAATCTTTATCATTTCTGCATAAACATTACAAGTATGAATTACAATTCTAATCTTTTTTGTTCGACAATTAAGATTCTAGATCGTCTTTTAATTTAATATCATTATTATCTCGTTCTTTTAACAACCATTCATCAATGTCGATTCAAGCATTTGATCTTCATTATGTTGGAATTTTTCATTAGAGAAAATGTAATTAAATGAAAATCTTGAATCTTCTTAACTCAATTAAAAACTTTAATTTCTGTCTACGAATCAATTTACAGGGTCTAAAAGATTAAAGATGAAAGGATTCAAGTTTGTTAATTGATGTTTGAGTTTAATCTTTGATAATATTATTATTATAACTTTTTCAATTTAAATTCAAATATTTGATTCTGTAAGGGAAAGCAATCTTCATAATTTAATTGTTATGGCTAGCTTTATACAGATCAAAATGGAAGGGAAAGGAGAAATAGTAAAAGTTATCATTGTTATGATTTCTTGAATTCATTATCATGCATCAAAATCTGAAGTTTCTTCTCATTCAACTCAATTTTATTAGAATCTTTGTGTAATGCACAGTCGCAAGTGAGTTTGTTATGGTTATTCATACTTATAATATATTAAATGGGCGTTAATAAATGTTATCGACAGCTTTCTGCACGTTTTCACCTTTATCAAATTGATTTTTACATAAACGCTCAAATTTCAAGGTTCACGTAAAGTGAGATGCAATAACAACTTAATTTCATAAACTATTAAGCTGTGCAACAAGCTTCACGTGTTTATGATTGGAAATATTTGCAAAATAACTTAATACTTGACTGATGCCTTACCTTTTAAAGAAATATATTGATGACTCGTGTAAGGAATATATTCAATCATAACAAACATATCACATACAGAAAGCCCTGTGGGAATAAGGAGAATTAGGTTAAGAGCATGATATAGTCAGATTCAGACTCAATACTCACATTTTAATATTGAATTTATTGGTGTCTTTGACATTTCTTTTCTTGTTAATATTATGATGTTCAGGATGTTGGCAATTGTACCAAAAATGCAAATCTATGCAGCAATATGGGAGAAAAAACAATAATATGGAAATCAATTAGAATCAGAAGAAGGAGTTTTTATTAAATTTGTTAGGATTGTTGAAGAACATTCTTGAACAAATCTTTAAAATTTTAAAAAGTTTGTAATAAGTATAGCATAATTTATTTGGACTAGGATATGAATCCTGGAGCTCTTTAAAACCCTCTAGAGTAAGATTTTTCATAGATTTTTTGAATAAAAAGTTAAATCTTGTCTAAGACCAACTCAAAAAAATGTAAAAGACAATCCGTCAAACTCAAATATAAATCCAGAAATTCATGAAACAATTCAATATCTTCTATGACATTTACAAAATTGAGTCTTATTTTAAAATAATACGCAAAATAAAAATGCGAACATAACATATTCCTGATAATTCATTCAGATAATGTCAAACAATGGATAACATGAAGTTTGACATTGGTTCCATACATATTCTAACATACCAAAAAAATTATATAATGGATTCACAAATTGGCTTTCTAACTCAAATATTGAACAATCCAAATGACATCTTATTTGGATAAGATATTGATGCTGAGTGGGTTGATTTATTGACAAACATGTGAGTGAAAGATTTTTCTGGGGATGTTGCTACTCACTCTACTTCCTACATTTCTTGTCAAGATTATGAACATAATGTTGAAGATGGTTGAAGTTTGAAAATCTTGACTTGGACCTTTGTCAAAAAATTTACATGTTTCCTTGATATTTTGTCATGAATGTCATAAAATGAGGGTTTTTATTAAAATCAGATGATTCCAATTTGCACCTTTAGCAAGATCGAGCATTAAATTCAGTTTTTGATTTTTTGTATGAGCTTTTTGACCTTTTCTAAAATTAGCACACGAAAAATCGGATACAAAAATTAATTTCCAATAATCACTTAGCAAAAGATGCCTATTGACGTCAAATCATGTCTAATCTATCGGAAAAAATGCGTAGTAAATCATTCATATCTATTTTCATCGGTAAATCTTATATTTTTCTAGTTAAATGGATATTTGGCATTTGCGAATGTGTAATTTTTTGAGAATAATTGGCACTTCTGCACATTACTCGAATAATTAGCTTAACAATCTTTTCTGCAGAGTGTAAGATTACGAATAAATAGATGACATGTTTCAAAATTCAATGGAATCAACCAAAACCCGCAAATTCCCTCATTCCAAAAAACCCTCGAATTTGATACTCACGACAAGTGTAATGTAGCCATGATAAAGTTGATACTGTGTAAAGAAATCTCGAATATTGTGTTCACAATAATGCAAACAATTATCTGTCGTCTCATTTGGTGTTTTTGTATTCTTTGTGCCATTTTTCATTAGTTCCATATTCATCCATATCGTCAGAAACTCGTGCATCGTTTCATTCGATATGTTTGGTGGAAATGTAAGACCTTCCATAGCTTTCAATGGTGATATTGATGTCGACATCATCCTGATGCTTTTCTGATGGACTTGTATGAAGGAATAGGATTAAATGTGTTTTTCCAACATAGAACAAATAAGACGTTTCCTGTAGGCAGAACATAGAAGAAAATTATTTTTGTTATTATGAATCCCTTTAGCATGATTATGATGATACATTATTTTTTATTATGTTAATGCTTACATAGATTTTTGTTAAGCAAAATACAATGATCCTTTTCTGTCATATCCGTTCAGCACGAGCTGGAATTATTGAGAAAAATAAATGGAAGAAAAATGTTAATACAGTCAAATGAACGCAGATGTTTTATTTTTGGTTTTACAAGTTTCTGAAATGAATATATCATCAGCTATGACTTTAACAATACTTTAGGAGACATGAAGGAGATATTTTATTGTAAATATTCAAGGAAAGTTTTCTGCATTGTTATGGAAATTACAAATTAGCTAGCTTTTATTTAACAAATGGTTCCTTACTATAGGGATTATGGGGCGATATAGACGTATTCGAGGGGGTCTTTTTTTTTTTTGGTAAACGGATGGGTAAGTTGAATAAATTTATTCGAAATGAGTACATGACTGAACTTTGGAATAACAACATAATTACAAAAATTGTTGAAAATTTCCAACCAAATTTCTTGTCAAATTTTTACCCATCATGCTGTTACCTCCTCAAAGTTAACCACAAAATATTAAATATCGCTTTAATCATTAAACTAGCGACAGATTTTAAGCATAAACTCAAAATCGGGAGGGTTCAAATCTCATTCAGGATGAATCTTAGTTTTGATGAATCATTCAATCTTCTAGGTCAACTTGATGTTGCTCCTTACCCTTATGAATGTTAGAACTTTACCAAAGTGATCAAAAAACCTTAATTTAAATTATTCATCAAAATTAATGAAACATCAAGCTATCACAGGCAGTATCGAATGTATAAAGCACAGTCTTCAATAAAACAAGAATAAATTTTTCTGAGAATGAAATTCGATTTGCTTCAAATTAGACCCAAGCGTGATTAAACCGCTAAACATACACCTACGAGAGTTTCAAAATATAAACTTGTGAAAGATGTGACGCCCTCGCATATCGTTGAATGAATTTTAATCAAAAATAGAAAAAGTCTACAAAAGTGCGAACTCATTAAGGAGTTTCACACACCTTTTATGATTTTTTAAGAACCTCTGTTCCCGCTGTTGTTTAAAATAAATTAATAAATTATTTTTGGATGAAATGCTTTTACAAAAAAAGCAATTATCAGACATGCTGTTAAATAAGTTGTCAAAATTTTAAAGCTATTTCAAAGATAATCATTAATGATATTTATTGCCTTCAACAGTTGGATTTGACAGCTAATCAATTTCTATTCTTAACCACGATAATATTTAAATTTAGGGAAGGAGGAAGAATTGCGTACTTTATTTGTGTAGTGTCTTTGTTCATACAGCACTATAAAGATTGACTTGAATGAAAGTTTTAAAGCTAATCTCATCTGAAACATTAATCAGGTTTAATTTATTTGGGTATCATCTGGGATCCTTATTATAAGAATATATTTAATTTGGCATTCAGGAGGCAGAATAACAATAAAAGGATCCAGCAGAAGGAGCAGTTTTAGGATCGGACAAAAACCTGTTCAACGGTTTTACGCCCCACGATTCAGGAGGATTAGTTGTGCACCACTGGTTCGAGAATTGTTTTAACATTACTTTGCTTTAAAGCCAGGATATGCCTTGGTGGTGAGCCATAATCGAAACTGCACATAGTATAAGCTTCGTAAGATTTTTCAAAGTTTTTCGTAGAACATGGGTTGGACATCACTGCTTTAAAGCAATATCTTCATGAGGTTCTATCTCTCAACTGTCTAGGTATGAATAAACTTTTTCTTTAGCACCTCAATTTTAATTTATTTAAAATAATCAGTAAAAAAAAAGTAGAAAAAACTCAATCAAACATTTCTGTGAACTGACACCTTAGAAAATACTTGAAACATCCTCATCTCACTCAATTGTCTACAATAATTCATGACATTATTTTATATTTTGAATGAAGCTCTAATAATCAAAATTGAGTTGCGTCTTACACAAGTACTTTATTTATTCATTATTTATTATGGTTTTAAAGCATTTCATTCTGAGACAGCTTTTCATTTTTGTGTTGGAAATGATAAGTGGGCGTGTAATTTAAGGATTTTTTTTTTTCATTCAATTTGTGATGTCAACAAAAATTCTTAATACCATTTGAGACACACATTTTCAAATCAATTACAATTTTACGCTCAACTGAAATGAAAACCATATTTTTCTGTGACGAGGAAAATTTAATAAATTAAATTTTGAGTAAAGTGTCACTTCTACTTCTTTAATTGGCTGGAAAAGTTTGTTTGCGACAAGTTTGACAAAAATGAAAAATTCAAATTTTAAGATTAATTTTTATTAAATTTCATCCGATTTTTTTTTTATACAATTTGCATTGAACACAAAATATTTTATACTTTGATTCAGCTTTCATAAAGATCATTCGAATTTACATTACAATTTAATCTACTTATGAGACTTGACTTTTTCACAATTTCATTAAAAATTATTACAAAAAAAAAACAAAAAATTCTTTGTCTTAATAATTGTTTTTAAAGAAATAGTTCATCTCTTATCCTAAAAGATATCTTTACCATGTAGTTATGCTGTATATATAAATGATGAAAAATTGTTTTTTCTTTTCAAAAAGATGTTTGACAAAACTTGAGAAATTAAATTAAAAAAATTTTCTTTGTGATGTGTGCATGCACGCTGAATAAAATTAATATAGCACAAAAAAAAAGAATATTAAAAAAGTTTTTTGATAATCAAAATAAGGAAATACAATTTTAATCACTGAATGAATCACTCCAATATGTTGTTGTTACAGGTGCGACTGTCTTAAATAAATCCCTTCCAGTTGATGTGACTTCTTCTCGTGCTCTCATCAATTTCTTCTTAGCATTAGATGCATGATGTTCAGAACATGATTCACGATGTTTTTGGTATCGTTTCACGCTACAATATAGTCGTCGGCATTTATTACATTCATATGACAATGAGCATTTGTGGAGATTTAATGCATGCTTCTTAACGTCAGTTTTTGTTGCAAAAACTCTTCCGCATTCGTCGCATGTGTAAGAGTCTTTGTGTATTTGCATGTGCGATGTCAAATTGATGCTGTATTTGAAGCAGCGACCACACACATGGCATTTAAATGGAGCTTCTTCTTCCTTCGGCTGATGAGCATTTTTTCTGTGCAACTTCAAATTAGTCTTTGATCCGAATATCTTGTTACAATCTCTACATTTCTCTCGTTTCTTGTTTTTCTCATCGGAACTGTCATTTGCTTCAATGTAGACAATGTCTCGTTTTAATCTTTTTGTTGTCGAATTAAGCTCTTGTTTTGGCTTTTTACTTCTTGACTTCCTTGGAGCACGCTTCCTCGGTTGTCTTGCCTTCTTTTTCTCGCGTGCATCCGTATCCGCACCAGAACTCGTCTCATCCTCTTCTTCAACGTTTGATGCTTGATAATCTTCGTCGTCATTCTGCTCATCATCATCACTCTCACTAAACTCATTACAGTCAATTATGACGAAAGATTTTTCATTATTTTTGCGTGCCTTCGTGCTTCGCTTTAATTTGCTTCGAAGTTCTTTGTCAGTTGCTGCAACATCCTTGAAAAATTGATATGCTATTCTCAATCGTCCCAAACATCCAATGCATATCATATGTGGAAGAGAATCACGCTCATGTATTCTTATGTTATTGCACATTTTCATTATTATATCGCAGATCCTCATGTCTTCTTCTATTGCGAAAATATCAATCAGAGTTTCGGTTGCTTTGCAAACTCTACACTGATTTGGATCAACGTCTGGTTCCGATTTCTTTGTCTCTTCCTCTTCATTTGCTTGATTTTCAAGCGATTGTTCGTCTTTTGTTTCATTTTCAGTTGTTTCGGTTGCCGGTGCATCAGTTTGTTGCTCAACATTAGGATCATCTTGGGTCATAAGTTCGGACGCTTCACCTAAACTATTATCGACAGCTTCTTTTTCTTCATTATTCTCAAAACTGTCCATATTTTTTTGTACATTTTGAGCATCTAAATTAACATCGACCTCGACATTATCCATTGCATATGACATGCTGACATTTTGAGGAATTTCTTGTTCTGTCTGTTCTATGGAAGTTGTATGTTGTTGTTGTTGTTGTAAATTTTGTTGTTGTTGTTGTAAAATATGGTTATGTTGTTGAATTTGAGGTGGAACAGAGATGGTTGGATAAAGGCCCATTTGAAGTGGCAGATCTGGATGTGGCAACTGAATGTCTCGCTGATTGTACGATAGATTGATAATATCTGATTGTTGGCTTGCAATCTGAGCCTGTTGTAGGCTTGTATTTTGATTTAATTGCATTTCCCGCGGAATTGTTGTCATTGGATGTTGTTGTTGCTGTATGCTAGCACCATAGACCATTGCATTGTACTCATTATTTATCATATTATTAAAGTTTTCCATTTTTCTCGGTGATTCTTATTGGTAAACACTAAAAAGAACACAAAAATTTGTTTCTCTCAAAACACTGGGATTTCTTAAATTTTGATGCTGTATTTTATATCAAATCGATAGAAAACTTTAAAAAACATAAATTTATCCGACTCTAATGCTGTTTTACAATGTAGAAATTATTGTAAAATTAAAAAGCTTTTTGTTTTGCTTCTAGTGAAAAAATTCTTTTTTTGTTGGGCGTCTCTACACGGATACAAAATACGCTGAGCTAAGGCTGTGCGTAATTTGAAAAAAAGTTCGTTATGACAATTTTTTTACTCATACTGAAATAATATTTGAAACTTAATTATAATTTTTACAGCTTGAATTTGATTAAATTAACAAAAAATAGTGAAAATGAGATTAACTTACATTCATTGAATGATTTTACTCAATCGTCAATCTGAAAATAAACAATTAAAATCGTAATTTTAATCAAAGAGCATTCAGGATACATTCTGGAATTTTTATTATAAAAATGCATGAAATTTAAATGAATGCGATAATTAAAAACACTGTTTTATTTTTAATTGATTTATAAAAATAAGATGAAAAGGATTTTTTTTGCTTAACAATAATGAAAGAATTCCTATGAAAATTTCTGCATGATTTTTTTCTTAATTAAAAAAACTTTCATTTCACATTTTCTTAATTGAAAAAACTTTTATTTCTCATAAAATTAAAGTTTTTGATAAAACTTCATCGAATCGTAGAAAAAGTAATTTCTTCATTGTTTTAATGGTTTGATGATTTTGATGCTAAGAAATATTTTATGTTTATATTCTTGGAATTTCGCGAAAATTTGCAAAATAAATTTCATGTTAATTTCTCAAATTTTCTAATTGAATAATTAATTGTTTCACACTAAAAGTTTAATATCTGATAATATTATAATCCAAAAAAAAAACAAATTAAGTTTTAGTAAATTCAAATCTTATCTAATTTCATCTTGAGCGGTAATTAGGCTGTTTGGAATTCAAATGAACCACGCGATACACAATCAAAAAGTCAAAAATTAACCTTTTCGTTTAGGACTGCTTTCAAGTATCCACGTTTCATGCATAATAAATCATTTTCATCTCCTCCAGCCCCTCACTCGTGTAAATCAATTCTTAATTTCATCCAATTACTAAGAAAATCTCGGAAAGTCTGAACATCATCGACTATGGAATCGCGTACCTACTCACATTAAAAGTTTCACATGGGAGTGGAGAAGTCTTAATGTAAAAGGAAGAAGCTCCTTAAATTTTGCAAAATAGCGCTGTTTTTAATACAGGCAAACATAGAATATTAAGCATAAACAATGACATAAAGTTATTAGATGTAAATTAATATAAAAAATTAAATGTATTATTAATCAAGTGATCTCAGTACAAGCAGGATATAAAGTTAATTAGTAACACAAGTGAATTGTGATAAAATAAATCAAGGATAACAATTAATTGACGAATGGCACGTAAGGATATAATGAAGTGTTTAGAAGCGTTGTAATGTCGTAGTTAATTAGATAATTATGCGTAAATAATTGTATAGCGTCATTCTAAGGAAACTGATAGTTTTTGTGATAATTAAGGATGATTATGGACTTAGTTCCATTAAAATCTTTGTATATGTTTTATCGGATAATTAATCAAAAAATTAATTAGGGTCAGAAAAGAAAATCAATAAATTAAACAATTCAAGACATCAAAATTAATAAATGAAGCATAATATCCAGCATATCCATCATAAAATTAGCAAAATTAATTAATTTTCAAAATATTCCAATTAATCCAGACGACAAAATGGATCGCGACGAGGTTTTAGTGAAGCTTGTCGAGCACGAAGCAATTATATGGAAGCGAAATCATCCTCAATTCAAGAACATAACGTCAAAGGAACAGGCTTGGGGACGAGTAGCGTATCAATTAGGAATTACATGTGAGTCACATTCTATGTTTTCACACAATCACAAGTTCATCTCTCCTTTGTGTATATTTCGCACACACAACATAGACTTTAACATCTCCCAAATCTAATCATGATGATTTCATGTTAATCCAATTACCTTAAAAAAAATTTATACTAACACTAATTCAAAATCAGTATGTGGATGGGAAATACGTTTTTCATCACATTCATTCACCCATTGTGCATTAAAAGTGTTCTCTCTTGAGTGGTAGAAGTGGAAGGGTTCTTTATATGCTGTATGTGAATCAGGGAGAGTAAGAGAGGACGCAATTTGCTATGCGTGAATAAATTAAATGCCTGCCCGACTGCTTTGTCTGCACTATTTACACGAACACATGTAAAGAATTCGTTAATTCATAAAAAGGAACAATCATTTCCCTCTGATTTATAATGCAAAGAATTCACATGTGGACGGATTGCGATTGTAGTCGTGTTGATGAATTTATGATGACTTTTTTCCTCCCTGCTTCCTCATTCTTAATATTTTCTAGTTAAATCATAAAATTGCTTATTAATTTTTGTCCTTTTATTTGTTTCTCTTGATTTTTAAAAATCATGTAGCAACGGAAGCTGAGCGGCGATTTAAATCCATCCGAGAAAAATATCGTCGTCGTAAGATTTTATTGGAACGAGATGTATCGAATAATGTGGAACATTCTAAGCTTAAACGATGGGACTTGTACAACAAACTCACATTCCTAGATGATTATATGATTCCGAGGAAGTTAGTATTGCTATTTGATTTTTTGGTTTTATGGGATTTTTTTGGCTTTTTTGTGTTTCGAGCAGAGTTTTTGAGTGAGGACTTGAGACTATAGATATTGAAACTTTTTTGAGGAATTTTTTGGAATGAATATGGAGAGTTCGATAATTTGTGATTATGAGAATGTTAATAACGGGAGTAGCAAGGGGAGTGTGTGTTGATGCAAGGGTGTGGAACTGATAAATTATATTTTGATGAATTTTCATCGTTTTTGTTCAGTTTTGATCCTTTTTTAAATCATTTATGACAATTTGTTGATCAATTTTGATCATTTTGCTTAGTTCCGCACCCTTTTGGAATTTCTGGCTATGCCTCTGCTACTCATCTGTTTAATGTGTAAACTAAAGCAACAATGGCTTAAATTGCAAATGATATGCTTTATCCTTAAAGCTTTAACCTCGTCCATGAGTCGCTAGCATGCGTCTTCATGTCGACAATGGCGATTATATTGTAGGAAGTCATTTAAACCAGTGTTGATATTCAGAAAAATTAGAAAATTCTTCAAAAACCTAGCTTTTTTAAAATCAAGCATCTCAATTAAAATAAGAACTAAAACTCATTTTTATGATTTTGGAAAACTTGAAGATTTTAAATATCCTTAACCTATCGATTTTTGTAAAATTATTGTTTTAATTGTAAAAGGTTTTGGAAGAGTTCCTAAAAATTCTACAAGACGATCTAAAATTGATTATTAAAATATGAGAAAATTCCAATTAATGTTCATTAAATTCATAAAATGTGATGAAATGATTTTCATTAAGGCATAAAAAACTTTCAATTAACATTTTAATTCATAAGAAATATTTTGTAAAAAGGAGAAAACAAGATGATGAATTTTAATTAATACCTTTGAATTATTTTCCATTAATATTCTTCGAAAATCTTCCAAATTAGTGCGTCATTTTGGTTCGTTTCTTTTGTCAAAACATTTTAATTGGCCATATTTTAAAGTCTAAGTATTTTTGTTATTACAAATTAATGAGGATTTATCCACAAATTAACTTTGAGTTTAAATGTCAAGATCAACACCTCTGCTTGAAAATTAAAATTAATTAATCCTATGTGAATCTTAAAAAAATGATTTCATTAATTTTCATTAATGTTTCTCATTAAAAACTCAGTGGAAATGAAAGTCTTGGAATGATATTGACTAAAGGCGAAATGTTATCAAGTGAAAACATTACATCGACAAATGAAGTATCAATCCATCCAATTCCCAACAACAAATCAGGTTTACACACATCAACACCTAATAATGATCAACAAAAGCATCTCCAACAACTTGGTAATTTAATTATTCGACCAGTTATGCGTCAAGTGATGTCTGATGCTAATTTATCTCGTTCATCACAATCGACACCAAGTCCCAGTACAACCACAGCTAATATCACAACAGAAACCAATGAGAATTTACATTTTGATCCAATAATTAAAATGGAAGTTGCAGATGATGATTCAAATGATGAAAGGAACGATTGTGGAGAGCCAAAAAGCTGTGAAAATGGTAATTTCAATTATGTTGGTGACTACATAGCAGCTGAACTGAATAAATTGCCGCTACGTGACGCATTCATGTTAAAAAATATTCTTATTCGAGAAGTATTAGCATTTAGTGAAAAGCTATTGATGGCACACGAAAAGCAATAAGGTTGTAATATATCCATGAATCTCCAAAAAAAACAATACAATTGATGCCATAATATATAAGTTCAAACAAACAAAAATACATCGTGCCATTACATCAGTCGATATCCTGACTTGATTGATCGATAGAGTTCATAAAATGTAACATATTTATTTTTTATTTATCCCCGCTCGTGTCTGTTTCCAACACTTTATGCCATTTTTGCATTGTTTTTCTGTTTTTCACTCAGTATTAATTAATTCTGACATCTGACACAACCTCCATATCCATGCTCGTTTTAATAATTATTATAAATATTGCTTTTTTTCCCATTGTGAAAAACTTTATACTAGCGTTCAACAGGTTCCTTTTTTATTGTAAACATAATAATGCTAATATAAATAATTTCGCTATTAGCTGCTATGAAACAAAAAACACATTCCGGGTGAGATTAATTTATAGATGTTAAGTTAATAGAGTTTTAAGGTATTTTTTAAAAACATATTTATATGAAAAAGACATTCCAGTTCAACTTACTCATGAATTTATACTTTTTTTTGTTTCTACTTAATTTGAGAAATATTTTCTTTTAAAGGCTTGAAATCTTCACAAATTTATTTAAATCTATAAGACATCCTTTTGTGGTTATGAATGAATGTTGAATGGAATTTTTTGGTTAAGAAATGTTATTCAATTTATCTTTATTAGAGTGGGCATCATAAGAGTAGTAAGATGGGTATTCAGTTATGATGTTCATATGATCGCCAAAAAACATCATTTGTGAACATCCTCAATCAGTAATCATAAAATGTAGTCATGTGGGTTTATCTCCTTAATATCTTCCTTTATACACTTCATAATACCTTTATGGAGATGATGAACTGGAAGCTTTTCATACCAAAAGTTATTGCATTCATAAATCTCAAGAAGGTTCATCTACTACTTAATCCCTGAATTATCTCATAAGTCCCATCTCTCATAGTGATTTCATTGTTGTAGGTGGAAACTTCCTATGACAGAATTTTGCTACAGTCTATTCTTGTAGATATTTAAGTTCAATATTCGCATATTATTAAATACGTCGAGTAAAATTACACTACGAGACGTTAATAACTTCAAGACGTCTAAAGCATGTCTGAAATTAAGTTTATTTACATCAATTATGCAGCAGTGACAAATTTGCTCTAGTTTTCTTAGATGGAGGTTGTGTGACTGACAACTTTATTTATTAAGAAGCTTGACGCATTTATTGAGTAGGAATTCCACTCATTCATGAAATTTTATACACTGCGGATTATTTGAGTTCACATTCCTTCAATTAAGAGATCAAATGTTATGGTCTGCTAAGATACGAAGGATATACTTCTCTTACTGACCACTAAGGTAGCAATTGTTGTATGTTCATAATGAATTGACGTAAATGTTTATGAAACATTTGTTTTTGGTTGAGTTGAGGGGAATTTCTGGGATATTCTTAGCATTAAAGCGTTTCAGTTAATCCAAAAGTAGGATCCGAACTACTTCTTCTGCTTGTAGTCTATAAAGTAGATCGATTAGCTTTGTAAATCAAGTGAAAAAATGCAAGCGAAAAATTCTCCATGCCGAGTCTCGAACCTAGGATTGATTTGTTGGAATCGCAATGATTAAATACCGAAACATTAAACCATTCCGCCACTGAGCAACTCTTGCTCATTAGATCTCTTTTAACATTCCTAAGATGATAAGAAGTTGAATAAATTTGTGAAGATTTTTCAACCTTTGTGTTTTTGCCTCATTTTCTTTTAGTATTAAAATTTAATTCTTGCCAAAAGAGCGTTATACGATTTTAATTTAATTATTATTATTTATTATTTGATAAGAATTAAATAATTAATATAAGACCAATTACAGATAATATGAGAAATATAAGCATTTTATTAATTATCAGATCCAATATCTGCTTAATTTTTGTTTTTGTGGTATTGATAAAGGCTTAAAATATCGATTGTAACTTATTAGAAATAAAAACATATGATATATATTTTTTATACGAATTACGTGAAACCTAATGACGTCTTTCATTTATTGCAATGATTTTTATTTCTTCTTTTTTTTCTAGGAAAAGTCGTTTAATTAAATTTATGTTTACATGTGATACACATATTAGAGCCTTTAGGGACGTAATTTAATACAATAACCAGCTTTCTTACTTTATCTTGAAATGAAAAAACGACAAAAATGACAATTTAGGAGAAATCTCTTTAGGTGCTCAATTCTGTTTCTTAAAATGACCTTTTCTGCGTCATTCTTTAAATCGAGAGTAGGAAATAAGAAAATTGTTAAATTTCTGAAGAGTCTGTCCACATTTGCAAACAAAAGAGTTGAAATGGGAAAATAAATCTGAATGAAAGACCTTTCTAGCGCATTTTTGAAACTTGTTTCGAAAATGTAGCTTAATATGTCACTTTGTTCGTTCGTTCGGGTGGAGAAAAACTTTTCAACTAGACATCGTGGAAAGTTCTATTTTGTTTTATTAGCTCAGGTCGATTGTTTTATTTTCGGGAAACGCATTTAAAAGTCTTGAAACAGTGTTTTTGTACTATAATTAATGATTTCTATATTTCATATGAAAAAACACGTGATGAGAGCGTTTAGAAATTCGAATTTATTTCTACCGTTAAAAATTTTAAATCTCGAAAAACCGTTAAATGATAAACTTTTTATGTATGGAAATTCATTGAGACAAATTATTTAATTAAACTTTATTTGATGTTTTCGTAGTGCAACTTTTAGCGGGAAAGTTTCAAATTATTTATTCAACGTTAAATAAAAAAGTCTTTCTATGTAAGCATTCATTGTAATTATTTGCTAATTGCACTAAAATTAATGATCTTCTAATCTTCTAATGATCTGTAAATGAACGCAAAATACTGATCGCTAACACAAAAATGCGCTTAAGTCCCTCGATCAATAACACGAGGACTTCTGTAATTTTTAACTTTTGGTGAGGTTTTGTGGCGGAATTTATTTGTAGAAATATTTTCATCTCCAACAACGCATTAATGTCACCAAAATGTAATGGAACTAAGCATTTACTCAAATCGAGGACATTAACTTGTTAAGAAACTGTCAGGAAGTTGTTAAAACATACGAAAGTTAGTCCAAAATGTTTATTCACAAAAGTTATATTCCCATGGACCGAACAGAAACTTTTTCAATTAAATTCATACAGCCATTACAGTGGTATGTTACAGAGAAATTTCGTCAATATTCTCACGAAAAGAATTGTCCTTTTTTTTGCATCAAGAGATACTTTTGGACACGTGGAACCTTTTTTTAAAGAAACAGAACAAAAATTTCAAAGAATTAACTTGATATTTTCAGTCGCAAAAGTGTGATTTTGAGTGATTTTCATTGAGAAATATCCATTTCATTCTTGGCTTACGCTAGATTTAATTTGATATCTTTTTTGCCTCACAGTTGAGAGAATTGCTCAATTTACTTTGAAATTGAAAAAGGAAAGAAACATTTTGAGATTTATTTGAATGCTTCGGTAAATAATGAAAAATTCGTTAAGGTTTCCTTTGGAGGTAGATAAAAGGAGTAAAGCGAGTTGCTTTATCATAAGCAAGGGCGTCCATAAAATTATTCGGCCTGTTTCACTAAAGTGGATTATCCTCGATTTCGGATTATCCACTTCAATTTTTTGTAAATATCTTAAACTTAATAGGAGGTGTGGTATTTCTAATTTTGGATTATAATAGAGTGAAGTATGCCTGAAATTTCTGTATACTTTAAACTTTTACTATTCGTTAAGAAGTATTAATTATTCAATTTTCTTGCCAAATCTAGTAGATCAACTTTGATCTTTGCTATAATTCTCAAACTAGTGAAGATATAAAAATTCTAAGTTTATGTTAATTTAAGTAGCAAAATACTCTAACTAGATCACACATTAGATCTCTTAATAACCTTAAGCGTCTGGAGATATTTCCAAAATACTGAAGTGGATAATCCGAAATCGAGGATAATCTACTTTAGTGAAACAGGCCGATTATTATTGAATTTTTTAGTGGGTGTAATGGAATTTCAAGGCTGAACTCTATATTTCATCAAATCTAAATTTTTCTGACATTAAACACTAATAAAGCAAAGGTTAAAGTTTCAACAGAAGCCCACAGATTTCACTTAAATGTTTGTGGTAATCCTGCTTTTATCCTTTTTGATTATCTACAGCAGATGGCTCTTAATTCTTGGTCCTTTCGAGCAAATTTGTTTTGAATTAATCATTAATTTAGATTTCCATGAATAGAAAATTGATTACTTTATTTATGCTGAGTCAATGCAGCACGATCCATTAATTTTGAATGTTTTGCGATTTTTTTTTTCATAAAGATAATTCAATAGCAAATCGTTTCTGTTTTATTTGCAGATAAAGATAAGCGATTTTGATTATTATTCCAAATCAGTCTCTGTCAATAATTTCTTTTTAGGGGACAGTCATTGGAATTGAAAATTCACAAATAAAAATTCGAATTCATAAACAAAAATCATTGAATTGAAAATTGTTTTACGGATTTAATTTATGAAGTTCCACTCAAATATTTGATTTAAAAAGTAATAACATTTAAATAATATCATTCATATTTCTGCCTTGGACTGTTGTTTTGTGGTTTGAACGTTGCTTTAGGGTTGGAATGCTAATTTTATATAATATTAAATTTCTTACAAATTGCTGTCTATATAAAACAAAATTACATAGATTCAGCACAATGCAAATTGTTTAGTTAAAGCTGGTTGAAGGTGTTCTGCTGCAGAACCTACGAGAAACTTAAAACCGAGGTTTTTGGCTTTCAATACTGGTTTTTCAAAAACCATAACCAGAAACCCTAGTTCAGCAGAAATGTCTTCGTTGGCTGGGGCGCACGTGGGCCCATTGCGGCGCTTAAAGAAAGTATAAATGCAGCTCTATCCTTCGACACCTTCTGTAAGTGCCTTGCTGGTCGAATAGGTAAGGCGCTTGGCTCAAATTTGGTATGGTAACTCGAAGGTGGTCGGTTCGAATCCAGCCATTTCCAAATTTGTTCTTTTTCAGAAGTTTAGATACTTCGACTGCTTAATGTACGAGATCAAGCCATAATTGGGCATTTTGGGCAACGTTGGATTAAGGAACGGATCAGGAACTTGAAGTGTAGCGGGAGAAATAGGAACGAGAGCTATAAGATTACCCACGAATGGAATATTGTTAGAATGGACCTGAAAAGTATCAAGTCACGCCCACAGAAGATTGAAACCAGAGCCTGAATTTAATCGAAACCTAGATTTGAAGATTAGAAGCTTGATTCTACGTCACCCATAGTGATATGAAATGTATCACTAATCAATGTAAAAAGTAAAACATGTATAAATACTAATTCTTCCGAACGGTAACGTCGACAAATAAATAATAATAAAATAAAGTTCGGGAAATTCAGGACTCTACCGTCCTTTTCAACACAACCAATCCAAGAGATCTTCGGCCTTCCTCTTACTCTCTTTGCATCCACAA